GCCCGTTTGCTCATCATATGATCAGCCGGACCGTCGGCCGTCGACTTTCTGCTTGCCATCTTCACCCTTGAATTCTTCTCCATCAACCAATTTGAATCGTCACGAACCCTCCCTCTCGTAGCGCACTCTAGCGCCCGCCATCACCGTCGATCAGCATTATGCACACCACTTCCTGGGAATGTCTGTGTGTTTCGCTACGTCCAGCCCAAGTTAGAGGCAATCGCTGCCCTTCGAATCGTGCATTGGCAAAATCGCCAGGTCAAGCCGACAAGATCCCCTTTTCAAAGCTACTGCGCCGCTACAAGGGAAATCTACTCGCTGCAGATCGGCATCATTTTTAACCCACTTTCTAATTAGTTGCTACAGCTGTCTGTGTGCACGATACTCGTATTTTCGCTTTGGCTGTCTGGTGCCCCAGTTGCGATTGTACAACGGTTCGGTCTGCAGATGAAGAGCATCGCCTGTTTTCTCGTCTCTCGACAGACCATTCGCAGCCTGATGGTGCTGCTGCAGCAGAGAGTCCTTGCTCGGACCGCTTTGTGACTTTTTACCAGTCTATCTCGCTAGTTAACTAGGTACTTGATTAGCCCCTACGCTTATTATGACTGGTACTATAAATCATGTACGAACCATCCCGGCGAGGGAGTGGCTCTATCAATGCTCCTACTGCTGAGACGAACCATTGCCTTCTTTTCTACTGCCTCAGCGTTTGTTATCGATCGTATTATCACTTGCGCGATCGCCTCAACGCCTGTAGAAAAGCCTCTCAAGAGTCCACCCTGACAGCTGACAACTGACAGCACTGATAAACGGGGCATCCTCGCTCAGCTTCGCCCCATGGCCAACGCTTAAAACAATGGAGACCAAATCTATCTGGTGCACATCCACGACAGCAGTGTAATCCTTGAACTCCATGCAGGCGCTGCAACGCAAGACGTGCCGGGCCGTGCTCAACCTCCCTGCATCTTCAAGTTTGATTGTGTTTACGCAACTCGTCAATCTAGAAATTAAATTGCTTTTATGATGTCCCAAAACTCGACCTGTCCCAATATTACCATGGCCCGGCCACTCCTGAGCCCCGTCCATCGTTGCATAATTGAGATGTCATTGACGCTCCGCAGCTGATAATCCTGGAACCCTGACACGCGTGGCAAGGCTGTTACTGGTTATCGGGGCGCAAGGTCGATCATATGAGCTTGACAATATCAACTACAGTTTCATGATACATGCCGCTTTCTGTTACATGTCACGCACCGGACTACTCCCCCGCAGCGACGGCAACAATTACGTGGTCGCCTGATTCTACGAAATTTCAAGTCACACCTGACCAACTTGGCAATAATCGTGCGCCGAGTCTCACACAGAGGCTCCTTTACCCCAAATAGGGTCACGGTGACGGCCGATGCCGGTGCCCGCTCCCTCCTTCACGTTCGTTCACTGTTACAGCAATGCATTGGTAGTGTAACACTGGAAACCTCCCCGCAGATATCCCTAGCCCCGGAGTATCATTTCTATTATCAGTACAGTCAACGCAATATGTATCATCGCGGCAGGCTTGGTCACGGACGATATCCGAACCTCACAGACACTCCACAGGTGTCCATGGGCCCACGCTTCAGCACTAATTAGGCGTGGCATTGTGCGCATCACTTGCCAGTTATAGAATTTATGCCACAATACCTCTTCTGGATCAGACGAATGAAGTGACATTTTGCGACTTTGGGCGCCGTCTTGGTGCCATCCAAGCTCACTTACATTCTCGCCTGCGCCTTCTGGCCTCGACCTCGCCATCATAGGCCTAAAGTCTTTTGAGCTCAAGAAAAGTGACATACTTCGCTCCGCTTCATTCAAACACTAAAAATGGCTGGTCAAAAGCCGGTAATGCCGGCCTTTTGGTGAAGAACTATGAAACTGCGCGTGACGGTGCGATGTCTCGACATGCGCCCAGGGCTCCATGACCGTGACAAAAAGCTCTAGGCCCTCAAGATTGGCCCCGACCTTGTCACAGACGCCGGACTGCTCAATACTTATAGTATAGACTCTTAGACATGGAGGATGCTTCGTTTTAGCCGAGGGTGGCCGTGAGTTGCCCGACAGGCGGCCGTATGCGACGTTCCTGATATGTAGCAGAGATTGATCTGTATCTTGGAAACTACGAGCGGCATGCTCTTACCATAGTCTTCGAATTTGACTGACTTCGCTAGCACATAGAAGCTGTTTTGGCATTCGTATCAGTCGTGAAAGCAACATGACCACTGGAAAATCCACGCCCACATTATTGTACGAACGATCGATCAAGACATAAGAACTGCGAGCGAGGACTAACAATTTGTAGGAGAAGGAGCGTCATGGTGACTATCTAGTGAAGAGTACGCTTTTCTGATGAAACCCGGGCTTGTCAACCTAGCTGACCAGATCCATCTAGCCGTTCAGGTCATTCCTCGCATCGCCGATGGCATAGGCATTGCTTAGACGACTATGGCATAGCGTTGCTAACTCGTCGTTGGATTTTATTGCCTGCCGCTGTGAACGTTGTCTCGACAATGCCACAATTAAGAAGATCGCCAGAAGGTGGTAAGTCGAATAAAGCAGGCCATCTTTGTGCGCGACATGGAGACGAGAACCATCTACCAGGTTCCACTACTACTTCAAAAGCAGGGCTTCTGAAGCGACTACAGAAGAGCTTGCACTGGATAAGCTGGCTGTGCCCCTATCTCCTCTCATGGTATAGAAGAGATAGACTCTTTGGGATCTATGGAAGAGGACGGCCACACCTAAAGATTGAGGTCACCGAATACGCTCGTTGATTCCATTCCCTGGTATCTGCCTTATTCTGTAGGCTGCCGTTTTAGAGTCTACGCATTATATATTAGGTATTAGCAATGCCAATTTCTAAGAAATGTCTCCTAAGGCGGAGAATAAGGTCATGCCGGAAGGCTCCGAGGCGAAAATCAGCGACACGATGAGACTAGATACTGGAACTTCCGACTTCAGACCCGGTACGGAGTAGTTTAACTTACATGCTATGTATGGCAGAGCTAATTTCGTCGATCACTACGAGGTTAACCTTCACTATGCTTAGAGTCTAGATGCCGCCGGTCTGAGCTTGACATCCCTGGATAATAGAGGCGAGCGTGTTGAGACTATCGAGATTAAGACCGGGCCATCCTTCTTTGTCGGTCTACAATCTCATTCTAAGCTATTTGCAAGGTTCTTAGCCCTTTGCCTGCTTTTCTAGGCTTATCGCCGCCAGCTCTGGTTGCTTTGACACCATGGATTAGAGTACGACCCAGAGGCAGGATGGTGCCAACGAAACCGGTGACGCTATGCTTTTTCAAGAAAGATGTTATGGCGTTGAAGCTCTGGATTTTATTTGTCAAAGAGGTCCGCCAATACATGGGCGGGTATTATTCTGGATGGCTGCATTCGAGCTCTTGATTCTTCGAGCTCTTGATTTGGAGAACCAGATACTACTAAGCCCCCGGAGCCGTGGTGCTAGGATGAAACGAATTCATGACGCTAGATGTACGGAGAGCCTTAAAATTTGGATTCCCAGAATTGAGACACCTTGGGCTGCAGTTGGCGCACGCTGCGGGTTGTCTATGCAGGCCTTGCGCAGTTGGCCGTCAAACGTAGATGTGGTTGCACACGGGCAGGTTTCTTGCATCATGCAGAACTAGTGACTCCATAAAGTCGATGAGAGCCGCAAAATACCAATGGCCAGTGCCAGATTCTGACGGAACGACTTTTTTTATTATTTGCGAGCGGGAATAGACGAGAGAGATGCTCACTAGTGAGAGACTGACGATTTTGCGTCGGTGCTCGCTCCAGGAGGTCGTTTTCTGTCACGTCGCGCCAAGCAGTAAAAGCCACCAAGATGGAAAAATGTACGGGTCGTCATTTGTTCTACCCTTCTTCATATGCTTTACTTTCCGAAACGGCGCTTTTATTGATTCGCAACGTGACCGGTGTGGCCCTTTTCTCTCCTGTAACTCGCATGCTCCTCTTCATCTAGGTCTTGGTGCAGCATGCGAGAGCGAGTCGGTGCACAATAAAGCCAACAATGCTTCTCCTACAGAAAATACCCTGCTGCAAGCCTCACCGTGTTCAGTACAGTCCCGTAAACTTGCTCACGTCCCGGCCAAATGACGAGATGTAAAAAATGAGTAAGGATGTGCTTCTGCGTATGATACGACCCCGCTGGCCACCAAGGAAAAACGGCGTGAATGCTGGGTTCTTGGCTTTGAAGAGGTTTGCACCGGTGGATAGTCTGATTTATGTACTGGAGTGGTGTTTGCCCTTTCCTGTGGATATTTACCTTTCGTTCGTCAGCCTGGCCGCCTTGTGCAAGCAATACATCATCGCTAGGCTGTAGCCCTGCAAAGGAGATACTGCGAGATTGATGGTGTACAGGCGTTGTGAGTAGTCATCGGTTCAAGCCTCAACGTAGCTCTGACAAGTTATCTTTTTTGGTTGACTTAGCTTTATGATATTGTATGGACAAACTTGCTGCCAGTTACTTTGAGGAAGACAAGGACATGTTGGGACATGCTGCAGAGATGAGAGGCTGCAGACAAGGCCATTAAGCTCTATGAGTTGCTGAATCGTCTCGAATTATGGTCACGAGTAAGCGACAAGGGCGACGTTGATGCGATGCTCAACGACGTTGGCTATTCTGACGGTGTAATTCAGCTGCGTAGATGTCATGTAGGAGAAGCACGACCGGCTGAACACAAGTTGTATTGAGGCGTTCATTCTGAGTGCGTGAGAGATTATACTTGCAAGCGAGAAACGCCAAGGTCATTGAGATGTGACTATAAATCCACATGATGTCCTAATAATGTACATAATATTTCATCCATCCTGGAGATCTTTTTACACCCATACTGGCTGTGTGTGAGGTCAAGTCTTATATCAAGACGTGAGAAATACTCGCTAAGGATCCTGTTCGCTATGCTATGTAACAAGTCTCGTTTTTACGAGCCCTGGCTCTTCAAAAATCATGCTTGGGCTGCTACCCAACGAGGCAGATGAAACTTGACGTTCTCGTACACCAAAAAAGTCACCCACGTCGCTGGCATGACACGCACCACGCCTGGTACCAGGCCCCGATAAAACCCCCGGATGCCCTCCTCGCGCCATATCCGAGCCACGACGCCGCTGGCACCGCGGCCGAAGCGCTCGTCGGCCTGGTAATTTTGCAGCCGGCTGCGCACCACCTGGTACGGGTACGTGGCGGCGCCGGCGACGAGCTTGGCGCAGCTCGATATGACGACAGTGGCCTCGGGGCTCATGGGGGAGGCCACGGTGGCGAGGCCGCGGCGGCGCAGTCGGCGCCCGTAGTAGGCGCGCTTGAGCGGCTCGTAGACGGCAAACTGCACGGCGCCGTGCGAGACGCCGACCAGAGAGACGCCGAGCCCGCGGTAGAAGCCCAGGACGCCTTCGTTGCGCAGGATGGCGCGCGCGCCGGCCGTCATGGACGGGTAGGCGCCGCGGGCACCGCTGTCCGATGACAGCATCCGCGTCTTGATCACCCAGATGGGATTGGTGAGCGCCGACGTGGCCGCGCCAGCGAGGGCGCTTGCGACAAAGTAGTCGCCCGGCGAGGGGCGCGGCGCACCGCCGTTTCCGTCTCCGTCGGCCACCCCGTGGCGCTGCGCGAGGAGGCGCTCGAAGCGTAGCTTGAAGAAGAAGAAAGACGCCCAGCTGGTGGCGTTGCCGACGAGGTTCGGCGTCAAGCCCCTGTACAGCGAGGCAATTGGCCGGGGCGTCGACGTGAGCGAGCGGAGGAGGCGGACGGTCGTGGGCGGCTTCGAGAGGGGGTCGCTCACGCTGCGGTAGACTGGGAGGGTCAGCTGGCCTGTGTGTGCAATCTCATCGGGGAAGAAATGCCCATACTCTGCATGCGCGTCTTGACAATGTCCAGAGGGTGCACAACCAGTGTCGCTATGGTGCCGGCGCTGAGGCCAGCGATGGACTCGACGGCTGCGGGTTGGAGGCCCGCATGGCTAGAGTCGGACATGTACGGCCAAGCTTGTTCTCGAGTCGTTGTAGTGATATCGATGGAGAATATCTGAATTCAAGTCATGGTGAATTAAGGGCGTTGGAAACCAGCGTGACGATTGAACGGAGACGTGTTTGCGCAATGGCAAATGTCATAGATTGTGGTAATATATATTTTTTTTTGGAGCCGCCGCCTTTCTCGGAGCTTCGGCCGCGGTTGGACGCGGCTTCATTCGCACCGTTTCCAGCACGACCACGACTTGTTCTGAACGCAAGAAAATGTTTTTAGGTGACTCAAACCCAGAATCAAAATACAAGGTGAATCTCTCCTGTTCTCTGAATCACCAAGAAAGACGCAGGATCTGCATCTCAGATGCAAACTCCCGTGCTTGCTGGAAGTCGGTGTGCACGGAAGAGAACTCATAGCAGTGGCAGTTTGAGTGGCAATATTGACTGAATTTAGAAATTATAATTCCATGTTGTACAAAATTCCACAAGGTGGCAGGAGGGCGCCTTGAACTTTTACATGGCAGATATCCCTATGTTGTTGCGGAACCCTCGCAAAGATATCCCAACGCCCGAGAATGCCCAATTTTCATCGCGCCCGTGATTGTAAACCCGAGAAGCCCTTCTATAATCATTGCTTTGTCGCATCGTCGGAGGATTCCTGTTCTGAGAGGGTATAATAATGTACAAGGTGGATGCTGTTATACATCCTAGAAGCTCGGTTCTTCGTTCAGGACAGGGGCGAGATGAGACTGTCCGGCTGTTAGTCGTAGTTACAACTGAGTTCATAGTCTTTCCGAGTTTTTTCTTCCTACCGGATCAGAGAGGGCTTGGGGTCGCTGCGGGTGTAGCCTGAAATGGTCAGTTGAGCGTTCGTCGTGTTCCGAAAGTCGATCGTACCCAGGTAGAGAATCAGGGGGAGATAGCCACTACAAAACCGGTTAGCAACGAAAAAATATCAAACAGAAATATGCGTAAGCGAGCGGAACGTACTAGTGAACAGCGACGCGGGAAATATCAATGAGCTTGCCAATGCGCTCCTGTTCGAGGTGGAAAAGGGTCAGTCAATCAGCAGCTGGCAGCGGCGCATCCATCGCAGTGGTAACAAACCTTGGACTCTTCGGATAGAGCAAACATCTCGGCGGCTGTGAATTGATGTCGAAAAGGACGAATGTATGATTTGTTTAGGGGTGAATCGGCGAGGAGCTGAAGAAGCGTCTAATCGTGGATGATGGAGCGCTGGAAATTTTGGCGCAGAGTGACGGCTCTACTTTTTTTGGCCGGATCAACCCCGGCTGAATCCGGTGATCTTCTGAAGAGCCTCAACCTCCCAAAATTGTCTATGACAACGTAGACTACAAGCCCAGCTATATTTCGGCAGAAACCCATCCTTCGACATAGATCTTGACTTGGCCGAACGATTTCACCCAGTTTTTAAAAGGAGAGCTCCCCTTAAGGAGAGATTGCCCTGTCTCTCAAGCGCAATTCAGGATGGCGCAAAACAGACATTGGTACGCCTCCCCATCAACGTCCCTCACCTTCTCTGCAACCCCCCAGCTAACAACCCCTCTTCCGTTCCAGGGAGCAAGACAAGGATGCCACCATCTACATGGGCAACATTGACGAGCGTGCGACGCCCGCCATGATGTACGAGATCATGCTGCAGATGGGCCCCATCCACAACATCCACATGCCGCGCGACCGCGTCACGCAATCCCACCAGGGCTTCGGCTTCGTCGAGTTCCGCACGCCCGCCGACGCCGAGTACGCCGCCAGCGTCGTCAACGGCGTCAAGCTCTTTGGCAAGTCGCTGCGCGTCAACAAGGCGTCGGCCGACCGCCAGCGCGCCACCGACATTGGCGCCGAGCTCTTTGTCGGCAACCTTGACCCGTCGGCCGATGAGAAGCTCCTCTACGACACCTTTTCGCGCTTCGGCCCGCTGCTGTCCCTGCCCAAGGTGGCGCGCGACGACGCCGGCGTCTCCAAGGGCTTCGGCTTTGTCAGCTTTGGCGACTTTGAGAGCGCCGACGCCGCCGTCGAGCACCTCAGCGGCCAGTACCTCCTCAGCAACCAGGTCACGGTGCAGTACGCCTTCAAAAAGGACGGCAAGGGCGATAGGCACGGCGACCAGGCCGAGCGCGAGCTCGCCAAGCAGGCCAAGAAGCGCAACGTCGTCCCCGAGGCGCAGCCGCTGCCCCCGGCCTTTCTCAACGGCGGGGGGCCGCCCGTGTCAGCGGTGCCGCCGCCAGCAGGAGCAACAGTGGCTGCGCCGCCAGCTGGCTTTGCCGCGGTGCCGCCGAGCATGCCGCCGGGAATGCACATGGGCGGTGCGCCGCCGCCTCACATGGGCGCTCCTCCAGGCTTCGCGCCGCCGCCGCCTCACCAGCGCGGTCCATCACCCTACAATGCGTCTGCCGGCCAGGGGCCACTACCCGGTCCTGCCGGCGGTGCCGGCCGCGCCGGCCTTCCTTCCGCAGGTATGCCTCTGCCGCCGGCGCCCTCGGGGCTGCCTGCGCGTCCGCCGCAGAGCCAAGGCGGTTACACCAACCCGGCCGACTACCACCCCAACGGCAGCAGCTACCGCGGCGGCAGCGGCGGCAGTGCCTCGCCCGCGCCGCCTCCCGGATTTCCGCAGCAGCAGCAGCAGCAGCCGCCTCCTGGATTTGGTGCGCCAGGTGGCGGCGCGCCTGCACCTCCCCCGGGCTTCATGCCGCCGCCGGGCTTCCCGCAGCAGCCTCCTCCGGGCTACCCCCGCCGATAGAGCAGACGGGATCTGTTCTGCAACCCGTCACCATAGTACCAAACAAAAGGAATGCAAGCATTACGGCGTGCTATTTTTCGGATCATCAGGCAGGAACAAGACCTGCGCTTTATGCATAAAATTACAGGGAGGGCGTTTTACGGCTGATTTCAGAAAATTGTAATAGTGATACCAAGATTTTAGTACCGCCATGCATATTATTGTAACATTGAAGGTCAATATATTCGTGGTATATAAATTTTATCTTCGAGCCATCATCGTCGTGCTATACAACTCTTTACGCCTATTCACCGTCCAAGACTCTTCTCCTGTAATTCCATGAAACTAACACCTTAAAACTCCAAACAAAAGTTTTGGTTTATCCGCTCCTCCACGACAAGAAAAAAGTATGGAAATAGTACAGTTATGCCAAAGCAACATATGACGAGACGTCGTCTCTTTCCGTTCCTCTCCCCCCTTCAACTCCGCTTGAATGCATCTCTCGCCTCCCTCGTCGCCTTTTCCCACTCCAGTCTCGACTCCTCCCTCTGACCTTGCACGTCGTACGAGTGCGCCAGCATGCCGTCGGCGACGCTCTGCCAGAGGACGTTGCCGCTGCGCTGGGCCTGCTTAGCCGCCGCGCGAGCGCTCTTGAGCGCCTGGTCGCCGATGACGTTTTCAAAGAAGCGGCTGCGCATGATGCAGAGCGTCACGGCGGCACCGACAATGTTGCCTGTGCCCTTGGAGCCGCCCATGGCCGCCTGGATATGCTGCTTCTGCTGGTTCAGTTGCTGCGGCGGGTCCGTGACCAGAGCGGCCATGACGTTGTGCCACGCCGTGCAAAGGTCGACGTTCCAGTGACCGCTGTACAGGGGCTGCAGCTGCTCGATGAGGTCGATGGTCTCCGAATCGTTGCGGCAGGAGTCGTGCTGCATGATCCAGAGCCTGTTGAGCCCAGCCAGCATCGCCACTTCCTGCTCGCCAACCTTGAGCCCGTGGCTTTTACAGAGTGGCTCGGTAAACCTGTCGCCTTGAAAAATCTCAAGGGCGGTTTGTAACTCGCCTAGTCCCTGGTGGTAGACGCCCGATAGGTAGAGCGCAAGTAGCTTCAGGGTTGGTTGCGACTCATCTGATAGCAAACCTTCTAACCTATCCATATGTTTTTTGACAGTGGTCCATTGGCAATGACTGGCTTCGAGTAGTCCAAGCATGACTGCTATGTATGCCTGGCCTTCGGTTCGCCACTGGCGTTGCTTGATCGCAGTGTGAAGGGACACTGGCGGTCCGTACGGGATGCCCAGTGTAAACTCGTCCCACGTCTCCAAGATTTTAGATCCCTCGCGCCAGAAATCTGTGGATTTAGATGACTGCTTGTGCAACGAAGAAAGCCCGCTGAACATGAATCTGTAATAGTGTTAGTACCAAGTAAGAAGCACGATGTCCAACAGAGCTACTTACATGAGAGATCGTAGCTCAATTTTGGTCATGAAAGTTATGACCAAGTTGTCCGATTCTGAGGTGCCGTCGCCGGGATCAACAATGGAAGCCGTATCTTGGCCAACTAAGTTAGAACTGGCAGCCTGCTTTTTTATAGGCACCATAAAATCCGCTTTGACATTATTCCAATCCTCGCAGTCATCAATCTTCTTCTGCAGGTCTCGCAGCTTGGCAGACGTCGCATCGGGATTCTGGTGGTGTAAGCTGGCGGCAAAATCCAGGAGAAGGACCAAAGTGTCCAGCTGCGTAATGCGGATCGTGGGGTCGAACTGAAACTTGGCAGCCTGCGCAATGCAGCTTTGCACCTTATCTATGCTACCTTCCTTGGCAGTCTTGAGCAGCGCCAGGCCTTCGAGGACAGATGCGAAAATGCTGAGAGCATTATCCCCACGCGTCGACGCCACGTTCTGGATAGCGCGAATGTTTTCAAGGGCAGATGTATCCGAAGCGTTGCCCATTTCCATGTAAAAAGTGGCCTTAAGCAGGCGGAAAGCGTAATACCAGGGCACGTGTTTGAAGGCCTCGCAGTTGGAAATGTGGCCATCGACAGCCTTGAGCGCAGCTTTGTGGTTCCTCTGGAAAAGAAGCTTCAGCATTGAGTATTGCATGCAGTATTTCAAATCCATCATGCGGTGCTTGTCACACAGCGCGATACCCTTGGTCAGAGCAGTCTCAGCCTCCATGATGTTTTCCGTTTCTTCGTGCAGCACTGTGGCATAGCGCAGGCGGGTTCGCGCTTCTTCTCTCGGTGCCAGGCGCGCGCTCTGGAGCATGCCTTCGAAGCAAGAAAGGCCAGTAGAGATGAGTCTTTGGTATTCTGTCACGTCGTCGGGGTCCAGAAACATGGCCACGTCGTGCGCCTGCGCTCTCGCCTTGCCAATGCACTCCTCTGCGACTGCTGCCATTATAGGGCCTGTATTGATCGGTCGTTGCTTGTATTGTGGCGCAGGCGAGCGCTTTGTGATGCTAGGCGAACTCGCCACCGAGGGCGACTTTGGTGGTGGTGGTTTCGGGCTCGATTTGAGCCAGGGCTTTGGCGGCTCTACCTTTGTTTCTTTACGGGGTTTCGGCTTCAGCAAGTCTGGTCTTGCTTCTTGCTTTGGGTCTGATTTCGGTTGCAGGATGGGCTCTTCCTTCAACCTCGATATGGGCTCTTGGATAGGCTCCTGTTTAGGCTCTACTTTGGGGGACGGTGCGTTCGGCATTGCTGTATCTTTTTCTTCTAGCTCCGGCTCACGCTTCAATGGGAGCGGATCAAGAAGCGGTTTCGGGAAGCTCAATGTCAGATCGCGAGGGTCAATGCTCTGGAATTCCATTGCCGGCATTGGCGGCGGAGGTGGAATGTTTTGGATATCCTGCAGGTTGACAAAGTGGAAATGTTCGTTTTGCGACTGTTGTTCGATTTGCAGCTCGTCCTGTGTCGAATCTTGAGTGACGCTGGCTATGGTCTCGAAATTATTCGGCTCGTCAGGATTCGACAGAGGTTCGGGCTCGGGCTCTGGCTCAGGTTCAGAGACTGCTTCGGGCTTTGACGCGGGCTCTGCTTCGGGCTCGAGGGGCGTGAATATTTGTTGCGGTTGTACATGCAACGGGTGTTGTGATTGCGTTTGCTGCGGCAGTTGCAGTTGCACTTGCGGCTGTGGAGTCGTCGGCGTTTGCGGTGTCAACGACTGACGCCGCGTCTGCATCTGTGGCTGGCTCGTTATGTGTGGCGATTGCTGTAACTGCGGTGACTGGACCATTTGCGGCGACTGCGTATGCGGAGATTGCAAATGCTGGTGAAATGCCTGTTGCGGCTGCGGTTGGTGGTACTGTTGCGGCTGCTGCTGCTGCTGCTGCTGCTGCTGCTGCTGCTGCTGCTGCATCTGAGTCTGGCCGTGTGCTGGATGGACGACATGGTGAGTTTGGGGCGTCGGTAGCACTGGTCGAGGTGTCATTTGTCGCGGCTGCGGCGATGGCTGCGGGATGGGAGACTGAGAGATTCGTCGCTGATATTCCTGAATATGTTGCGCGGGTATCGACGGCTGTCGTGGACGAGGAGAAGGGCGCGACTGGTTGTGTATTTGCGGCGAGGCGATGGAAGCGTTGTAGAGCTGGGGTGATTGTTGCTGGGTATGCTGCATCTGCTGCAGCTGCTGTAGATGTTGCTGCTGCGATCGCTGCTGCTGCATCACGGTGGCTTGCATCTGCGTCGGCATCATGGCATGTTGTATGGACGGCGATTGAGATTGGCGCCAGACATCGTTGGACTGCGCAAACTGTCGACCATCGGACTGCTGCTGCTGCTGCTGGAAGTTGCCGTGGTATACACCGCTGCCTATCGAGGCGCCTGCACCGGCACCAAACTGCTGCATCTGCGCGCCATGCTGTTGCTGTGGATGTTGCCGCTGATGTTGCTGCTGGCGTTGGTAGTGCTGCTGTTGCTGAAACTGATGATGATTCTGCTGCGGTTGGTGCTGAGGCTGGCCGTACTGCCCCTGCTGGGGCTGGTAGTATTGGGTCTGGCCCATGCTGTTGGCGTACAGGCTGTTAGCATTGTGATGCGACCCGTTTTGCTGGGCAAACTGATGCTGCGGCGGCTGCGGCTGCGGCTGCGGCTGCTGCATCTGGTGATGTTGGCCGTGGTGATGCTGCGGCTGCTGATATGCATACCCAGCTTGCTGGCTGGCCGCGCCACCACCTCCGCCGGAATACAGGTCCCCTTGGCCAGGATAGCCCTGGCCGGGCGGGAGCGCGCCTTGGTATGTCATGATGGTCGCACCATGAGCCGACACGAGTCAATTCGTCGGGCGACCGCGTCGGGCGACCGCGTCGGACTAACTGTTGCGCTCTCTCTCTCGCGTCGCTTCAGACCCCTAGCTGCATCGCTTGTCGATCGCGGCACAAGGAAGGGGGGGGGGCGGCGGCGACGACGCTCGACTGACGGATAGACGGGGGTGTGTGGAGGGCTCTGGTCCGAGGATTTTACGCGTCGGTTATCGCGGGGAGGAGGGGGAGGCAGCGAAGAAAAGATTGAGGCCGGTTGGCTGGCTTCGTCTCTGAATCTCGGTCGCGCCGCACCCCTTTTTTCTTGTTTCGCGACTTCGGGTCTTTGTCGTTGGATTTCTGGCTGATGGGATTGGGCGCAAGAATGAGGTTCGCCTACCGGCCTAGGGGTTGGAGCGGAAAAGGAATGGGGTGGCGCTGGTCGATGGTTCCTCGGGCAGTGTCACTGTCAAGCAGCAAGGGGATGCTGGGTGGTGGTCGAGTCGCGGAATTCGACGCGGCGATGGATATAGATAATGTCGTCGCCGGCACGCCCAGGTTCTCTACTAGCAGGTAAGCATCAGCGTTGTGGAATATTATTCTATATTTTATTCTTGGACTGCTTGTCATACATTTTGTCCATGTACCACGCGCAGGTCTATTCCCGTGCTTTGGGCGCCCGCGTGACAAGTCTGCACCGACAAGTCGCCGTGTCACACATTTCAATACGCCACATATACATGTTACCTCGAGCCACTAAAACCTTCAGAGATGCGCGACTCCTGCCCAGGCCGTGCTAATCAATAACTATTAGAACGAGTCAAGGCCCAGGACAGAGTTTCAGACTGCCCACTCCAAGCGATTAGTCTTGCAGTGGCCAAGTTTCACCATTGACCATGGATCATAGTGCCTTCTTTGTTCTTTTCGGCGTGTGAGCTTTTCGAGGTGCGAGCATTGTGAAATCAAAGTCGGTATTAATAAAAAACTACTTCATAACAAATCATACCTGCCCATACTCCGGAACTATAGTTACAAGAGTCATAAAATGCATTTTAAATACAAGCTTCAATCCTCATGCTTTTGTTTCTTTTGAAATGGTGCGTCGTTCATGGCAGCTTTCTTCTTTATATGTGCCGCAACTCCGGGATGATGCAGGTCGTGTCCAACATGGCGAGAAATGGAAAAGAAAATAATAATATGAACAGTTGTAATCCCCGGCCCATTTGGCTCATATTAGCCAATACAGTGCCATTCGGCAAACACACACCAGCGGGCGGTTCGGTCCGCCAGCACGAGACCTCTCCAGATACCCGTCTCAGAGCACTTGATGATCGTCTCCCATGTGGCGCCGTCGCTCATCTCGTCGTCGTCGCGTCCGGTGACTGTGATACCCTTGCGATCCTCTTTCCTCATCAGGCGAAGAATCTTCCCCCCGGGCGTCTGGATAGCCAGCTTCGCTGGCTTGTGGCCGGCCACTGTCCCGCTTGCGGAGCTCGGGTTTGAGCCACTGACGCTCGAGGCAACCATGCTCATAGCTGAGCTTGGGCGTGCAAAGGGATTCGGGCTTGTCCGGCCAGGGTTCGATGACGGCGTCAGGCTTGATTGTAATACGCCAGCTGAAAGGCATGGGTGCTGGCGGATGGCAAATACAAATGTGTTGTTGAGAGCTAAGCGCTGGCACTGTGGCTGCACAATGTAAATGTCATTGCGCTGCGCGTGTGGCGTCGGGTGCCGCGTCACAAACTGATAAGGAGGATTTTCTCCCGTGTGGATAATGGGCAGCGCAAGAGCCAGGGGGTGCGGCACATCTTTGATGCTGTGCATCAAGCCTCTTGTACCTGCGTATATCTTGAGCACTCCCTGACCCTCGTCGCCAGGCAGCAGTGCCTTGACTGTGTACCTTTTGACGCCACCGTACCACTCTGCCTGCGCCAGGGCTTTCGTTTTGACTACCTCGCCACTCTCAAACACATCTCCATCGTGGTCTCGAGAGTAAGCGCGAGTCTCGACTTCAGCTACCACCTCAATATCTGCGGGAACGTTCATCTTGAGATGAACCATCTCCAAATCTTCGATTCTCGTTGAGGAAGTATTATAGTCCACCATTTCAACTGAGTCTTTGAAAAAAGTAGGGCAGACGCAGGGTAAGTTGAGTAGAATTTCGTGTGCCACCGCCGGCACAATGTGCTGCTGTCCATGGTGCTCTGGTACATGCGTCCAGCAGAGTTCAGACGGTCTGGTGAGAAACCACCAAGGTTCCGCCACAGTGCTATTGACTGTCGAGTATAGGCTGCGCTTCGGGTTTGATGGGCTGGCCAGGCAGCAGTCCATCATGCGCCACTCATTATCCACCAACACGGCGTTCCACCAGTGATTTGGCCGCGGCATGATGTTGCCGTCTACTATCTCACCAGGGGCCTTGAGGTATCCTCGTACGACTTCACACGTAATGCCAACAGCCAGGCACATTTCCATGACGAGCACTGCATACTCCTCTGCACACCCGCGTTTGGATTGAATTACCTCACGGGTGTTAATCTCGCCTTCGAAGTCTTCTTCCCAGACAATCTTCTCGCTAACCCATGTGAAAATAGCTCGTAGGCGTTGTACATCGCTGCGGTAGGGTCTACAAACGTATGTAGTTGCCAGCGAGATGGCTGTTGTCGCGGGGGAAGCTTCATTGATGAATCGAGAGTTCTTGTCCACTTGTGTAAGGTTAATCGACTGGTAGTTGAGTGAGTCCAAAACGGGGTTTCCATCTGCTGCTTCGTCGCCCTCAATGCTTTCGTAGAGCTCGTCCACCGGGTTCAAGGTTGGGTGATCTTGACCTTGACAACGGTCTCTCCGTTCCGCCCTCTCGATGTTACTTAGCGAATTGGATCTGTTAATGTCACGACGCACTTGGACCCAATCAATGGAGCCCGTGCCCGTTTCCCGTGGCGAGTCCATGTTCGAACGCAAGGCCGTCATACGGGCAGACCCCGTGGCTCCGCCGCCATAAGCTCGGTTGAAAGGTGAAGGATTACGCGGATCATATCCTAATCCACCGGCGAGATTCCCACGATTATTTGCGACGCCCGTTTTGGCGGATTCAAAGATCTTTTTGAAAATGTTGCGTTTGGGGGCTTTAGGCTGTACCAGTCCGCCCAATCCTGCAGCCGGATCCTCGTATACAGCTTGTGACATTATTCTAGCGGCGCCACCAGCATTCGTAGCATGGCTGCTATGATAGGATACGCCCGTAAATGGTGAGTCTGGTCTTTCAAGGTCGGCTGTCTCCCGCATGGTCACGGCGCTGTGAGCTCGGTTATGGTGGTTTCTAGCCATGCTTCCAGCGCTTGTTGAGCTAAAGCCACTTGCCGACGTGCCACTCCACAGCGTTCGACTACTACTCTGGGTAGCATAGCTGGTGTTGCTTTGGTTGCCGGACGACGAATTCGTCGTATTTGTTTTTGTCGTATATGTGCGCCCGATGGCGTCCTTCTCTCTAATGTCGTACGCCGATTTCTGCGATTTCAGTGCCCTTTCATGCACAGCGCGGTCTCCGGCCGAAGAGCTAGGCCGCGTGTAGTGTTGATTCTTGGGAGGTGGTGGAGGCGGTCCGTCAGTGTCTACAACGGGCACACTGCTGCTGTGCTTATGCATCTTTTGGAAACGCTTCTCCATTCTTTCCACGTAATTGCTCAATTGTGGCAGCTCTTGTGTTTCTCCTTTCCGGCTGCGCTTATGTCCCTCCAGCTGAGAGGATTCACCACTCCATGTCTCGTAGCCTTCGTCAGACTGAGCAATGCCCATTGAAGTCCGTGGTCTGCCGAACTCAGGCTCGTATGCACGCGGCACACGAGTCTCTAGGCCGAAAGACTCCGGTGCCCAGGGATCAATCTCCGCTTCTGGAGACTCCCCTGATCGACTTCCCAGCCCTTCTAGCTCATCGAGCTGTTCCATCACGCCATCCATGGCTTCACGGAGTGGTGAAGGTGTCATTGCGTTGCTACCGCCAGGCGAATGCTCCATGTATGAGCCAGCTCTTCGCGGAGTGGCATACTGGTCAGCGTGGCCACCATGTCGATGATTGTCATAGGACGCATTTGATGTGTGTCTCTGGAAATCCTCCGGCTCATGATAGGAAAGCTGTGATGCATGGCGTGACACTTGAGAAGTCTGTGAGTGATAGGAGACCGCCGAACCATGTCTGGACAGGGCAAGTGGAGGCTCGACGTCGACCGAACCAGCTCTCACGACGTGCTTATGCGGTGGCGGAGGGGGAGGAGCTGATTGTTGGTGGGCGAGTTCGTTTTCTCTGGGAGGCTCTGGTCGTCGGAATGAAGGGGCGGGCGATACAGCTCTGGGGTCGTAGGGTCTTATGCGCGGCGGTGAGGGAGTATGCTCCGGCCTCGTACTTGTGGCGCCAGTTTTGGTTCTAGCGACAGCCGCCGAAGAGACAGGAGTCTTGACGGGTGACACCGGCTTTTTGGCAGGCTCTTCCCGAAATGTAATGGGTGTCTTTGCACTTGTGTAATGAGGAGCTTTGGCGTAAGCCTCAAACGGGCGTCGGAATGGTTTCGATCTCGAAGGGCTCGGCGCGATACTGGGTGGTACAGGGCTGACGGAGCGATTCGCGGATGGCCGAAATTCTTCTGGAAGGACTTTGACAAAGTTGGAGGGAAAGGAGCCGACCGTCCGGCGGTCACGATATAGTCGTCCAACCCACCACGAGCCATCTCCGGCGTTGAGGCATTCGATCAAATCACCTTCGATGAAGCCAAGATCGCGTTTTCCCTGGAGAATTGTCAGCATTCTAGGTGCAGCCGGTCTTGAAGAGATACCGACCTCTCCTCCCCAAGAGTAAACAGCTCTACACCAGCAAGGAAATTGCGTGGGCAGCGGCGGTGGTGCTGGCACCATGGTAACGATGGTGTAGAATGCTCTTGTATGAATATTGGTGAATATAATTCTTTTCTGCGATGGACGACCCGGTGAGGTTGAGCAAGCGGGAGTAAACGCTGCTGTGTGACGCTTCGTTTGCAGCTACAGCGGCTGTGATATTGGGCAGCTGTCGAGGCGCGTTTGTACGTGGTGGGTGTGTACAAGCTCAACCGAACATGTTGATGGAGAAAGTCGTGCGCAGCAAGTAATCGGGGCAAAAAAGCAAGCAAGCGATCAGGGACAGAAGCAAGTGGCTGTCTCTGGTAAGGAGAAGCTCATTTACGCCGGGATGCAGACGTCGTTGGGCGCGGGTGATTGGCTGACCAAACGAACCAACGGCGTAAATCAGGCGCTGACAGTTGATTCAGAGTGCCAAACAACAGAGGGGCAACGAGAGGCGTTGCCAGGGCGACGCAAGCCTTCAGCGGCTAACAAAGAGACCGGTCCACTGTAAGCCCGCTAACAAGCCCCTAAAGCATCCCCAGAAACGGCGGCGCAGCAGCGTATTGTGCCTTGATCGGTATGACGAAGGTGCTAATCGATCACCGATATAACGGCAGGTAAATAGGTAGGTAGGTACCTATCTTGCTGCAGCACCTGCTGGGCGCTAAGCTGCCTTGTCTGGCGTCACCCAGCTGACCATTTTCACACACCATTGCATACCAGTGCGGTTGTCACCATAAGTTACCCAGCGGCCCTAACGATGCGCAGACCCAATATGACATGCCCAGTGCCTTTTTTCATCTAATGTTTAAATACATCTCCTCAACCATAATTTTCGACCCATGATTACAGAAAGGAAGAGAAAGTTGCCCTCACTCTGGCCAGGTCGTTTCCCTTCCAAATTGAACCCCGCTGACGGACGTCACAGCTGTCCCAAAGCGGAAAATTGTCAACAAAGGCCCAAGCTCTAGAGAGGTACCCTTGCACCCTGTCCCAGACAACCATCATTTGCGCATACAGGTTGATAACCATTGCGGCGCCCTGCCAAGGGTGGAAAACCAGCCCTCTCTTCTCTTTTCCCTCCATCGACAACCACTCCCTCTCGACTCGACGGTTGCTGCGCGCGCAACAATTCCGGCCGCTCTCCTCCCGATTTTTGCCGCCAAGCTGAATAACCGTCGAGCGCCTCACCACAGCCTTTGCCGTCTGCCGCCCGAGGCTGTTTGAACCAGGTTGAGCGTTGCACAGACATCACAGCACAAATGGCCGACGAGGGACTTGCAGAGCACTACCAAGTGTTGGAGGAGCTGGGTCGTAAGTCTACTCATGGCAGCAAAGCACGCGAGCGGTACTAATAAAATCTTGATAGGGGGAAGCTTTGGTGTCGTTTACAAAGGCATCGAGAAAGCAACAGGCGAAACTGTTGCCATCAAGCATGCAAGTCAATCCACCGAATTACTCGCCGCAGCCGCCTTCAAACTAACCATGACGCTTAGATTGACCTCGAGTCCAACGATGATGATATCCAAGACATCCAAGCTGAGATCGCTGTGCTGAGCACATGCGCCAGTGCCTATGTTACGCAATACAAGGGTTGCTTTCTGCGAGGGCACAAATTGTGGATTGTCATGGAATATCTTGGTGGCGGATCTTGCTTGGACTTGGTGAGCATGCCAAGGCTACACACAGCATGGCACTCGGCTAACATTGTGATGTAGCTCAAACCTGCCAATTTCAGCGAAACACACATTGCCATCATCTGTCGAGAGCTGCTACTAGGGATTCGGTATCTGCACGATGAGGGAAAGATTCATAGAGATATCAAGGCAGCCAACGTCCTTCTCTCTGAGAGCGGCAAGGTCAAGCTGGCCGATTTTGGTGTTGCCGCGCAACTCACCAATATCAAGTCACAACGCAACACCTTCGTCGGCACGCCGTTCTGGATGGCGCCAGAGGTTATTCAACAAGATGGTTACAGCTTTAAGGCAGACATTTGGTCTCTTGGCATCACAGCGATGGAGATGGCCAACGGCGAGCCCCCATTGTGCCACATTCACCCCATGAAGGTTCTCTTTCACATCCCCAAGAATGCGCCTCCCAAGCTTGAGGGAAACTTTAGCAGGGACTTCAAAGACTTCGTCGCCCAGTGCCTGACCAAGGACTACGATCGCCGACCCACAGCCCGGGAACTCCTCCGTCACCGATTCATCAGGGCGGCAGGCAAAATTGAGGCCCTCCAAGAATTAGTTGCCGCGCGCCAAATGTGGGACGCCAATCAAAACCGCCAAAAGCACCCGATTTACTATCAGGAGACGTTACAGACAATGTCGCCCAAGTGCGGAGATCAAGAGTGGACCTTTGACACAGTCAAGTCCATTGCCATGGTTCCTCCCAAGAGACAGACCATCAAGATCAGGCGACCGTCTGCCATGCTCGGCGCTGAAGAGGGTTTTCGCAAGTTGGATCTCAACGATGGGCCTCTTGGGCCTTCTTCACCAGCGAATGGCACCGTCAGAAAGGCGACTGCTCGACGAACACCATCTTTGGCACAAGTCTCGGCAATGCACTCTGGTGGCTCTGTGAAGACCAGCTTGCCTCCCAAGAAGCCTCTCCAACCAGACATGTCATTTGGGAACTCTGGTTCAACTATGAGACTGTTCCGACGCGTTCCCTCAGACAGCTCCACTGGAGGCCAGCTTGGTCGCCCTGCCAGCCCGGACGATGTTTTCTGCGATGAAAACCAATCACCATCGGCCGCTGCGCCTGTTGTGCCGTTTGGCAAGGAGGCCGTTATTGGTCGTCGACTATATACCAAGGCCATCGAGCCCACCATGGCTGAACTCCACGCTCAAACGTCTGCTATGCAGAAGCGGGAGGCTCTTGGCAAGGTCTCAGATGCCCTTGCGGCGCTCGACGCGATCGACCCCGAGGGTTCCTACCATCTCATGGCAAATCTCATCACCTCCATGGTCAAGGACAATAAGCTTGACGCGGCCTTCCTGCGACAGGCCAACGTCAAGGTGGTTCCGGACGATGGTACCCCGCAAGGTACTGTTGTGATTAAGAATAGCACACCAGTCAGCAACGGCACCGCCAACATAGCTTGCAGTCCCACCAAGCTTATACTCAGCTCCAATAACCCGCATCTCAAGAGCCATCGACGCCGCCAAGGCGACTCTCCCACTCCTTCCAAAATCAATGAAAAGAGCTTCGAAAGAGAGAGATCTATGGTTGAGGAGCAGTATCCTGGAGGCGAGGCGCGTCCAGGTATGGAGCACTGTAAGCAGCTGGCTGATGTTTTGTACAATCGCTGGTCTGATGGTCTCCGAATCCGATGGCCTCAGGTCTAAGAGCGGGTCACGACTCGTCGACACGGAAAACCGAAAACAACGAAGACCCCCCAAAAGAAAAGCAAATTCGAAGACTACTATCCTGCTTTACTAGCGATGTACTAACACAACACTCCGCGGCATCCTTCCTCTCAATGGAGGAGGATATATAGGGGAAAAGCGATGATCTTGGTTGTTATTTTTTTTTAAAAAAAAAAAAGGAAAAAAATCGTCATCAAGCTTCTCGTGAATTTTCCTTTCCTTTCTTCTTTTTCACTTACTTTTTCTCTTCTTACTTTATTTCGACTTGGTCTTCATTGAGGGGTGTACGACTTTGGATGTATGAAAACATGTACTTTTGGAATCTCTTCTGCATACCGCGGGTGGAGCAGGGCTACTACCAGAATCAGCGAGACAGATGCGATGCCCCAGTGAAGGAGGCCGGCACAGTCGAAAGAGCCAGCTGGCAAAGACTGTCTTACACGAAGGACAGTCTGCGCTCTTGGCTTGAGCGGCGGGAAAGATCATCTATGGGCGGCATCTTACCAAAAACTTGATTTTCTGGAGAGAACCTGCCGACTCTACCGGAGTACTCGGCGTTTTAAAGGAACAAGCATGGGGTTTTCTTTATTTTTTAGACACATAGCTATATAGTGAGCCATTAATGCGGCAAGGACTTGAATTGAACAGATAACAAACAAATGATTCCAATGATGACGGTATCCAAAACTGTTCATATTATAGTGCCGTTGAAATAGTATCTCTATATTGGTTGAGTATTGTCTGCCCCTAATGACAGTTTGATGCGCCAGTTTTTGAAATCGTCAGATAGTATATCGCCATGGCCAGTCTCTTCCACCTTGTACACCTCTATCACGGGCGACTTGGGCTGTCGCCTGATCCGCCATACGCCTTCGTCATTGATGGTATGTGTGAGGACTGCTCGCTGTTAGTAGCCCGTCTCGGAGAGCATTAGCAGACAGTCGCGGGCACTCACACTCCAGAAAAATCGCGGCAAAGTTGACGCACATGTCGGCGTTCCAGGACGGGTTTGGCTGCGCGTTGACCGTCTCGGGGATGCGCTGTGTCTCGATCTCCTGCACGTCGAGGAGGATGCCATCGCGCGAGCGGAACCCGACGATGATCTTGGGCACGCCGAGCAGAAACGACTGGATCCAGTACTTCATGAGCTTACGGTGAAAATTCTCAACGTCGCCCGGGCCGCGGATCTCGGCGCTCGTCTTGAGCTCGACCCATTGGACAGGGCTGCCCTGTTGCCGCGGCTTTGAGTCCCAAAGGGCGTCGACCTCACCGCCGAGGCACAGGATCGAGCGGCCGATGCCGGTGCGCACGACGGAGCAGTACTGCGCCTTGTTGTTGACGACGGCGTCCTCACGGCCCTCGATGACAGAGCGCTCCGTGTCGCCCCAGGGCGCGGGTATGGTAGCGAGCGTCTCAAACTTGTAGCCCCAGAACTGCATGACCTCCAGCGGCGGTCCGTGGCGCCGCCGGTTTTGGCCCTCGTTGCGCCGCGACGCCACTTTGTACGCGTTGTTTTCTTCGATGAAGATGCAGTCCTGGTACAGAGTGGCGTTCATCTCGAAGCCGTCCTGGTTGTCAAAGGGCGTCGCCATGATCTTGGTCATCATGCCTCGCCACGTGACAAAATGCGCGTCTATCCTCTTGCCTGTTTCCTTTTCATGTGACATAATGGTTGTTAATAAGCTGTCGAGATGCTCATCTTTGGAGTCGTCCAGCTTTTCAAAGGTGTCGAACCCTTTGGAGAGATCTGCGCCCAGCTGAGGCGTATAGTACCACTTCAGCGAAGCGTCACCGATGGAGAATTCATGATTCTCGTCGTATGAGAAGCACGCGATCTCCTGCGACGTGCGATCAGTGAGTTGGTCGGGTATGCGAGGTCCTGGTCTGTTACCTTGGGTCGCCGGACAGGCTGGCTCGCGCCGGCGAAGCGACCAATTGGTTGCACCGGAAAATGCGCAGACATGACCTATAAATCCCTTTTCATCTAGGCGATGGCTTCTTAGTTTGTCTAGATTGAAAAAAAAAAAAGTCATGGGACAGATGTTGCAGGCGAAAGGGTTCAGTAATTCAAGGCCCACAGAAAGTAGGTCTGATGGGAAGCAGTTGATGGTGCTAACTATTTACAGCGCCAACCCTACACATAGGCGCAGCGCAAGTCAATACCTTCCTAGGTAGGTACCTAGATACGCGTAGAGGGTCACCGGGAAAGAACGTGCGCAGGTATAGTTGTGTTTTCTTCAAAATCAATATGTGATTTTACTGTCTGCTTGTGCATAAGATAGTGGACCATTGATTGAATGACTGCATGAAGGCATGATGCAAACAGAAGCCGTACTTGCATATAAGTTATAACGGGCCGTCACTGCTCCTGCAACGAACAAAGCAGCATCGCTCGCAGCACAAAACTTTCTCTCTTATCGAGCGATTCAAATATCGGATCACTGGTTGACGCTATCGACTCGAATTCTCCCGGTCCTTTTGCTGCTCATCTGCGCAGTCATAGACCTCACATGCGGTGCTGGATGGAACCACGTGATAGCACTTCACCAATAGGACCCTCTGTTAGCATCACTTGCACTTTGCATTACAACGCGACGCAAACCGTCTCAAATCCGGCGTCATCGGCTGCGCACAACGACAACAGGGGCCCTCAGCCTAATGCCAAGATCAAAAAAGCCAGCGCGGACCGGGAAGAAGCCAGCAGAGCAGACTTTCCAAACGGGCTGGTATACTATCCGCCAGATCCTGGACGAGAAGCGTGTCGCAAACAGAATCCAATATCTTGTAGACTGGGACGACGACGCTAAGACCGGTGAATCGCACGAGCCGACCTGGGTTCCGGTAAGCTATCATGCATAGACGCTCTGTTCTATTCATACTAACAGGTTGTCAGAGTTCCGACGTAACTCCCCTAGCCAAAAGTGAATGGAAGAATCGGAAATCAACGACCGCCTCCAAACCGCCGTCTGCGACATCAGTATCCCAAACCGGCCAGACTGGTCAGTCCGATCAGTCCCCTCGACCTGCCAATTTCCGGCATCTAGAGCGAACGAAATCGAAATCACGCGCCCGGTCTTCCTCTACTGCTTCTAGCATTGATGCTGGGCCCGCAAGGAAGCGCCTCCGATATAGTCCCAGTTCTTCCACAGAGCCTGTCCCTTCCATTGTCTCGGCGCCTTCTCCTAGCCCTGCGGCTGATGTCCCGGAATTTGAGGGACCAGCTGGCGTCCAGACCGAATTGATCGTCGATATCCCAAACGCGCCAAACTTCGACCCCGCTGAATTCTTCAGCGTTTGCGGTTCGCAATCCACCAGCTACCCATCGCAACCACTAAGCGAGCTTGAAGAACAGGACCAGCGTTTGGCGCTTTCTAGTCAAATCAGCCTTCGAACTGTTCCCGACTCTCAAGACTACTCTGGGCAAACACTGTCCACCGCTTCCTTTCACAAAGTTATCGATAGTGCTGTCTCATCTCTACCAGAATCTAATTGCGCCGTGATTCCAGATTCGCTGGAACAACAAGGAAATCGCGTCGTACCAGAATACACAGAAGACACACACGAGTGTATTCCGGAATCAAGTATCCCAGCTGAAACAAATACCGATTCTGCCATCCCTTCCCGTCAAAAGGACGCCAAAGAGCAGTCTTTCTCTGGTGTACCCAGATTCAACAGTACCTCAGATAGTTCGAATCAGCCAGCGAAATCGCCCCAAATCACAGCTCGTGATTCTCTCCCAGCTAGCATAGGCGAAGCGCCCGAATTTCTCACCCAGATCGAAATACCCGAACACTCTACGCTTCTCACAAGCTCGCCTCATCCAGGACAGCCATCCGCACCACTGAGCCAGGCCGCCACAAGTCCGCCTCAAGCCAGTCACCAAGCCTCGCACGACGCTCAAGTCGTTCCTAATTTCTTTGATACCGTATTAGAACGAGCTTTAGACAGCAAAGAGACCAACAATATACCCGCGCAGGATCCCACCCCGGAATCACACCATACATATTCCTATATTCCCGACGAGATTGATCTAGAGGAGATCAGTATGGCAGACAGCACAGGCACTCAGCGGTCCGCAGTGGACGAGCTGAATGACCTGTTTACTATAAATCCTACAACCGACTCTCAAGCACAGTCACACGACAGAAATCAACCAGCAGCGACAGAAGATGGCGCATCTGAGATTTTCAAGCTGCAAAACCAACCGAGTCAGAATCCGTCAGCAAGCGTTGACTCGCTCGACCCGAACCACTGGCACCCACCTACAGTAGAGGCTGTCGACGAATCAGACTTGACAGCTTCAACTAGTGGGATCGCTTTCAATACTCAGCCGGATACACATGCGCAGTTGCTCATACCTATGTATTCTCACGAAGGACTGCCTGGTACCATCTCACCATCAGAAATATTGGCATCTGCTGGAGCGGTGTCGGATGGTAACGCGAGCCCGATCCTTGAACCACCGGGAGTGATCCCAGCTGCTGTTTTTGGAAGCTCTGCTGAACCCATAATCGCGGGACAGCAATCGCCAGGCTCGCCGTCATCATCTGCCACAAGCGACGACCCCGTTTTGATGCATCATCTCATCACATTGCCGTTCCAAGCCAGCTTGCGGCCCCAATATGATGACATCCTGCTTGCGCATAGAAAGCACGTCAAGGAATTCTCTGAAGTCTTCAGCAACGAAGAGTACGTCGAGCCGAACCACAGTCTCGTCCAAAAGATTGACGAGCTATTTTGCGCTCTTCGCAATATCTGCGACTACCCTCAAGACCTTATTGGGACGTCACTTGAAAAGCTGTCGCCGCCTGACCAGGTGAAATATGCCTGTGACGCCAACCCAAAATTCAGTTTCGTCTTTGAGCTTCTACAAGGCATAGAGACTAACATTCGCGTCCTCATTGTCGCCCAGTCTGTGGAGCTTCTACGGCTTTTGGCACATGTTGCGGCAACGCTGGATATTGATTGTTCTGCACGAGCGCTCGAATCATTGCACAACGTATCGAATAACTCTGCGTGTAATGTAACGCTGGCATTACCGAACGACGAATTTGACATTGATGAATTTGAGGTTGTCATTGGCTTTGATCACTCGTTCGGTAGCTCCCCAGTAGCGCAGGCTTTATTACGAGAAGGGCAAGCAGTACGCCCGCCAATGGTGCTCACCCTTGTTACTACCCACTCTATCGAGCATATTGACCGGCAACTACAGGGAGAACTGAACCCTCTGGAAAGACGGAATGCTCTGCTGGCGAGCATTGTCAATGCCAGGAAGCTTACTAGTGACCCCGACCCCGGGTACCCTGAACCCCACTCAATTGCGACTATGTTTTACGAATTTCTGAACGGAGCTGCTGAAGAAGTGTTTTGGGACCCTATTTCACTGCCAGAGGATGTGCTCGATATCTATATGAGCTCGCAGTCGCAGTCGCAGTCGCAACAGCCTGCAGTGGCCGAGACCGAAAGTAGTCGCAAGCGCAAGCTTGATGATGGCAACGAAGAAGAGGTGAAGAGGATGCGCTCCACTTTCAAGGAATCCTCGGCCAACAAAGAAGAAGTACCTCTGCCTGACGATGTGCGCATGCTCCTTGACTCTGTATCAGCGGCAGGTCAAGCTCTGCCCGGTTCACGGGTGTCGATTCGAGTTTCACTTTCGGTGCTGCAGGCAATCGCTGAAGAGATGTCTGAGCTTGAGCGGCGAGCTGCGGCAAGTGACAAGGAGGCCCAATATAAGAGTGTTATCGAGAGCCTAGAAGCACGTCTAAAGGAATATGAGCGAACCTCTGGCAAGACTTATCAGGCATATCGAGCAGCAGTCGAAGAGCGCACCAAGTTCGAAAAAGAAAGGACGAAGGCAGATGCGGCGCTACGATCGGCACAGGAAGCAGCTGAAAAAGAGAACACAAAATTGCAGACCAAGATCGGCGAGCTAGAAGTCACCGTTTCACGGCTTGTGTCGGATAGCGCGGAAGCGAATCCACTAGCAGCTTCGGAGAAACTGCTCACGGAAACTCAGGATACGGTGAAGCGTCTCGAAAAGCGTCTCGAGAATGCGACACAGGATGGCGAATATGCCAAGAATGCATATCAAGAAGCATCTAGCGCGGCGACGGTATTGCAAACGGAGAATAAGGAGCTCAAGACGCAGAATGAGAAGCTGCTCCAGCGCAGCTCGGAGAACGTGACCAAGATCCACGAAATTCAGAGCGAGTCAATGGCCAAGGTGTATCTGCAACAGATTTCAGAGCTCAGGACTCAGTTGCGCGAGCGCGAGACGGAGCTGGATCGCACAAGGGAGGAGCTGCGGCAGGCGAGGACGCGCCGGGAGACGCGGCAGGCCAGTGTACCGCGCAGTCCTCGCATGGGCCTGATGAGTCCCCGCATTGGATGGTCGTACGTAAACCCGGCGAGTCGGGGCACAAGTCCGACGGGGACGACGGAGGGGGCGGCCACGATTGGGACTCTACCAGCCGGAAATGGCAATGGGCGATGGAACCATCTCAGAGAGTGACGTAGTCGCCTGGCGTTCGCAAATAACTAATAGGATATCATATTGCAAATTGATCAACGTTGTAGCGTCAGGTTGGCAATACATATTGTATCATGCTGTTCAAAACTGGCTGAAGTAAATGTATCAAAGTAGCGAGTTGCTGTTCAAGACATCTCGATTGACAACAGTGCTGGTACGAAGAATGTGTATCATCTTCCTATACAATGTTGCTGGCTCAAGGATCTGGACTAAAAAGCAAATGCGTCTTTTTTACATCTTTGTCTTTTTTATTGCTACAGCTGATTGGAACTCCCAGGTTTGCGCGTGCAACTCCCAAGTTTCTATTTCCCTCCGCCATAATCTCGGCCGCAAAAAAAAAAAGGGAAGTCAAACAAACGAGTAAAATGTTGAGTCAAGTTTCCTGCCGTCTCCCCAGCACACTCACTTACACACACCTTTCCTCTCTAGTATCATATACAATGGGAGCTTCTGCGTCGCTCCATGTCAACCCGCATGCCCCGTTTTCCTGTGGGTGATAATCTCGAGCCATTACCATGCAGTCCTTTGTTGTTTTAGCTTAAGATTGTTTCTTCTTGCCCCGCTGATTCGTAAATTTGTTTTTCTTCGCGCTCGGTGATGGTGATTGTCTATGTATTTATTTCTGCTCGGGGTAGAGATCCTCCTTCAGAGGGATGCCGAGCTCCTCGCGGAGGGGCTTGAGCTCCTGGAGGTATTGGTCGTACTGGCCCTTGGAATCGACCTTGGCCTTGATGCCTATAATATCAGACGGTTAGTATTTAGGGCACGGTGTTTTGTCGGGGTTACGGCACTACGGCCCAGAGAGGAAGCGGCAATCTCCGCAGAGGGCCGCGGGAGGGACAAAAGAAGAGATGGCGACGTACCCTCGAAGATGCGGACAGCAGTGGCAAAGTCGTTGACGCGACGAGCGGCCTTGAGAGCAGCGGCGACGACGGAGGGAGAGGGGACAAGATCGTAAGCAAAGGCGTTGTTCAGGTTGCGCTGTGAGGAAGGCAAGGACTTTAGCATTCAATTGATGGCGAATTGTTATCTCGGATGAAAAATTACCTGGAGCTCAAAGACATCCTGGACACCGTCGAATTCCTTCTCGAAGCTGCGAGATGTGGCGTTAGTCAAAAATTCCGCAGCGACAGCTTCCGTCATCGCCATCATCATTGGGCGTTGCGCGACAATTCGAAACTGTCCAATCGGGTATCAATTGATTTCGAGCTTCAACTTGCACGGCAGAGCTTGCACGGCGGATCAATTGAAGCTGTCGGGCGCGTCCGGCACGACGTTTTAAAAACACGCCATCCATCAGCTTCCGAATTGCCGCGACGAAAAAAAGACCCCACACCTAGACGTCGAATGGGCCGCCAATGAACCCTCGGGCGATGAAAATGAGGACTCCGAGGTAGTCTATCGGGAAGAGGGCGCTCACCGGGCAGTAAACTCCTCAAATGTCTCCTCGGCGTGCTCGCTGCGGCGGGGGACCGAGGTGCTGAAGCTGGCGACGGCGACGGCGGGTGAGCGAGCGGCGGCCATCAGGGGCGCGGCGACGACGGGACGAGCGACGGAGACGCTGCGGACAAAAGTCGCGGAGCCGCGAGCGGTGAGACGGAGGAAAGCGGCGGAAGGCATTGCGGGTTCGAGGAGATGTTGAGGTGGTGGTGGTGGTGGACGAAATGGAAAGCAGAGAAGTAGAAGAAAGCTGAAATTGACGCTCAAAAAGTTGTCCTAATTTGCACAACGTGTGACTGGTTGCAGGGAAGAGAGCATGCTTTTGCCAGCTTAGCATGACTAAGCCGGGCAGGGAATGGCCGTCATTACAGTGTGAATTGGGAAACACGACTGTAGAGTCTGTGGTGAGTTTTGGTGGGGACACTGCACTGTGTGAACGATGTAGTGCACGGTGGTGATGACCTACCGTTTGGGGGAGCTTGCCATTAGCCCGGTTCCAATTCGTCGCTGGAGGCCCGGGCCTAGTCTGGCTGGTCTTACTGGCTCAGTCTGAAAAGCAGGCCATTTTGGACTGGGTATGGCTTGATTCTGTCCTTTGCGCGGCGGGCTGTACCGAGGAAGGGAGGGCGTGATGGATTGACGCGGCCGTGATGTATAAAATCGCCAATTGACGACATTTGCTTTTCTGTAGTGTTTCAACCTTTTATTGTACACATTTTTTTCCGACTACAGACTTTTTGGAGTCGCCTTATTGTGATGGTCTTTCCCATTCCGTCGCCAGCTTCGTCCTCAATTGCACATGTCAGTGCTGAGGAGGCAACAGGACAAACGCAGAGAGACACACGAGACACCGTCAAGGTCAAGGTGCATCACATTAGCCCAAATAGCCGCGTTGCACCAGAACCACACCCGCACTAATAACCACTATTCGGCTCGTCGTCTGTTCAAAACTCCGAAACCCCGTCTTCGCCCAAGGCCAGTGCAGTATGTGCTGGGACAACCGAGATTATTTACAGGCTCCTCCTTTCGTTCTCCCGACCACAGCGGAACCCAGAGTAAAAATACAGCGCATTGGCAGTGCCAAAAACCAGCCTGAATATGAGGCGAGGGCGCCGGCTGCTCCGGCTAGGTACAGCCTAATTACCTAATTACAGTGGACTCGGTAGCGTCTGCAAATTTCCCCCAATTCCCGCGAATCGGGGATGGCACGTGATCTGAAAGGTCTTCCTTTGCTGCCAGCGAATCACATGCTGATGATGATGAGATGCGGCATCGCGGAAGTTGATAGACAGTGGGACACCGAACACCAAACACCATGACACCACGGTGAGGAAGTGAGAAATTCCATCTGACATCTTCAAAATTGGTAATAAGATATGATAGCAAGAAGCCATCCAGTACCTGAACTAGAGGCCTCGATCAGCGCCTAACATTCTAGCTTTCGAGGCCAAAACTCTACCATAAGCTCCCATTCGGCTAGTGGACTTGTCGGCGTACCCTTTGTCCTCCGCAGTCCTGCATGCCAAATTTCCCCTTTTCGATGGGCCACTCATTGCCATCACAAGCGGCGCACTCCAACTTTTTCTGCCTTCCGCGTCTTGCCCCTTTGGTCAAGTACTTTTTCCCTCCTCCCTCTCTTTTTTTCCTCCTCATCCCTCCCCATCTCAGTCGCCTCCTCTTCTTTTCCCCCTTTTCCACTTGATCGAATGCTCATCAAAGTGATTCGGTGATTGGAACCGGTTGCAAGTCTGAGTTGTGACTGCTTTTTCTGCGTCTTATTTCTCGTCATTCCTTTTTCTACGATTTAACGTCTAGAGCCCCTCGATTCCCTCGCCTCGGTACCCGTCGCGTCACGTCTCCTCCAAACTACCCTCGGGTATCCGACCACTTGTCGCTTCTCGAGTCTTTAAAGAGCTGCTCTACACGCTCTTCCGAATTTTCAATACATCAACAGCCGCCCCATTCACAATGGCTTCGATCCTGGACCAGATCCCTCTACCCACCGTGGACCGCCCCTTCGGCATCCATCTATGGCCCATCTTTGACAAGGCTTGGACCGCCGTCGTCGGCTATCCAGTCGATGAGTTCAAGTTTGTGCCTTTTGAGACGCCCATGTCGACCCTCAAGTCGACCTCCATCTTCATTGTCGTCTACTATGCCATCATCTTCGGTGGCCGCGCTCTCATGCGCGACCGCGAGCCCTTCAAGCTCAAGACGCTCTTCCTCATCCACAACTTTTACCTCACCGCCATCAGCGGCATCCTCCTGGCTCTCTTTATTGAGCAGCTTGTCCCCACGCTTGTTCGCGGCGGCGTCTTCCACGCCATCTGCGACCACTCTGGCGGCTGGACCCAGCCTCTAGTCGTTCTCTACTACGTAAGTTGATCGCTGCGGCGGCCACGGCCCTCGGCACTGCCTGCTAACGTGTTCTTGTAATGCCGCAGTTGAACTATCTCACCAAGTATCTTGAGCTCCTCGACACTGTCTTCCTCTTTCTCAAGAAGAAGCCCCTTAGTGAGTAGAATCGGCGCCTCATAGCGCACGTGTCAGTGCATGCCTTTGCTGACTGCTTCAGCCTTCCTCCATTGCTACCACCATGGCGCCACTGCTCTTCTTTGCTACACCCAGCTTATTGGGTCGACAGCCGTTTCATGGGTCCCCATCACGCTCAACCTGACTGTGCACGTCGTTATGTACTGGTACTACTTCCAGAGCGCCCGCGGCATCCGTATTTGGTGGAAGGAGTGGGTGACGCGTCTCCAGATCATTCAGTTCGTTATTGATCTCGGATTTGTCTACTTTGCCTCATACACGTACTTTTCCTCGACGTACTTTCCCTCGCTGCCCAACGCTGGCAGCTGCGCGGGCGAGGAGTTTGCCGCTTTCGCCGGTATCGGCATCCTGTCGTCGTACCTGGTGCTCTTCATCTCTTTTTACTTTGCCACATACAAGAAGGGCAGCAAGCAGACGACGCGCAAGTCGCTGCGTCGCATGTCGCAGGCTCCTCTACCCGACCCTCTAGCCGTCGCGGCTGCGACCAACGGCCACGCCAATGGCAAGATCAACGGCGCCACAACCTCTGGTGTCAAGACCAACGGGACGACTACCCGCTCTCGCAAGGCTTAGATGCCTGGAGTGATAAACAGTGTGGTATGGGTCAGGGCGGCAACTGGAAGCCTTTTGGCTAAGAGCAGTGCTTTGCTTGAAACGGTCTTATGTTTGACAACGTGTGTGGTCAAAAGAGATTAGACTCGCCAGTCGGAGAAGATTGACAAGGATCTAATTTTGGACATGGTGGTGTTGAACGTTTTTCGGAAATACGACACAGGAGTTGGGTGGTAAGGTAAAATCGTCAGGGCTCGGCGAGGCTAATAATTATGGTGAACAATGTTTTATGGAAGCTTAAAGAAGGGAATGGAGAATAAGAATGAAGAAAGATCAAGAGAAGGGCCAAGGAGAGGGCCGAGAGGCGCTGATTACTACAATGTGTAATACTTTTTAGGACTTTCTGTGTACAATTCATCTACGCGGCGTCTTTTGGCTCGGGGAGAGGGGAATAGAGTAGGGGTAGACGAAATGTCATGTAATGTACTGATTTCAGTGCCTTTTGAGCCTTTTCTTCTAAATAGGTCAACAAGTGTGTCGTGGCGTAGACGGGTACGGGTGCGGCGGTACGAATGTGAAAGAGGCAAGCAGTTAAGGTTTTTGCTTTCTAGCTGTTGGTAAAAGCTGAATAAGATAAAAAGACACGAGTTTGGCCATTTGTTCAAGGTTGTGTTGCATGACGACAAGGAGGCAAAGGCTCGAGACATGAGAAGATGCAGCATCAAACCAGCGGTGGGATATTGAAATGAGCTAGTCTCTTGTTGACTGCAAGTCAATGAGCTGATGCAATCGTATTCTTTGGAATGAAATGTGAGAAGGTTTTGAGCAAGAAAATAAAGTCTCGCGCCATCGGCGCTTGACGGGCACACAGGCAACAAGGCTGCCTTGAATATTTTATAGTGGCTCCGGAGGGTAAGTCTCCAAGTGTCCGATTCGCTGCAGGGATGTACAGTGGTAACCTTGTCGTCGCATCTCGGCTAGGCTTTGCCGCCTCGGGAGGTGGAGAGCGGCTTGCCACGAAAGAGAAAAAAATTTTTTTTTGATAAGACGGTTTGCCAGAACTAATAACTAGAGGGGAGCAAGACAGGAGAAGAGGGGGAAAAAGTGTCGGCTCGGCATGAACTGTTGGGCGCGCGTGGGGAGATGCAGATCTCGGTCTTGGTCTGGGTATTGGCGGGCCAGAAGGTGCCACTTTACTGGCACTTTTTAGCGGACGGCAGGGAATCTTTTTTAGCTCCAGGGGTACATACTTAGTGGGGGTGCGCACAGGAGAATGACCACAAATGGGTTGCTGTATGTCTTGCTAGGCGAGAAATTATAAAAAAAATCATATGAGAAACTTGAAATGCGAATATAGATGGTGGGACAGACTCGTGGACTTTTTTCCTTCTTTCTTAATGCCATACTCTTCAGCCGTAAAAGTATATCCATACGCAGTCTCCGTAGAGAGACTGTTGGACAGTAACCCCGGATATGTAACCGCAGGAGATTGCCAGCGCCACCAGGCAGTGCTGCCAATATGCACGTCCCATCACTCTGCAGATTTATTTCGCCAGCCTTGTTATGCCAGTCGAGCCAGTGTTGCACCAACTTCTGCCAGTCAGGCTTCAAGCAGTCACTCAACGGTTGTCATGATTGGGCTGCAAGCAACCATCTCGTCACTTGTCCAAACGAGCCCCCCTCTTCCACCTATCTGAATACGTATCTTTATTTTTTTTGCTCGACAGGGATGCTTGGTAACATTGAAGCAACGGAATCAAGAAACGTTTATATGGCCTACAAGGCTGCTTCACCCCCCGTGCCCCTCTCATGGCCGTCCTTCACCTCCTCTACCTACTCCATACCACAGCGCAGACTTCTCTCTCGATACCGGCTTCCTTTCCTTTCTGTGCATTCCATCTTCGTCAACCCTTATTTTTTTTCTTCTTCTTTTCTTCTTCTGCTTTCTTATCGTGTTTCTGGCTAATAGTCTTCTTTTCCACCCTTCCGTTTCCTTGCGTGGCACAGCAGACCGCCTTGGCAGACGCATACCCCCAAGGACCCCCTCCCCCGGTGACAATCAGCCATACCCAGAGAGATATTCATCGCCTTGATTGAGCAGGAAACCTCGAATACCTCGTTTTTGCATCTCACAATTTCATCTCTGGCTTGCTTGCACAAGACCCGCCGTTGCACATCCTGCCTCCATCTGGCGTGGGCCGGTACCGCTCCAGGCTCAGTGCCTCGTGCTGCCTTGTGCTGCCACCCGCGCATTTGTCCGCCCCGCGTCCGCGACCTCTTTCCCTTTGATTTTTATTAGCTCTCTCCTCATTAACCTGCAGCCCGAAGCTGCAGCCCGGACAACGATATTTTCTCCTGCTGGGAGCGACAGCCATACTGCTATTTTTCCTTTTAATCTCCTTACCTCCTCCTTCTCCTCATCCCATCGGCGCCATTCCTCACCTGTCCCACTCTAATTACCAACCTGCCAAGCGCCAGTCCGCTTTACGCTACTCCTATCCCCATCCCAACCAACGTCAACCTTGCCGCCACACAGACACTCCGAGCTCCTTCTTGGCCTTTGCCGCCGCCGCCGCCGCCGCCATCATGAGACTTCCCTTTCTCAAAAAGGGTAAAAAGGGCAGTCTCCAGCTCGATGTGCCTCCCGAGTTTCGCCCCGCCGGCGCTGGCCAGATGCCTCGATTCCCGCCCACCACCCAGTCCGCCTTGAAGCTCGCCCAGCTTCCCCCCGCCGTCCTCCAGCGCATTTTTGCCCATGTCTGCCCGCACGCATCTGACGAGTCCTTTGACACATGCGAGGATAGCGCCAGGGCCGATAACTGCGTCCTCTGCGACCTGCGTGATCTGTCCCACTGCGCCCAGATCAGCCGCGCCTGGCGAGTCGCCGCTATCCAAGTTCTGTCAGTGCTTCGCATATCTGCACCCATGGGATATCTGCCCAATGTTGCGACTCGTCTTGTAGCCACACACTAACACCTCGCAGCTACCACAGCATCCGCATCGAGCCCGTACATTACTGCAAAATGGAGGCCTGGCTGGCTGAGCGTCGCAAAAAGACTGGCCGCTTCGACCGCAACGGCGTTCCCGAAGACACGGCCCAGGCTCGCCTCCGACTCCTGCGCCGAACCGTCCGCGATGATCCTACCAGAATCGGCAAGCTCGTTCAATATCTCAAAATCCCCTACATGCTCCGCGAGTTCTGCTACGTCGAGCTCGCCCAGACCATTGCCGTCTTGCCCGACCTGCACTACGTCGACCTCCCCGAGGGCATGTTTGCTGATGAGCCAGCTTACGCCACCCTGCGACTCGAGGTTCAGGCCCGCTGTCCCAAGCTTCGTAAAATGACCTACGTCGCCGGCTCCGAAAGGAGCTTTTCCATGCTTGCCACCGGCCAAATCTGGCCTCGACTGCAAGTCCTCGAGCTCAATCGCCTCAACGTTGACCCCACAACCATGCGCAACGTTCTCGGGTCACTGGCGAACCTGCGCGCCCTCAAAGTCAGCCAGACAGACAGTATATCAGACGAGGTATTGCTATCTACAGAAGGTCTTCCTGCACTCCCTCCACTCGAAGAGCTCGTCCTCAAGGACACCCCTCGCGTCACAGCCGCAGGTTTGATTGAATACCTCTCCTGGCTCGACGCACAGCAAGCCCTTAAGGTCCTGACTCTCAAGGACACTGGCGTGCAAGCTTCCGGTCTAGCAGATATCCTGACCACGGCAACCTCATTGCGCACACTGGCTCTACAGACGAAGATCTCGGAGCCCTTCCCACACACTACCGGTATCGCGCCGCTCGCCTCCCAGTCTCTGCGCACGCTGCGTTTCGAAGTCTCTGGACGCACCGCATCTGCGCAAGATGCCAGCGCCGCCAACACTTACTATTCATATGTCGCAAACTCGATTCTCCAGAACAACCTCCCCCGCCTTCGTAAGCTCTTCGTCCACGACGAGTCCTTTCCCGACAAGCTGCAGACCGCCATGCCCGTCCCTGATGGCGCCCTCAACAACCCACGCCACCGTCATCAGAGCTCCTCCATGTCCTCAGCCCGCGGCGCGCCCGCCCTGCGCGTCTCTCCCCCGCCCTCGGCCAACGCCAGTCCGCCGCGCGGCAACGGCCTCGCGAGCCCCAAGTACAGCAACGGCCCGATGTCCAGTCCCCGCGCCGTCCCCCGCTCCCCCATCCTCCCTCCCATTGCCAATTCTCAGCTCGCCCAGAACCGCCTCAGCTCCAACAACCCCTTTGCGCCGCAGCAGCAGGCACGCAGCGCGCCCATTCAGACCCTCGAGGTCTTTACCAAGAGCGACGAGTTTGGCCAGTGGAACTTTGCCCGCATCGACGCCCTGCCCAAGAGCGTGTCCGCCGGCTCGTCGTCGTCGGCGACGGCGACGGCCGACCCGCGCCGCGAGAGCCACTACGGCCTCGCCGCCGACGTTGAGGGCCAGGGATGGGATCACGGCGCCGCACGTCGTAGCGTCATGGTCGGCAATGCCACCGGCGGCTTCCTCACCCTCCCCGGAGGCGCGCCCTTTGCACCCCCGCCCGACTTGCCTCCTGTAGCTCCGGGTTTTGCCAATGACGATCACCGACCGCGCAGTAGCGGCGGCTCCTCACGCGTCCGTCGCTAACAGATGCATTTTTCGTTTTCATTTATTTTAGCATTCAATGAGCATATGGAGGATATCATACCTGTAGCAAGCAAAAGGTCATGTTTTTACTTCATCTCGGCCTTCTCTCTTTTTTCTTTTTTTCCCCTCTTTCTTCTTGTTGATTATGCGCGCGGCATGTGAGATACCCGTTTTGTCGATTTTCAGCGACGAGGACGAATCCCAACGGTCTTGTATTGGTTTTCTTCTCTTGTTTTCAGGGAAAATGAAATATAAAACATCAACGAAAGATGTTTGCCAGTCGAAGAGGGCCAAAAACGAAGATGCATGCTATTTGTGGAAAGTGGAAGAACGGGATGTCTTGGGATGGGGTTTGGGGGTGCCAAGTATGCCAGACAAGGCTCATCGGGACGACGTGAATGAATCTCGAGTCATGTGGATTAATACAAACACAACTTGAGCTCTTCGTACTCTTTTCAAACCAGTTATGGTGTAACAGTAAAGTAAGCATCTGCCTGATAGTGTCCAAAAATTGCTTTCCCTTCTTATATCATGAACCTAGACAGCTTACCAAGTAAGCATGGTTGGGCGAGTCACACTTTCTTTCCTGATGGTACAGTGGTTGTATTCAAGGGTTCGAATCTGTGCCTACTTGAGTGGCTTCTATTCTTGCCTTCTTTTTTATAATACAGTGTATGCCTCGCGCGTCTAGCTGGGAGTATTCCTCCTGCTGACGGCCGTAATCCAATATCGGAACCTTGCTTATCGCTGTGAACCGCATCCCCGCCTGCCCCCCCCCAAAACCACGTAACCAAGCGAAACAAGAACTACATGCAATGCAATGCCGAAAAACAAGCGATGTAAACGCGAGACAAGAAGCAAGTTAAAAGCAAGGTGTCATTGGTTCATACTTGCCCACCAGAGAGAGGCTTTATACATAAAGGTGTCTCTTGATGGGCCGCGGCGCAACGTTGCCTTGCGAGTCAGTTGGTCCTTGAACGCCTTCTCCCAATTGCTTGAGCTTTTCCAAAAGATGGCTAGACATTGTCAGCAAATGTAGTTCGCAGGTAATCAAAGTGGCAGCGCTTACTTGATGGGTAGCAGTCCGCGGCTCTCGCTAACGGCCAGCTGCATCCTGTCGACAAGCTGCTCGTGCTCCTGCAGATGCGCTGCGATGCGGTCGTCCAATTCGTCATCTCCACCCCCTCGCACGATAAAGTCACAGTCCTGCTGGTCACAGGTCCACGCGCCTTGAAACCCCGTCGGCATCGGATCCGGCAGCTTTTCCGCGAGAACCGTCAACTGCGCGGGCTTGTCTTGGTCGTCTGTCGTTTCGTGCTCACTCGGCGAATCGGATGAGTCTCTTGCCTGAAGAGCACTGTCAAGCTCGTCTTCTTGCGAGGTCGAGATGCTGGCATCGGGCATGGTCTCGTCGCCCTCTTGATCGGACGAAAAGTTCAGCTTCTTGGCTACTGTTTCATTGTCCGTCTCATCCTCGTCCATGAAGATGCGAGACCTTTTCTTGTTTGACTTGATGGGACGCAGGCTCGACTTGCTCCCGACAGGCCGGCCGGGCCGTTTGCCGATAATGGGAGTCGCGGGGCTCGGTGGTCGCACGAAGTCTTGAGTAGGTACGAGCTTCGTCTCGGGCCTTCGGCCATGATACGGGCGCTGCTCTCTGGGCGGAAGGCGAAGAGGCATGGTCTCTGATTTAAGCGCAATGGGCACAAACTCTTTTTGGGATAGGTCCACGAGCCAGTCGTATACTTCTCCATTCTTGTACTTTTCATGATCAATGACATCGAGGAGAGCGGCGGCATTGTAGTGCAAAACTTCCTCCACAGGGCGTTTGTGGGAGCCAATCGTGCTGTCTTTGTATGTTGGAAATCGATATGCGAAGTACAACTTGTTCAGGAGCCCGGATACTTTGACTCCTTTGGCTCCGTTCTTGGATGACACAATGGAATCAAATGAGCTCTCGAGTGCGGCCAAAACAGTCTGGAAGGGCGAGTCTGCGTCGGTAGCTACATGTGTTGGAGCTGGTTGGACAGATGGTTGTGGAAATGGTTGTGCAGTTTGTGCAGGTGATTGTGTGGGCGATTGTACAGGTGGCTGTCTTGTCTGTCTGGGATGCATTGCAATAGTTGTATGTTGTGCAGTGGCACTGTTAGAGCGGCGCGTCGACCGTCCTATAGTATCGAATTCGTCAATCTCCTCGACGCTGGCGCTATGTCTCGACAGGCTGGTGCTTGCTTTAGGCGACGGTTCAATATATGATGGCGATCGGGTACGCTGGCGGGGATTACGTTTAGCCTTGTCGACTTTTTCAAACAGAGGCTGCATGCAAGTTAGCAAGCTTGATTCTGAATCTTTCGACAATAAGCACGGGCATGGTGGGCAACGTACACCGTTCTCCGACTTCATCCACTTGTAAAAAGCAGTCGTCTGCCACTGCATAGAGTCATCGTCTTGCATGAATTGTGAGATGAGAAATATGGCGTGCCTATTGCATCTGTCCACAACGTCTTCAAATGTTGAACCGTCGCCGACAGAGGCGGCATACTGCAAACGGAATCGTTAGTATGCAAGCTCGACGATTAGAGAAACGCGATGCATACCTGGAGGAATATTGACGCCAAAACATCACTTTGCACCGGCAACTTTGACTTTTTCCCGCGCTTGGCGGGGGCGTCTCTCATAGCCTCAATAATATCCATGATGGTATAGTAAAGTGTCGTTGCTTGGCACATTATGTCGTACGTTGCCTGGTAGGCCGGGCAAGGGCTGAGCTCGAACCAGCCGGCGCGGCCCGAGACCCAAATCTGCGGCAACCCATCTTCTGTTTCGCCGACAGAGTATAGTAAACAGTGTCTGATCTCGATGGGAATGGGAGATCGGTCTCGCACAAGAACTGGTGAGCAACGCGGGTTAGCAAGGAAGGGTTAGGACGATGGATTGTATTGGAGAGCAGACGAACCGAGATGCTTTTCCTCGCTCGTATAGTGAAGATATCCGCGCACGATAAAGGGCCCATTGGGCACAATGTGCAGCGCGTTCTCGACGGTGCTGCCGTCGCGGTTGAGGACGATGGCGTCGCGCAGCTGGAAGATGGGCCAGTTGTCATTGGGCACCGACTTGGGCACGGAGCGCAGAACAGACGCCTCCTGGCGCCACTTGACGAAGCTTACATCGACACTCTCGATGCTGGAGGTGGACGCGCGACGAGTGTGCCCAGTCATGATGTCGCGAGCGATGGCGGCATGCGTCGGCACGGGGGAGGGGTATCTTGGTCGTCGCGGGTTTGCAGCACAGGGTCTTGGCGGCGGGAGAATGCAGTTCTGCGGGCGACAGCAAATTGGAATTGATGATGGAAACACAATGCTGGAAATATGTGTTGTGACACACGGGCAGGCAATACACAGACTGATGATGCGTCGGCGGTCAATGAAGGCGAGATAGTACGGAGTACAAAGTGACGTTTTTCGTGAAGGACTTGAGCTCCACGCGTTTTGGTGTAAAGTGGTGGGGCGCGATCCCAATGCAGCACTAATACTGCGCGCGCTGCAAGGCATCGAGCGTGTTTCTCCTTTTGAAAAAAAAAAAGCATCGAGACCATTTCGTAAAAGAAGCTGGATCTTTTGACAGTATTCACGCCCCTTTGATGGCTATCAATCGCTAGACGGCCTCGTGAACCAATTTTCATCTTTCCTCAGCCTTAACAATGGCACAGCGGAAGCCATAGTGCAGTAACACCCGCCAACCCCCCCCCCCCCCCAAACGGCTGTGGTAAGCCAGCCTGCGAATGTCGCCGCAACGGCAGCCTGTCAGAGTTCGCCGAGGCAAGATCGATCTGCCCGGCTGTCTATTGAAACACGCAGCTCAGCGTCTGCATGCTGCAGTACATCAATGGTTTTCTGGGTACTCTGCAGCAGCGCAACCTCACCGCAGAAACTTGGGAGCATCTTCATCATCCCGGGCGGAACCGATGACAAGTTTCACTCCTTCAATACATTTGCCCAGCCGGCAAGCATCAATCTATGGCCCAGTCTTACCCATTTCATTACCGCCCTGTTCCCGGCTCTCCGTCGTCGCGCCTAGCATCTGCCGGGCCTGCTATTGAGACATTGTGTGCTCGTGTTATAAGTAAGCCCGTTACCGAGTGGTTGGGTCATTCAGGGGCCGGCGGCTGCTTCCGAGTCGAACAACAAAACTTTTGCCCTTGATGTCCTCTCGGCGTTCATGGCTGCTTACTCCCGTCTGCCGCGTCGACCCTTCCAAGTACATCGACATTGGAATTGTAGCCATGTATGTACCCAGTAATATTTGTTCAAGGAGGAGACCAACTCGTCACATCATGGCCACTCGCCGTGCGTCATTGTCGCGCCATGTCCACCCTGGACGTTTTGAGGGCGCAGGGCGGTCTGGGTGGCTCTTGATCCTCCCCACTGCGTACTCTTAGCCTCGACCAAGACCTTATTACATGGAGTCTGGGAGCCCGAGTAAGTTTGAGGCATCATGTCCAGTCTGGACGAGATTGAGACGTCTTGGCGCCAAAGGCAGGCCAATATACTTGTGGCGGGTACGGAGTACTGACTTCAAGTTACATCTAGAAGATGTCCTCTATTCGATGCACGCTGCGTGCGTAACTTATAAGTTATAATACCAGTAGTCATGTCTTTGCTACTATTTAGCCAAGCTGTTGGGCTTTCTGACCCCTCTCACTCTCGATCCTTGGCGAGTCGATTTCGCGCGCAGCCTCCCTTGACCCATCATCGGCACCCGAGGGAGTTGGTCTCCCTTTTTTCTTCTTCTGTCCACATCAGCGGCCCTGACGCGGATAAACCTCACAATTGGCCATGCCCGAATATCCCACAATGACATGAGAAAGCCTTGCTGTTATCCCGCCAGCCCGTCTTTACCTCCATGCAGATGATTGATTACCAAGGCGCGCGCCTGGGGTGCATATGCGTGGGTTGAACAGAATTCAGATGGTATTTTACATGCATTGCATGCGACATGTGTGCCAGCATCGATGCACGCCAGCGGCCTCTTCATCTTTCTGCCGCCTTGGGGGCTGCTGTTATTGGCTGTGACTGGCTGGTGCGCATGCCGGGGGCTTGATCCGCTTATCTCCTCTTTTGCCATAACTATGTATGTACATGCAGCCGAGTGCTTGATGAAGTCAAGTTTCATCATCAGGCTGCATATTTCATTCCCAATTTTTCGTATCGGTGCTCAAGGGCCTAGGCTTGCGCTGCGGCAGCGCCCATCACCCTCCCGGATGCATGCATGACGTCCGCTTACGTTAGAAACGTTCACTAGTAGAAGATGCCTTGGTGAATCAGAAGCGAGCGCCTGTTTAGTGTGTGTGGTGTGCGTTATGTGTGTGTGTGGACGGCATTCCGGACAATATGCAAAGACAGCGCCGAGTAGGCTGCGCTGCCCAATCGTGGCGGGCATTAGGTCCAAAGCGCTATTTTGACCCGTCATTGCTAAGGGGCATATATCCAGGTGTGGTTGAAAGAGATGATGTGTCCTTTTTAAACTCCCGAGTCGGGTCCCGGCAACCGGGTATAAGTAAAAAGCCAAGAGTAATAATCAAAGTCCCGTGTTGGCCAGGAAGGGATTCCGCAGGCCGTGCTAGAAGTAGCACCAAGGGTCCCTTTCCGCAGGGCCGCAGCGCAAATCATGGAACCGTGGTAACTACCTAAGGTACCCAGAATGAGACTCTGGGGTCCGTCATTGGCACCTTGCACTTATTATTAGGTAGGTAATATTTACTGGCAAGTACGAATATGGCCCCCAGGCGCCTATTCGGCCGTTGTCCGATCAAAGACAAGGTGATGGGCGCTCCCGTTCCCTTTTTTCCGCCACCAAAAGAGCACTATAATAATTTGAATTCGTATTTATAGTTACCTGGGGAGGATGGAAGAAGAGGATGCGACGGGCACAGCGCATTGATTTTTTGACTCCTCCATAATTAGCTTGGCATTTAGAGTTTCCAACTTTCGTCTTGTCCTAGCATAGAGGCCACTTTTAATTGAGCAATGGAACCCTCTGTAGAAGCCTTTTGGTGGGGGAAGGAGCGGAGGCCGACCGAAGTTTTGCGTCGGGAAGGCCCTTTTTTCGGGGCCTCGTTTCTTTACACAGTACTCCGTACTCTGATGGTTTGAGAGTCTGCGGAGACGGCCGACAACATCTCGTAACACAGAACCGCTCTCGTGCATACGAATAGGTTCGTGTGCCCTTTTGAATTTTGGTTTTTTTTTTTTTTTCGTTTGTCCATGTTTGCTTTGTGCGTGGTTTCCCCCCCCCCCTCTCCCTTGCCTCTCGTCTCACACCGCGTCATCAGCTTTCGTGACAAGGCAAGGAAAAAAAAAAAAAAAGAGAGAGAGAGAGCTGATTAATCAAGTAGCCCACCGAGTAAGCAATGTCCAAGGCGCCGCGTGTCCGAATCCACTACCGAGAGATCTCGACACTGTTCTATTTAGGCTTATACGCCGATCCTCACCCCCCCTGGCAAAAGTAGCCATGTCCCTGGCGCTTTTTTTGCTTTGTTGCCGTCGTATACCATACTTACTGGGTAGATAGATGGTCTCCCGGCAAAGACTCGGAACAGGGATTTACATTGATCATGGACACTACGGAGTAGAAGACTTCAACTAACTTGGAGGCTATTGTTCTGCGTTACCCCTCGCTCGCCAACAATAGTGAAAGCCCAATATCTGCACCTCTGTCTGGTAAGTAGTGCGGTCACATCGCGCTGCCCGCGTTGCATTCGGAATTCCTCCTGGAACGCACGGCAGGACCCAATCGCTCGTTCTTCTGGCTGCCCCTGGCATTCTGCCTCCCGTTGTCATTCATGCAGCCACGCGCACAAGATGCAAATGCCAGGTCTTTGTCCTGGCCCGTCGGGTTGCGATGCCAGTCAATAATAAGCCTCGAGCCCGCCCATCCACCCGCATCCATCTCCCACACAGGGCGACAGGCTCATGCATCAAACTTGAGCGCATCCCCCAAAGCCATGCAACTCGGTTGTCGCGGCCTCGATCCCGCAGCACATGTATGCAGCTGGTCTCGTTTCCTTCCCCCCCCCCCCCCCCTCCATCTCACAGACACCCTGTGCCGCTCAAATGCATGAATCAACTCTCCTCATCATCGGTCTCCTGCATGCCCCAGCTTCAGAAAGCCTGCGAAACGGTGTTATGCTCTCAGCGCCAACCGCCACCACCACAACTCGCATAGCTCATCATGACTACGGATTATTAGCCCGCTAGTTCTGGCGCTTACTCCATAGTTGAGTGGCTACACGGTGAGCATTCTTCCACTGTGCCATTCAGCCCCGAACCTGGCCACGGCGCACCTCCTCGGGGGCTTGCCCCCGTCTTATTAGTGTCGCTCTTTAACTCCATACCGCCCGTCGGCCACCCGCTCACCTCCGGTTTGCCTCTTGCCTCTGTCTTGCGCCAATGATGTGCCATATGCCCTGTTTGTTATTACCCAATGGGTCCGTGTAGTGTTTGTAGGGTTCGGTTTCAAACTTAGCCTGCAGCAGGACCCTGAGACGTCGACAGACTTCTACAACAGTATATAGTCTATCTTTAGCCTCGACACTTTAACTCTTGCGCAACAAAACGGTTCCGACGCTCACCTCGACTTCAAACTGCACGGCCCTTTCCACTCCACTTTTGGCCTTTCCGACTCAGCCATTTCATTAAGGGCTTCGCGAAGAATTCTTTCTCAACCTGTACACTTTTACACCATGGTTGCCTCTCAACGGTTCGAGGGCGAGCTTCCTCTGCCGCAAGACCTGAGCCACCATTTTTCTGAAATTACGAAAAGACGCACACCCAGTTCCATCAAGGAGTTTTATAGATTCTTTGCTATCCCAAATATTGGAAACCTTGGTGGAGGTATGATTCTCTTGCCCGTCTTCGACAGTCCCAAGCATGCGTCGCCGACGACCTGATGGCTGCTAATCGAGTTGCTCTTTGCAGGTTTGCCCAACGACGAACTTTTCCCCTTTGACACCCTGGAAGCACAAACAGCGAACCCAGATCGCTACCAATGTACACCCAATTACCCCGTGTCAGCGCGAGAAAGCCGTCGGCTTATCTCCGAGCAAAAGTCGCCGGAGAGTGACATGAACGCAGCTTCAAGGCGCATCAAGGTGCCCAAGACGACGCCGCAGGCCGACCCTCTGAAACGTATCGACCTGTCCACTGCGCTTCAATACGGCACCGCTGGCGGTTATCCTCCGCTTCTCTCTCTTATCCGCCAATTCACGAGGGAGCTGCTGCACCCCACAGTCCCGTATCGAGGCGGTCCCGAAGTCATCATCACCTGCGGCTCTACCGACGGCTTCTCCAAGGCCGTCCAGCTCATCAGCAACTCCTGGAACCCCGACCGCGACCCCGTCTCTAGGCGCCCCGGCATGTTGTGCGAGCGATATGTCTACAACAATGCCATCGCTTGTGTCGAGCCCCGAGGAGTTCAGATCGTTCCCGTTGACATAGACTTTGACGGGATGCTGGCCAAGGGACCTGGAGGTCTGGAGGATATTTTGGAAAACTGGAATCCACAACAGGGCATACGCCCCCATTTCATATATACGGTGACGATGGGCCATAACCCAACCGGCACCGTCATCTCGGTGAAGCGACGACGTGAGATCTACGCCATCTGCCAGCGTTTCGATGTAATTATTGTCGAAGATGACCCATACTGGTATCTGCAATTCGCGTCTGCCGCTGAGCGCGAAGCCGAGTCTAGAGGTAATGTAGTCAGGCCTGCCGCTCCTCATACACCTCCAAAGTCGACTGGATATGACTTTCTCGATTCTTTGGTTCCTTCGTATCTGAGCATGGATGTGGATGGGCGAGTCGTCAGACTTGACACGTTTTCCAAGACGATTGCACCTGGCTGTCGACTAGGCTGGATTACGGCCCAGCCTGCTTTCATCGAGCGATTGGAAAGGTAAGCGCAGGCATCAATCATACCAGTGACAGACGTCGAGACTAACGTTTGCCAAGAATCACCGAAACGACTACTCAGCAACCTTCTGGCTTCGTGCAAGCAATGGTCGTCGAGATGTTGATGGGCCCGTCTCAGAAAGAGAAGATCAAGTCATTCCGTCTGCTGAGCACCAAGGAAAAGGCCAAGTTTGGAGGCTGGGAACTAGACGGCTGGGTTCGATGGCTCGAGGGATTGCGTGGCGTCTATGAGCGAAGAATGTTGCGCATGTGCTCTCTGCTCGACGAGAGCCTGTTCGAACTCAAACAGTGCACGCCGATCAGCGACCTTGACTCAGACTGGGGCGTCATCACCAAGACACGCATCATGTCGTACGACTGGCCGCGTGGTGGCATGTTTGTCTGGGTGCGAATTCACCTGGAAAATCATCCGCTATGGCAAGCCGAGGGCACTTCTGTCCCGGTCCTCGACGGCCCGGCCCTGGCGCAGGCGCTCATGATTTTCTTGACGCATAAACCACAGCTGATCATTGCTGCGCCTGGGACCATGTTTGCTGCCACGCCTCATGTCGCAGAAGAGACGGCGTGGGCGTATCTGCGCTTGTGCTTTGGCACAGAGACGGAGGAGAATATTGAACCCTGCTCGCGCCGATTTGCGGCCGGCCTGCAGAGGTTCTGGCGCATCAAGAGTGTAGAGGGCATGGAGCGTCTAATCGCAGAGCTGAAATCATCCAGTGCGCCGGATCCTGAAGATTTGGCCAACATGGGCTTTGAGGCAGAAGAGTTATGAAGGATCAGGCTGTGGGCGGTGGCGTGACTACGTCCCGAGATGGCCGCGTTGGGGGCCATGACTTTTTGATACCACCCAACGTCACGTATATATATAGACATAATTGCAGCGGCTACGCATGATATATAATGGACGATTGTGTCAAGGCTTTCTTCAAATACACAAAACCAAGTCGAAGCACTACAGGCACAGCGCAAGCAATGCAGCGTTTCATCAAGCCCGTAATTCTACTTCCTGTATTTAGCAAGACATCAAGTTGAGCAGCATCAAAATGAGTGTGGTAATGCCATATGTAACAAGAGAACTTAAATGTTCCACTTCCATTTTCATGCCTGCACTAAGACTAGAAAGAAATCGTCATCCCATGTCCACACTGCACACCCAGTATGGCAAACTTAGTTCTGCTTTTGCTGGGACTCCTTGGCGAAGACCTTGGCGTAGGGGTTAAGGCGGAGCATAACCTGCTTGTTGCGGAGAGGGTTCTTCTTCTGGACGCCCGTGCGCTTGGTGGTGGCTTCGCCCTTGGGGGCGTTGAGGGAGCTCTGGATTTCGGACGAGTTGATGAGGCGCGACAGGTCGGCCTGGGAGACGACGTTGGAGGGCAGGAGGAAGTCGCGCTTGTGGGCCGAGGCCTCGGTGGTGGAACCGTAGATGTCGTCGAGGGCCTGGAAGGCGGACGAGGTCCAGACGACGAAGCGGCCGAGGTGGCCGCCGGGGGCGAGCTGGAGGAGGTTGAGGGCGTTGACGGGGCAGGTCTCGACGCCGGGAATGTTGCGGAAGCCCTTGACGAGGTCCTTGCCGTCAGTCTCGGGGTTGTAGACGACGAGCGGGCCGCGACGCTGGCGGTGGCGGCGGCCGCGGAGCTTGCCCTTGCCGGCGCGCAGCTTCTTGGAGCCCTTGACCTTGTCGAGGTCCGGGCCGGCGCCGACGGCGCGCAGGAGAGCGGTGGCGGCGGCCGTCTTGACGGCGCCGTCGGCGCCAATCACCTCGGAGTCGACGACGAGGGGCACCTCGGCGACCGTCATGATCTGGTGGCCGCGGGCCATGAGGAGAGGAGCCACGGCGGAGGCGGCGAGGGCGGAGCAGGTCGCGTAGCGCTTCTGGCCCTGGTTGATCTTGACGTGCCACTTGCGCCAGATCTTGGTGGGAGCAAACATGCGGCCGGAGCGGCACATGTTACCAAAGGCGGCCTGACCGGCACGGTGAGTACCAGAGCCAGAGACACGGGGGATACGGGCAACAGCACGACCTGTGATGGATTGGTTAGTTGTGATATTCTCGGTCTCGATCGTGGTCGTTTGGCGACAGTCTCGACGCTGATTCGATCCCGCCACGAGTTTCCGTTTCATATGTTTATCGTCTGTAGATTCTCTTCCTCTTCTCTCATTCTCTCAAACTTTTCTTCTTCTCTCGTGGCGGTTCCTCGTTGCAGCAGCATCTCAACCTTCTTCCAAAAAGGGGCGACTTTTACTAACCAGTTCCCCAAGACTCAGCAGAGGTCTGGTGACCGGCCTTCTCGCTCACAGAGTAGGGCTGGCGCTTGTTCTTGGCCATGCCGGTGTGCACCTTCTGGACGATATCGGGACGGATAGGGCTCGAGAAGACGGCGGGAATGGCGTGGGTAGCTCCGGTGGGAGCACCATCTTTGCCAATGATGGAGACGGTAGGTCGCGAAGCCATTGCGAATGATTTTGAGGACTAGGAAGAGAATGGATTGTTAGTATCGAAGGGGGGGCCGTGATGTTGGAAATTACGGTGTCGTTGAGCAGACGTACCTCGATCGTCGGACGGCTCGAAATTTGGTGATGCAGAGTACTGGGCTTGGAAAACGGCTCCGGCGGCACGATGAATTTCACACACGGAATTTTTTTTGCCCTGCGCAGCTAAATTTTTGGGTGATTTTGGTGGGCCATGACCCTAATGGTGGGGTATAGTGGCAGAAGTCACGTGCGTCTACTCGCTTGGATGGATTGGCCTGAAATGGAAATGAGGCTGGGCCCACTTCTTGCTCTTTACGGTCGGTGATGATGAAGGCGTGTAAGTGGCATGGACGAGTCACCAATATCCCCAATTCACCTTGTGCTTCTATTCGGAGGATTGTTTCTCAAGCATGGGTATCCAACCAGCTTTTTCTTATTTCTAGAAGGCTGGCTTTTAGATGGTCTGTCCAGCATGCTGGAACGGCCACGTCGACGTCACACGGCACCTCCTCGACTACAGGACCGAGCCCAACGAAAACTGCCAGAGCCGGCCGCCTCAAAACTGCTGGCGCATGGCACGCTCGCCGGGCGGTATTCGTTGTCCATCAAACTCCAAGTCGCTAGTAAAGGAGTATAGTCTCAAACAGGTAATCAAGGACTACATCGATAAGCTAGAGATAGAAGAGTATCCCCGCACAGATGAGCCATAACCGTCGTGCCGGCACGGTTTCTGACACGCAGCCTCTTTTGAAGCGGTTCGTTTCCAAACTAGCCAGACTGGAGCAGACGAAGAGGTCAAGGCTTTCCTAAAGAGTCTGAAAGATGCAGATTCGGAAAAGAGTACACCAAGTGACGAGTGGTAAGGTGTCCTAATGATTACTAGCATGAGACGGTTGAAATGTTCAAGGACAGACGAAACGGGGGCCAAGGCGAATTGAGCAAGAAATTCATAAAATGTCGCCGAAATGGGGATGGATTGGAGACGTGGGTATGTTTGGCTGCTCATGTTCTATGTGTTTATCCCCAGGGGTCTTCTTCTTCACTAATTTGTGATACAGCTTCTGCAACTCTTGATGGAGCCGATTCTCCATAAACTATTCGAATGAAGCGTCATGATCACCAAACGAGTGTTTGCGAGTGGCTATAAGTTAGCTTTCCTTCCGTGGCGTTTAGCTCCCTTTCCATACTTACATCGCCTCTTGCCACTGTTCTGTTGCTTGTTCAAGCACGCCGTCGTAACACAGTAGAGGCTCAGACAATTCTTCACGAAACACTTTCAAGTTTTCTGGACTCCTTTTGCGAGAGAAGGAAAGAAGAGCAAATGCCCTCTTTGATTGTATTGTCTAGTTATTTGCCAAGTCCTGTACTCACCACGCGCCAAGTCCCGTGACGGCAAACCGCCAACGCGAGAACAGCCCGCGAGCACTCGTAGCAAGAACCATTGCCACCTCTCTAATTTTTTTCTGTTTTTGTGTAATTGTCATCCGCTGACTCCTCACTTCTTCCGCTTGGGTATATCGCCTTCATATTCCCTCCTGCGCAGCCAGCAACAGGCTACCGCCTTCTTAGCCTGTTGTCCTTCGTGTATTGAAGAACTTTTTGTAAACCTCTTCACGCCTTGTTCAACTGTTCATCCCCTTGCCAACTCCTTCATTGCCTGTCCGTGAAACATGAGTGATATCATAAAAAAAGTTACCATGCCCACAACACCCCATCCAATCAAGCTCCCAACCTTGATAAACCAGACGCCTGTCGCAATATCAAGTCGAAAAGGCGCAAAAAATGCCATTAGAGTCGATTGAAAGAGACCACCAATTGAAAAAGTCTCTCAGACTTTTTCTCCCGGCATAGCCATAGGCAAGAGCTCGTCAAATGTAACCCTCCAGCAATAGGCAATTCTGCTTGCTGCCCTCCAAATCTGTGGTTCTTCGCTCGTCGTGTAGCAGCCCAAGGTGCTACCGAAAATCGCCGGTCCACGCAGGCTCATCCGTGCTGCCATCTATGCAAGAGCGCCGAAATTAGAAAGCGCAGTCTTTGTGCATTCCCTCGCGCCCAGGGAAATTGCCCCAATTGGGCTGAAATCAGTCGTAGGTTCGTAAGCAATGCAGTCCGATTCGCCATTCCGTCCGTTCGCCAAAAGAGATCGTGCCAATATTGTACAATCCAACATGGCTGTATAGTTTCCTGCCCCGTTCCAGGAAGAGAAATATCAAAAAGAAAGAGCAAAATCCGCAAACAAAAGCTTGCTGTTCATGCTCCAAAAAGCAAATTCCGAAAACCAACTCCTACTCCGCATCCATCACCAATCACATTGATGTGGTTGGAAATTAGTCTTGGAGCTGGGCAGGGACGCGACCACGACCACCGCCTCCACTGCCACCGCCACGACCACGATAGCCTCCCCGACTACGACCGCGTCCACGGTTATAGTTTCCATTATGCTGGCCCTGGGTCTGCCAGTTACCCTGCTGCGACTGAGGTTGCTGGGGAAGCAGAGCTTGGCCCTGCTGTTGAGAAGCAGCCTTGGGAAAGTTGGAGACTGGTCGAGGGATGCTCTCGGGGTTATCGTACACGTACAAGCTCTTGTCAATGCTTGCAGGAATAGCCTGAATTTCAGTGCCTAGATCGCGCTCAATGTTGTAGAGGTTGAAGCGATCCTCCCAGTTGATGAGGTTAATAGCAAGACCAAGATGGCCGTATCGCCCGGAACGACCGATTCTGTGTAGATAAGTCTCGGCATTTTTGGGAAAATCAAAATTGATGACGACGTTGACAGCTTGAATATCAATGCCACGAGTCAAGAGGTCAGAGCAAACGAGATTACGGCAAACACCATTGCGGAAGTCGTGGAAGACGCGATTACGAGCCTGCTGCTGCATGCGCGCGTGGCTGTAGAAGCACGAGTAGCCAAGTTCGGTGATTTTCTTGGCAAGGAGTTCGACGCGGTTGGTGGAATTGCAGAAGATGATGGACTGGTTGATCTGCAGCTTTGAGAAGAGAGTGTTCAGGCAATGCACCTTTTGCTTCTCCTCAACAAATGCGTAGTATTGGGTGATACCACGCAGGGTCAGCTCGTCCATTAGGTTAATTTCGTAGGGGCTGGACATGTTGCGGTCGGAAAAGTCCTTGACGGACAGAGGGAAGGTAGCTGAGAAGAGCATAACCTGGCGATCCTTAGGGTGAAACCGGAGAAGCTGCTCAATCGTGGGGGTGAACTCGGCAGACAGAAGCTTGTCAGCCTCATCCATGATAAACATGGGGCACTCGCTCAGATCAGCAACGTTCTTTCCTGCTAGGTCGAGAATACGACCCGGAGTTCCAACCACAACATGGACAGGCTCCGCAAGCCGGAGGATATCGTCGCGAAGGCCCGTGCCACCAGTGGTGACCATGACATTGACACCGAGATGCTTGCCGAGCGTCTTGCAAACCTGCGAGGTCTGCATGGCCAGCTCTCTGGTGGGAACGAGGATGAGACATTGAATTTTGTTAACTTTGGGATTGATGCGCTCGAGGGCGGGGATGACAAAAGCAGCCGTCTTGCCGGTACCGTTCTTTGCTCGGGCGAGGATATCGCGCCCAGTCAGGGCGACAGGGATAGCTTCTTCTTGAATCGGAGACGGCTTCTCGAAGCCAGCTTCAAAGATGCCCATGAGAAGGTCTCTCTTGAGCGCGAAATTTTCGAACTCGAGTCCCTTTGTTTTCGTCACATCCTACAATCCAGGTTTTAGTTGATGGCTCTCAATGGTGCTGGCAATCACAGCTCAAGGTAGGTCCCCAGGTCGCTGTGTTGTGTCAGTGAGGGAAAGTACAAACCTCTGTTTGTTGTCTGTTATCCTTGGTGGGGATCTTCAAGCTCTTCTTCCAATCGTCGCCGGGAGCAGGCGAGGAGCTATCACTGCTACAATCCGGACGGACGATGTTAGCTGAAATACCAGAACGATCGGGTGGCATGGCCAAGGTAGAATCGGACCTGATCTGAGTGCTTCTCAGCTTATCCACTAGTTGATCTGTCATAACGCCGTGAGCTGCCGGCGGGCAGTATATGATATATCGATGGTTATGAGAGAACGAATTCGTAGGAATATAACGACAAGCCAATGCAAAACTGGCCCTGGTTGCGCGGATGCACTTTGTTGGTAGTGCGTGTGTGTTTGAAGGGAGGTTCGCTGTTGGGAATTTTTTTCCACCTCGGATGTTTGGGCGGAAAAGGGCAAGGGTAAGAGTTAAGAGAGGATCTGCAAGAAGTACGAAAGAAGACGCGGATTGCGGTTCTTCTTGGCTAGTTCGGAGATGCGGGTGCTGATGAAGCCCTGAGTTCGTGCGGAGCTGTAGTGGTTGGAGGGGAGGTTCTGGTGAGATGTTGATTGAGAGGAATGTTCCAGGCGTGCGCTTGTAGCTGGAACCAGTTGGAACATGAGCAAGTCTGGGCCGACCTGACACTTGGGGCCAATGGGTCACGTGATCGCGGGGTTAAAGTACACCAGAGCTGGAGCTTCGGGTCGCTGAGTGTGCGGGTAACCGTGTAGATGTGAGGTGAGATAAGGCATTTACAGATATATGCACTGTAATTTCGACGACAGATTAATGATCGAGCCTTACGATTCGACGATTTCAGGGCCATTTTCATAATGAGGATGGCGAGCCGGTGCTGCATCGAGAATCACAGTGCAGCGCCCTGTGCGACTTCCGGTCACCTCATACGACATGCAGCAAACAAGGAAAACTCAATATCGATGTTTTCATCTGGTGGTGAATTCTATCCATGTTCCATCGATATAATCAGAGTCGGTGAAACAACGGGGAGGATTGAAGCCCGCTTAGCCATAAGCCGCCTTGTACAACTATGCAACAAGTCTAACACAAACTCCGATTCAAAATTGATACATGTTCATGTAGTCTATCGATGCAATGTGATGCAAATTGCGACAAAGGAGAAGATGAGAGTTGGTGCGTAACTCCCAACCCAGGTAAATACATGGTACTCATACAGACTTGCTAGCAAACCCTTTGTTATACTGCGCCACGCCCTAGTACGCCCCTATCATTTTAAAAAGACTGAAGAAACAATCTCCATGTTCCCCATCTTTACAGCTTCATGCCCATGGCCTTGGCCACACGCATGCTCTGCCTCATGCTGAGATCCAGCATAATCTCTTCGCTACCACCGGGGATGGCGTAGGCGCGAACGTCACGGTACAGGCGCTCGACCTTGGCGCCCTGGCCGCCACGGGAGTACGCCAGGCCGCCAAAAATCTGGCTGGCCTCGCGGGCGCAAAACTCAAAGGTCAGGGTGGACTGGGCCTTGAGACCGGCAATGGGCCCGCCGAGGCGCAGCATGGCCTCGGTGGCGGGCATCTTCTCGCACTGATATACGACGTTTTCGAGCCAGTTGTACGAGGCCTCGGTCTGGCGGGCCATGTGTGCAAGCTTCATGCGAATGACGGGGTGGTCGATGAGCTTCTTGCCAAAGGTGCGGCGCTTGTTGGCGTACTTGACCGACTCCTCAAAGAGCACGCGCGAGAAGCGCAGCGACTGGATGATGATGCCGATGCGCTCGTGATTGAAGTTGGACATGATTACGCGGAAGCCCTGATTTTGCTTGCCGAGCAAGTTCTCGACGGGCACCTTGACGTCCTCAAAGGTGACATAAGTCGTGCCCGACGACCACACGCCCTGACAATCCATGCGGCGCGTGCTGACGCCCTCGGTGCGCTCAATTAGCAGCAGCGAGACGCCGTTCATGCCGGGCCCGCCCGTGCGAACAGCTGTTGTAAAGTAGTCGGCCCAGATGCCGTTGGTAATCCACTTCTTCTCGCCGTTGACGATGAAGTGCTTGCCGTCCTCGGTGAGCTTGGCCTCGCACGTCAGGTTGGCGACGTCGGAGCCAGCGTCGGGCTCCGTAATCGCAAGGCAGATGCGCTTGTCGCCGCTGAGCAGCCCGGGCAGCACGCGGTCCTTGAGCGCCTGCTGGCCGAACTTGATGACGGGCGGCGCGCCGATACCGTAGCCGCCGATGAGGTTCCAGATGAAGCCGCCGGAGCCGGTGCGGCACAGCTCGTCAGTCAGTAACATCTCATGGAAAAGATCCCACTTCTCGGGCGGGACCGACTTGACACCGCTCGCGTACTCTGTCGGATACTTGACGCCGAGCAGACCGGCGAGGTAGCCGCGGCGGCCCATCTCCTTGTACACCTCCTCGGGCACGCGTTTTGCCTCGTCCCATTCGGTAACGTTGGGCTCGAGGTCGTTGTCGACCCACGCGCGCACCTCGGCGCGCAGCGCGGCATGCGTCTCGTTAAAGTACGGCGAGTGCTGGCCCTGGTACCAGGCCGGGTCGCTAAACGGGATCTGCGCGCCAAAGGGCTCGAGAGCATCCGTGTTTTCTTCCTCGGAGCTCGCGCGTGACGCCTCCTTTTGTGCGGCCGCGACCGTCTTGGGCGACGGCTCCGGTACGGGCTCGGGCGCCGGCGCCGGCTTAGGCTTGCTGTCGAGGGAGCCGACGTGCAGACGGCCGTGCCACTTCTTCAGGATGCCCTCGTTGTGATATTTCCAAAATTGCTTCGAGGCGTCCTTGCCACCGACGCGCTGCAGGATTTTTTTGCCGCCGGGGTGGTCGTCCTGAAACTTTGTGACATCATAGACGTCGCCGTCGACAATAATGTAGAGGTTGTCAGCCTTGTTGTGCGTGGCGACATCGCTGACGGTGAATGTCTTGGACATGGTGTCTATGTAGTTTATCGTAAGCAGGCTATATTCCGAGAAGGAAGGGTATAAAAAAGGATGGTGATGGAGAGGAAAAAAGGGAGGAAGATGGAGGAAGATGGGGGGCGGAAAGGTTTTGTAGAAGGGGACATGCGGAGGCTAGAAAACCTGGGGTATGGGAACTTGGAGCACGGTTCAGCTTACACTGCGGCATAGTCAGAACTCGGCTTGCAGAGGATTGCTGCTCATGTCAATCACATGCGACTAGAGCGGAACCAGCGGGTGGCGTCTACCTTGGTGTCCCAGCAAGCCTCCCAAGCATAGCTATATTTTTAGCCAATACCATAGACTCGCGCCTGGAAACACCGAACTGTCTATGATGCTTTTGCGGTCAAAAAGACAGTAAAGACCTATGGTAGTCGTCCATTTGCCACCGATCCAAAAACGACAAAAGCTGAGCGGCCTCGCTCGAGGCCTCATAACAGACGCACACCTGTGCATACTCGTGGCCAAGCATCCATTCCTAGCTTACTGGGCTGGGCTGTGGTACAGTAACCCGACCGCTGTGAGTGGTCCAGCAGCGCCTTGACCTGTCACGACTGGGTCCCCCGGAAACAGCAGCCCGGGGCTCTCTGCTGACATGTGAAGAAAGATTTGGCCAAGCGGCCCAAGCCCACCTTGCCACCCTTGTATTTCTTATTACTTAGCGTGCTGCCAGTCGCATCTAGTGTCACGTCATGCTGTCTGCAGTGGAGTGGGTTTCCTGCCGCTGGCAAGATGCCGAGGCTGCGTAACAGCAACGGGCAGCACACATGCAGCATGGTACTGGACCCCAAAGCGGTGCATAAGGCCAGGGTTGGTTGAGATGCAATATGCACAACGCTTTACTGGCTGAATCAGAGGTGCGCCCAAGCGCGACGACCGACCTGTCCCCTTTTGGGAAACCATGTCCGGTGACCCGCCGAGAGCTCCGGGGAGCCGCACTATTAACAGCCGGCACCGGCCGCCCACCGCCACGGCGACTATACCTGGGCCGAACAAGGCCATGATTACCCACATGGGTTTCATGGCCCGGTGATTTCCTCATTGCCGCTGATCGTGGGTATTTTCGCTTCCCACTAGTGCGACCTATAATAGCTATGGGGTTGCGGACCACGATTTACAGCTCACAATACCCAGATGCTCGCTTCGGCAGACGAGAATCTGCAAGACACTCTTCGCATTCGAAATTTCCAGACACATGCACGAGGTAGCATTGCATGGCGAAATGGGCTGTGCTTGCGCGCTGTGAACGTCACTTTTGGGCAAGGCATGCAGTTTCACACCAACTAGATTGGGCCTGAAATGGTGATGCATGAGAACAACTACAAATTTACCAAATAAATCATTAATGCAATTGTACACGCATATTGTACCCTCGGCTGTCCCTCTTGATCCGTTACCTTTTACGCCTTGTGTTTCAAACAGCAGAGCCCCAAATAAAAAGACCATAAAAGCAGCATATTGACTACGCAAGCATTTTTGGAATCCTCCAGTCATTCCCTGCACTCACGCTCCCCGCGGCTTGCCTTTAATCGCCGCCTTGTCCTTCTTCTCCTGCTTCTGCTTCTTCTTCTTCTCCTCATTCTTCTCGTCCAGCTTGCGCTTGTGCGCCGCCTTCTCCGCCTCCGTCTTGGGCATCACCTTGAAGAAGCCCTCGAGGCGCGCCTGCTGCGAGCTCTTGAGGTTCTTCTCCAGACGCGCGCCGCCGCTGCGCACGCGGTCCTCGGAGAAGCCCTTCTCCGCCACCAGGAACTGCACCAGTCCATCCATGTCGGGCTTGTCCCATTTGACGTCGCACAGCGGGTCGTCAGCGGGCCGTACGTCGGGCTCGAAGAAGAGGTCGCGCGCGTCCTTGTACGGCCAGTCCTCGGGGATGGTGTACTTTTTCTTGGAGTCGCTCTCCATGGCCTCGACCACCTTTTCAAGGCTACCGTGTTCGCGTATGAGCTTGAGGGCAGTCGTAGGGCCGACTTTCGGGATGGGGTCGAGGTAATCACAGCCGAGCAGGATGCAGAGATCGACGAACTGGGGCAGCACGTTAATAATGGTACATTATCAGAAGAGCAGCCATGTTTGCGTGAGTACCTGTTTTCTCTTCATGTTGAGCCCCTCGAGCACCTTGTCCAGGTGAATCTCCTGGATCGGCTCCTTGCGCTGCTCGCTAAACGTCAGGTGCCGCAGCAGAATCGGCGAGTCAAAGCACAGCGTGTCCATGTCCTCGCTCGCCGCTGCATACACCTTGCCCGCCTTGGCCAACACTGCGCACTGCGCCTCGGCCTCGGTCGGCGCGATGATGTAGGGGATGCCCATGAGCTTTAGCAGACGCTGGCACTCGGCATTGTGCTCGCGTGTGACGCGGACGGTCCGGCGCGAGAACTTCTCTACGTCCTCGGCCGTACCCGTCTCCTTGGCCTCCTCCAGGCCCTCCTGCGCCGTCTGCTTGCGCTGGAAGCGCTTGGCTAATTCCCCCGACTTGAGCTTGGGCGGCGCCCCGTCAAACACGTACAGAGGCTTGATTCCGTTGTCCACCATACGCAGCGTGCGGTAAAACATGCCCATGAGATGCGACGTCGTCTCGCCTGTGTCGTTCATGAGCTGCTGGCCGTCGGAGCGCACGGCGATGAGGAAGCTGTAGATGCTCATCGACGCATCCTGTTTTTGTTGAAAAATTCCGCAGTTAGCCTTAACTCGGCATGTTGACGTTTTAGAGGCCTGTAGCACCCACAATGGCAACTTTGCGACCAAAATGGTTCTTGATTTCACCTTCCTTGATAGCATCGGGAGCTTCCTCCTTGATGATCTGAAAAAGCTGCTTGATACCCATGATGGCGATGAGTGTCTGAAGTATCTCCCGCTTCCCTATGCCTGCATTGATTCTTGCTGCTTGATACTGAGGTGTCTAGTGTTCAAAAATGAACCCAGAAAAAGCTGAAGCTGACCCTGTAAACGAGAGGTTGCAACGCGTGTGGCGCGTGTCGCGGGGGTCAACTTTAAGTGGTTCCACTTTTCTCGCGACGCTCTACTACCTTACAGTAGTCACTTCGTGAGCAACTCACCAACTGCACCCAGCATGTATACGGGTGTACATAGTTTTATTTTATTATATTTTCATATACCACAACATATACGGTAAATGTTTCAGAAGAGCGTTGCCAAAGCCGACATTGATAGAGAGGCCCTGCTGCACCGAAGCTCCGCCAGGAGACGGCTTCATAGCTTGGACTGCAAGTTGTGCTGCCAGGTCAGGCTGATGGCGTATAAATCGAGCGTCTACTTTTCCACTACCTCGTCCCGCCGCGTAGAAGCCCGTGCTCCCCTGATGATTTTTAATTTACCGCTCGGAATACAGAGTCGTCAAGGATTGATCTCGCCTTGCGCTCCACCTTGCCGTGCGGAACAGAGAAGCAATACACACCGTATGGAACCATCCACGCATACGTCAACTCCGCCGTTTCTCATTTCTGCTCTTGTGCTGGGCTTGAGAAAAGTGTAACGTACAATTATCCTTTGACTGAACCACCTATAAACATTTGTAAACAGAATGGTTTCGGTATGCCCCGACGTGTTTTCTCGAAATTCGTTAGCTTGAACCATCCTGTTGCTCGTCAACCATGCATCCCTGTCCTGCCCTTGGCCCGGCATCCCTTCAAAGCCTCGCTGGCTCAATCATCAAAGAACACCCTTTTTCGGCTCCTCGTGGGCGTTCCTTCCAAAGCGTCCAAGGCTTGATCAATCTCCATAATTCCGAGCATCTCAGCCTCGACATCGCGTGAAATGTCCGAGGTCACGTCCGCCGCAGCGCTGAGTGTATTGGCAAAATCAAAGCCAACACTTGGCCGCGACGACACAGCCAAGGGTCCCTCGCCCATTTCCTGATCTTCGTCGACGGGGGCCGCCGCCTTGAGCCGCAGCGATCCGGCCTTGGCTGTGCTGAGATTAAACGACAGCTTCGGCGGGGCCTTGTCCTTCTCGCCATGCACGATGATGGCATTCGGGTGCTCCTTGGAGAAAAGACGTCTGGATCGGTGCAACACCAGCTTCTTGCTGCCACTGTCATCGCTGTCGCGGGCAATGACAAGTCGTGACTCACCGCGGATGACCACCTCGACGTTCATGCCGCCATCAGCCGCACAACTAGAGCTGTGTGCAGGGATCAAATCGACGCCACAGCAAGGCTCACCTAATAGGCCAGTAGCTAAATCAGCGAGCTTCGTCATTCTTGTAGGCGCACTGCCACTAAAAATGTTCACACCGCCAGCGGATCCCTTGTTCAGTTGCGATTCCCAGAAGCGAAGGATGGCAGGCACCACACAGACATGCTCCAGGCTACCGACCCACAGGACCAAGGCTTCATCGTATGAGGACTTTTTAAACGATGATATCGCTACCGTTCGTACACTGCCGTGCACACTAGCAAGTCTGTCTAGCGTGTTTGTAGATGTCAGCGAAGCCGTCGCTTGTCTGCGAGTATGCGGTGTCATGGGCGCAAACTCGCCCTGCTGCGACTCCTTCTGTTGGGTGGATATGCTCCGCAATGAGCCTGTGCCTTCGACGTAGCCCGAAATGCTAAATGCCGTCAGAGCTGCACCGCGAACACCTGACTTGAGTTTTGTCGACATGTTCGCGTTAGCAGACCGCGGACTCACACCATCAATGTCCCAGACTCCCCACATGCCATCAGCAAGCAGTACAAATATTGCTTGGCCTCTTGCTATCCAGACAGCATCGAGAATCGGTTTCCTCGTCGCAGACGGTTTTGCAAATGGCTGATATAGGGAGAGAAGCCACGAGCCCTGACTGGGAAATGGGCTAGTAGCTTCGGGGTCACTGGGTATAGAAGAAGTAGCGTAGTCGTAGATTCGCGCAGCGTCGGTTGCAGACACAGTAAGGAGATGTGTGCTGTGTGTAGGGTTAAAGGAGATTTTCTTCAATGGGCTTGGCAGGTACTCTGTTTGGAAAGGCTCGAGCGGCCGCTCTGCTTTTGCATCCAACGCAACGTCCCAGAGCTGCAAAACACCAGAGGCCTGCTTGGAGTGTGCAGCGACGATTACTCGAGCACTCGGCGGCTGTGTCGAAGATGGCTTGGCCAGCGCAATGGCAAGGCCATTGCTCGGTCTCGTCTGGCCACCCAGCGCGATGAGGGACTCTCCCCAGGCGCCGGAGCCAGCCTGTCCAGCCAGCAGGTCGACGCGCAGCTCTGGACGCGCCTTGCTATCCGGCGATGGCGGCGTGCTTGGTAGCACCACCACATATGCATCGTTATTTGCGCAAGACACTGCAAAGACGATCTTGTCGCTGTGCAGCGCGGTGCCGGTAGCCGCGCCGCTAACCAGATTGGGGCTGTCAGGCAAAACGGCAACATGCAGGATTGATGTGCCGAATGTGAGGTCGAGAGTCTGGATAATTTCGGGATATGGTCCTTGTTCGGTCGAGGCTTCAAAGTCGGGCTTGTCCACAAACGCACCGGGGCGCGGAGTCGTCTTGTTTGGCTCCTCGTCGTCAGAGTCAATCACCATGACGCTAGCATCAGCAGAGCCGCCGTTCTGGTGCTGCTTTGCAGGCTCGGGCTTCTTGGAGGGCTTGAATCGACGGCCGCCGCGCCATACAACGGTGGCGCCGGTTTCATGTCCGTAGATCAGGATGGCTGCACCTTGAGGAGACTGGGTCGGGTAGGTTTGCACATCGTGTATGCGTCGGGAGAGATTGTATCTGTTGTTGACCACGCGTGAGCAATTGCACTTAACTTAGTAAACTCGAGTCTCAACTGGCTAGACTCTTACGTGAGAAATGTATGTTGTGTGGTCCGTCGTATACGTGGAGCTGTGGCAGAGGTCATTGTGAAGTCAACCTGCTTGGGCGCAGACCCAGCTCAGATTGTCGTAATTTGTTTTGCTCAAGGGGTAGTTTTGACCAAAACAGTATCGCGTGAATTGAGGATATCTATCATGAGTAATAGATCACGGATTTATTCTTCGACGTGTTTGTTTATGCAGCTCGGGTGTTGTTTGAGTATTCCTCGCCGGCGTAGCACAGCTTTTTGCACGACGCGTTGCTGAGATGAGCTTCCCGCCGAAAGCATCACGTGATAATTGAACGACCCTACCCTGAAACTCTTTATACCGCCGCGATGTAGCTACTTCCGTTGGGTTGGTTCCTTCTTTCCTGCAATATTCGCATCTGTGACACTTTGTTTGGTCCATTTTGCGAACTTCTGTGGCTTCATAGCATGATTAGCTGTCGTAGGGATGCAATCCAGCCACTACCAGCTTCGAGGTAATCCTTCGGTCTGGGGCACACCGTGTGCGCCTCAACGGCCGCTGCCAGAGTTCCCGTTTCGAAGCTCGAGAAATAACACAAAAAAAAAAAAAAAAAAAAAAAGAAACGGTCATATAGTTTCCTACCGCACATATGAGTATTTTAATGGCGCAATTGCCGAAGGTCAATCACAAGAGAGCATTTGTGGATGGATCGGTGTTGACCATGTTGGCACGGTAGTTGAGCGCGACTAATGATGCGACGACACTGGACGCAGTCTCAAAATCATATTGTAGTTTCATTATTTCTTCTCGGAAAAAAAAAAAATCATAATTCGCAGGCAAGACGCATATCGAGCATGCCAGGGAACAGGTTTCTTATAGCGCTGATCTGGTATCGTCAACAGTGCAGGTCCAACTGATGGTCGCAGGGTGAGTGGCGCTGGTGCGAGGGACTTGTGCGCCTGCAGCCCGGCGTCGTCGGCATGGCGCTCACAGATACGGCGGCGTTCGTCGCACGCAACGCTGTTGTTGTCACCGCGACGCCGTGCGAACACCCGCCTCCGGCGAGGCTGACGACGGGACCCTTTGGCGTCATGCCGGACGGCCGCCCAAACGCAGTGTGGTTCACCCGCGACACCGTCCGCAGAACTAGCGAGAAATTTCGCGACGTGCTCGCGTTGATCAATACCGGCGCGGCGGTCGCGTAGATGCACGGCCTGCACTAGATCACCATGGACGGCAAGCAGGCTGCGCGGCTATTTAGGGCACGTTGGAGCGTACAAGCTGGTACCTATGCGTCAGGAAGGGTGGCATCACTTTAGCCAGAAAGGGAAGAAGCTGGCGAAGGATTTCAAGAAGGAGAGCATGGAGGACAAAGTGACATGGCTGACCTCTGGAAGTGCCGTTACGATCTTCTAACCCATTACCGTTTTGAAAAAGAGGAATCTTTCTATTCGAATTATAGAGGAAAATGCTTCGTTGGCTAATGCAACCTCACTCAATACATGACCCTTGCAACACAGTTTTTAGATGCCACCCTCTGCATAGCGTGTATGTGAGGACAAGCCGCCAGACGACTAATCAAACCGAATTCTCATTTATGGCTCCGCGTCGTTTCCCTCATTAATATCTTTTGGCTGAAGCTCCTTCCTCATCTGCCTTCTCCTGTTCAGAATCCGCCACTCCTCATACGGCCTGCCGTCCACCAGCACGTCACTCTGTTCGATGCGATAGTCGTGCAGCGGCGAGTAGCTAATCCCCTGGCAAAACGTCACGTTCCACGACGGCCTTTCCCGTCCGATGCGCAGCTTGCGAACGTGCACGTAACCGGTGCCGCTGGGCCCGCACTCGCGGTCGAGGTGCGCGCTCGCCGCCTGGTAAAGTGCGAGGCTGCAGTTGCGGAGGCCGCCAAACGGGCACATGAAGAGCGTCGTCCTGCCCGACGTGCTCGCGTAGAGGCGCTGCCAGGGCATCTGCCAGCGGTTGCAGAAGTAATCGAGGTGCCGCGACGCGCGGCGTTCCTCGTACTGGTCGATGAGGTCGCCCGTGCACACCGTGTCCTGGAACTCGTCGGAAGAATGCGTGATGGGGCGGCTGCTGCCGGGCGTGTCGAGGCGCGGCCACAGCCACGGCGCGTAGGGCTGATTGTCGAGGAACTTCTGCAGTGCGTCGAGCCCGAAGCGCTGCGTGAGCGTATTGCCTTCTTGGTCTTTGGCGGGCTCGCCGAGGGGTTCCTCCTCGCTCTGGTCATTAACCTCGCTGAGACCGATGGAAGAGGACCGCTGGTTGCCCTCTGGTGGGATGAGGACGGCTGCGGTCTTGTTGGTGGTGCAGTTGGTCCGCGGGTGGTAGGACGTCGCGTGTGGACCGTTGCTAGTAGAAGCAGACTTGGCAGCATCGGCGGGAGCATATCCGCTGATGCTGCCGTGGTGACGGGGTGTCGATCCGGAAGAGTGACTGCCCGGTACCGTGTAGAGTAGTGATGATTCGCCCCTGGATTGCGCTTCAGTGTTCGTTGACGTGCGGGTGGTGGTAGTGGTGCTGGCCGTCAGCGGCACATAGGCTGCATACTCGATACTTGTGAAGGAGGAGGTGGTACTAGACGTCGAAGGCATAAAAGAAGTATAATTCATTGTAGTAGACTCGCCATAGCCGTAGCACTTGCCGAGGACTGTTATGGCGAGCACTAGAGCAGTCGAATGAGGCTTCATGATGGACTGTTGGTCATGGTGATGCGCAAGTGGGAAGAGTATAGGTCAACGCAAGTAAAGGGCGATGAAATTCGACAGAAGAAAATGCACAAGGTAATATATCGCGGTAAAATGATCAGGCGAGGAATTTGAACTTTGTGGCTTTGAACTTTGTGGCTGTGAACTTAGTTTGAAAGGCTTGACAAAATTTAGATGCGGCGCACCATGAGAGCTGTTGGCTGGAAGTGGTTGTAGCCACTTTATGTGAGTGTTCATACCACGATAGCCGGGATGCCAAGTCACGATGAAGTATGCTGCGTTATATTCGTCTTTTATTTCCGCCGCGAACCTGCTAGATACATCCCATAGGCTCCCGTGCCCCATGCCAAGAGACAAAACAAAAGAACAAACTAAAATCGGACCAAGGTGAGAAGTAAAGAGATGGTTGGTGTAGAGTGTACCAAATTGCACGTGACGAAAGGCTTCTGGCTTTCTGTATCCCAACCTGTCAACCTAGTTGGCACTATGCCAGTCGCTTCCACAACGATACAAGCCCATCTCCATGCCGCCATTGTGAAGAGGCCAAAAAAGTTAAAAAGATAGGCAAAATTGTAGAGAGCGACGAAACGCCGCCTGATCATCGACCATTGGATCCACCAATGGACATAAGCAGCAAAACCTTTGAACGCCGTGAATGCCAGTGACAAGATAAAAACAACAAAAGAGGTCGAGGTATTATTCGAGGGCATCTGCTCGTGGTGACGTTACAAGGATGAGCTTATGCGTTGGTGACCTGTTCGATCAAAAAGCGGTTAGCTAGATGGCGTATTTGCTAGTCAGTAACTCCATCAACATACCCGAAGGATCTTGCGAGAGTAGTCCTGGTTGTCGGCTATGCTGCCGTCGCTGAGACGACGATGAGCCATCACTGGGTCCAAGCGCGAGTCGGTAATGGAGATACCGCCAGAAGTGCTAGGAGGCTTGGAGCCACTGATAAAGGCATTGACGGCGGCGTTGCGACGGTGCTCCTCTTCAATTTCGGCATTGCGCTTCCGGCGAATGAAGAAGATAACGGCACCGATGATGGCGGCAACAACCACGACACCAACCACGACACCGGCAGCAATGGCAGCAACATTGGGACTACCGCTAGACTTGTCAGAGTTTCCAGTCTCGGTGCTCGGTGGTTGCGTTACGCCGGCAGTCGATGTCGATGCTGCCGAAGAGCTGCCCTGAGTAGCTGTCGAAGAGGCCGAAGATGAGGAAGAAGAAGCACTGTAAAAGCCGGGAACCAGAACGATACCCATGTTGTAGATTGAATAAGCGTCTTTGAGACCACCGCACATGTCATCGGGAAAACCATTGCAAGGGTAGTCGCACTTTGCTGAATCGAGTTTATCGTCTTCGGGAGGATATACATAGCCACAGTAGCAAGCCTGAGGGGCGAGGGCGGCAACTGGCAGCTTCTTGCCCTTGCAAATCGTGCTGCAACTACCACTTGAGAGATATTTGGTATCGGCATTTTCGTTGGTCATGTTGCCCACGCTTGAGAAGCATCCCTGAACTGTTTCTACGCCAACTCGGGGCATACCGCTTTCGGCGGGCACAGGGACGCGAGCATGGTGCAAATTGGAGTGTGCGTTGGCGAAGGCGCCGGCAGCAGCCATGATGGGCAGGGCAACAGTGACTGAAGACTTCATCTTGGCGGAATGTGAATGAGCAAGGCGAGCCACTCAAATGACGAGGGCGGAGAAGGAACAATATGTCGCGTCGGTTTTGGTTGTCTGGATTCGCGATTGGACAGGGCGTCAAGCGATTCGATTCAAGCTTTGTCTGGAAGCGGGCGGCAGATGCAGTGGGCAAAAAGATTCACGACAGCCCAAGTTCAACTAAAAAAGGCGACCATCTGTTTTTCGAGACGTTTGTGAGCTTGGTACTTGTTGAGATGTGCCCGTTGCTTTCACAGCGGCTCTTGAGAACTATGCCCAATGTTGGTTGTCGAGGAGTGGAATAGGAGGCGACAGCTAGAGGCGGACGTCGAGGGGGATGAGATGTCGAAACAAGGGAGAAAAGAAGAACAGACGTGATGAGGGAAATGGAGAAATGACCCAACTGAACAAAGAGTGATGGACCAAAGAGAAGAAGTGAGCGACGATGACTACCTATGGGGAAGACAAGCGCTAGAACGCAGAACGAAAGAGTGACCTGAGGGTGTTTGGTTGTTTTGTTGAAAGGGGAGAGGCGGCGAGCGAGCACTGAGCAGCGGATTGAAGACGGGGGGAAGAAGGGGGAGTGGGCAAAGGTGGGAGAGGCAGGGCATTTTTTTTGAAGGGGGTGGATACTAGCGAGGCACTAGAGCAGGTACAAGCAAGGGTCAGGGGCTTAAGATACAGCGCCAAACCCTCGATGAGAGGTCACAGTGCTGACTGCACTGTGCTAAGACGTGGTACCTTTCATTTCCACTCAGCCAATTCACTTAGCTATCAGGGTTTTTAATGATTGCGGACGCTACATTTGCAGGTGAGCCACTATAAAAATCCAGAACAAAACAGGGGCCCCAGCAGGCTCAAGCTGTATTTCTCGCAGAAGTATCTAGATACCTAGGCACTGATAGGCACCTAGGTATGTAGGTAGGTAATCTGTACCTGACGGCGACATGCGCTAGCGACACCCAGATACCAGGCTTTAAATAGCGTGTGGTGACAAACGTACCTCCCGATATTTTGCTACCAATGATAACTTTATCACACGATTTATAACGCGCTACCGGAGTGGCGGATGTAGGAACCATCGTAAGCTGATTTCTTTCTTTCTTTTAAACCGTTTACTAACTAGTATCTTCGTGCCTCGTTGTTCTTCTTTCTGGATAGGTTTTCTGGCTGACGGTAAAAGGTGGGGATGGGCCACGTACTCAACTGGTAACAATTCAACGCGCATGGGGTTTGCACAGTGCGCCTCCCAACCATCACGGGTTGTGTGCAGCAGCCACGTCACATCACAAGTACCAGTGCACAGTAATACATACCTACCTACCTTTAGGTAGGTACATACAAACCACTCAGCAAGTGCACTGTCGAGTAGCACATCGCGCGAATGCCAAACTCTCAAACATTCGTTGCTTTCTTAGGTAGCGAGGGCGTGAAAGACACTCAACTTACCTTGACCTGTTTGCTCTCATCAAGTATGAATTTACTAATAGTCAGCACGAATAAATAGCTACGAGCAGCCTGGCATGTACTGCTATGTATGTCTTTTGGCTACCTGCTTGCCTGAAATCATCTGCCGCACATTTGAGGCACTGGCCATTTCCACCGACTCCACCGCAATTAAATGCAGCAACGCTTCGGCCTCGTTTGCTATTAATACCCTCTTTCTCTCTCGTATCATTCGCGAGAATCCAAATCCGATCATCTAATCCGTATCTGTACTGTAGTTAACTATCTTGGCCATCCGAAGGAAGAAATAAATATCCCGCACAGCCACTCCAAAACATCACACGGTGGCGCCTGGCATTCTGGCAAGGCCCTGGCAGGGCACATCTGTTTGCACGGCGGAATGGCACCGTGTTACAGTGTTACACGGTGACACCCAGCGCGTAGCAACACAGCTGTTATTCGTCTCGCTCCGCACCACCCTCTGCGAACAGATACCTACCTGCGGATGTACTTGTGCAATAACTAATGTACTCCGTACAGTTTATTCATTTCAATACTTTCCATCACTCAAAATTCTCAGCCTCCAATTTCAGTCTCCGACCTAACAGTATGTATTGAAGCTATTCCGAAAAACACACAAAGAATTCTTTCCAGTAGAACAATTCAGCCTCTTCGGACGCACGCAAGCACGCTTGCTGTCATCAAATTTCTGCGCTTTCTGAAACGCACTATTATCATGTCACACCCACTCATCATTCAGGTACAGAAGCTTGTTCGCCCGCCAGGATCGGATTGGCCCTAATGTTGTGCATGGCGCCACCCGAAATGTGCACGGGTTTATGAAGCGCTATCTATCAGTAGGTAGGCACGTAGGCTTTAGGTTTTGCCTGCAGCTGGCAATGTGCAGATCGCCATCTTTTATGTAACCCCATGATACAACAGTTATTCAAAATCTGTTCCTAACTATGTACGCTCATTGCCCGATTATTACAGGTACATAGATAGGTACATAGAGGTCGCGCACAGTGCATCTCTCGTTGTCACTGTGCTGCTCATTGGCTCTTCGCCCGTCTTGCGCGACGTACGAAACTGCCATCTCAATCAATGTCGCAGACTTGAGACATCCTTGTTTTTGCTTCTGGCTCGCTTTTCGCATCCCCAAAAGGCTTCCCAATGCCACGCCGTTGTCAGCATCATCGACTCACCGCGCGGGCATGCAGTCGATTATTTGCTTGCTAATAAGTAGTCCTTACCATCTTTTGCAGTCCGTAGTCATTATTAGCTCTGCAAGGGCAACCCCTGTGCTGTCTCTGATTACCGACAAGAAGAAAGAATAACATTTCCCGCTGCACCGTCTGTCTAAGCGGTGGATCACGGCACAAGTGAATACGAGCAGGGCGCACTGCCTCGCAATATTCCGGAGTTCTCCGTAGCATTGCAAACATATGTATCAATAGTCAGGACTGCGGCCTAGGAAGTATATTTACCTATACTTGCCAACCTGCCCTGCGGTGCCGAGCCTCCCGCCCCGACACCGAGCCAACTTAGGAAGGAGGAAAGCGAGTATCAGAGCGAATTAAGGACGCTCAAGGTTATCTATCTTCAACTCAACGCGAATTACTTTGTAATTCCCAATAGACCTCGAATCCAACTGAGCATTTTATTAATCCTTCTGTACTTGATATACATATATAGTAGTACAACCCTTAACCCTCAACCCTAACCCTTCAGCCCACAACACTCACTACCAGCCTCGAACCGCACACTGATCGCTAAGTAGCGCTGCATTTACTTTTATGAATATAACTAACTTAAAAGCTAAACCCTGATTCTCTCCCTACTAGACCCTGTCTCCTCTCTCCCTTTCTTTTTGCTTATCTAGAGGTTCGCTTTCTCCTATTATTAACGATGCGATCGATGCCCTGATTTAAAAGAAGCGCATAAATCCTATTGGATATCGCATGTGATGCCTTTAGTGCCGCACTTGCTTACTCGCGCAAATGTCTCGTCTACTACGTATTTGTCCGTGAAAGTGGCGCAACTTGCTCATAGGCCAATGTCAACATCCAGTGACCACCTTGGATCAGTGAGCCGCGCCGCGGAAACTACTACGTACGTGTACAGCAGGGTGCTGCAACTAGGTAAGATGCAGGCCCCGCCATGGCAGTCGCTCCCGAGGCTCGTTGCTGAATATGCTGAATATAGAAAACGGAGTGAAACTTTACTGGTACAATGGTGGTTCGCTGGACGCTTAAGCCCTCAACAGTGCTTGTAACAGTCTGTCCGGAAACTACCGTGCTTGCTTGCTAAGGATACAGAGACTGCATCAAACAATGCGTAAGTATTGAACAGTTCGACGGGCCCGCTGCGATGACCACCAGGAGCTTTTGCAAGCGCCGGCGGTGAGATTGGCTACGCTCGGCATCATACTTTGAGACCTACCTGTTGTCCCGTGAAATCATGTCTAGCTGCCGAGAGCACATCTGACCCAAGTCTTCCAGACCGTTGAGCGTCGCATTTCGCCATTGCAATCCGGTGAAAGCTGTGACAGAATACCGTCGTCTCTTTGCCTCATTGGAACGCTCCCGCTACAGCCCCAGTTTCAGCACCAATATCATTAGATACAGCTATGGACTTGGCCATCGTCGAGCGCTGCAGCTTTCCGAGCCTGCGTCAGCTTGTTCTCCCGCCTGGAACGAGATTAGTGGTTAACACGCGCGCCTCTGTAGAGGCCATTGTGAGGAAGAAGAGCGATCTGGCGGCCTCATGTTGGGCGGTGACACGCGCACACCACCTTTGTGGCGGCGGTGCCTGGGCGTGGTACCCGGATACACAGGTCGTTCCGGAATCGTGAGGGGAAGGCGACATCAGCCTGCGGGAGCCTGGAGGCTGAAGAGCTTACTCAATAGCGCCAGTGTACCTCTCCAGCCACACAGATTGGGTGGCGGCGAAAGTATCTCGGACACCACTTTCGGCTGAGCAATAATGCGGAGTTTGGTCTCGGATACCGCTCTAGGCTGGGTTGAATGTTTTCTGCATGTCGCTATTTTGGCAGACCGCTTGAGCGTCTCGTCGTAGACTCTTTCAAGCTGTCTACTGGATACTTATCACTTTGTTACTCTCAGGGAAGAGATTCCGTGGCAAAGGCAACCAAAAGCACCAGCACCACCAACCGTCACTGCAGGCCCTCGTTGTAGCGCGCAAGCTCCAGCCAGCCCCCTCAGCACGAGCCGCCAGCGCCAGCTAGTTACAAGGTACCTAGGTACCTACCATCGATAACGACACCGGCCCACCCCATCTCCTGCGTCATGCTCCATCCATCCTACAACATTCAATCAACAAGGCAGCTTGGAACTTCCTTCAAAGCAACTCCTTTTCATCTTCAATCTCGGTCTCTGCATCGAGGTCTGTTCACGTATTTCGAGTAAACTTTCGAATCACCCAATATCGTCCCCGACGAGCCGCTCGCACATCATGAAGAGCGCCTTGATCGCCGCGGCCGCCCTCGCCGGCTCCGCACAGGCCGGAATTCACAAGATGAAGCTCCAAAAGATTCCTCTTGCTGAGCAGCTGGTAAGTTGGCCTCCTATTTGTCGTTTGCATCGATAAACGGATGCCTTTAAGATGAAATACTAACTTCTTCTCGCAGGTCGGTGCTTCTTTCGAGGCCCAGGCTCACCAGCTTGGTCAAAAGTACCTCGGTGCCCGCCCTGCCAGCCGCGCCGACATCATGTTCAACAACCAGGTTGCAGAGTCCAAGGACGGCCACCCCGTTCCCGTTACCAACTTTGCCAACGCTCAGTGTTAGTGGCGATAAATGTCACGTATAGCATGACGGTACTGACGAATCCACAGACTTCTCCGAGATTACCATCGGTACACCTCCCCAGACTTTCAAGGTCGTCCTCGATACTGGCTCCTCCAACCTCTGGGTTCCATCTCAGTCGTGCAGCAGCATTGCCTGCTTTCTCCACTCCACATACGATTCGTCCTCCTCTTCCACATACAAGAAGAACGGCTCCGACTTTGAGATTCACTACGGTTCTGGCAGTCTGACTGGCTTCGTCTCCAACGACGTAGTTTCGATTGGTGATCTCACCATTAAGAACACAGACTTTGCCGAGGCCACCAGCGAACCTGGCCTCGCCTTTGCCTTCGGCCGCTTCGACGGTATCCTGGGTCTTGGCTATGATACCATCTCCGTCAACAAGATGGTCCCTCCCTTTTACCAGATGATCAATCAAAAGCTTATCGATGAGCCCGTCTTTGCTTTCTACCTGGGTTCAGAGGATTCAGGCAGCGAGGCCATTTTTGGCGGCGTTGACAAGGATCACTACGAGGGCAAGATTGAATATATTCCCCTCCGCCGCAAGGCTTACTGGGAAGTTGATTTTGACGCCATTGCCTTTGGTGACGAGGTTGCTGAGCTCGAGAACACTGGCGTCATCCTGGACACGGGCACGTCCCTCAACACTCTTCCCACCGACCTTGCTGAGCTTCTCAACAAGGAAATTGGTGCCAAGAAGGGCTTCGGTGGCCAGTATTCCATTGACTGCAAAGCCCGCGACTCTCTTCCCGACATCACCTTCACCCTTGCCGGCTCCAACTACACTCTGCCCGCCAGCGACTACATTCTGGAGCTTGGTGGTAGCTGTGTTTCTACCTTTACTCCTCTGGACATGCCCGAACCCGTCGGTCCTATTGCTATTCTTGGCGATGCCTTCCTTCGTCGCTACTACAGCGTCTACGATCTCGGCAAGGGCGCCGTTGGTCTTGCTAGGGCTAAATAAATGTCTCGATTTGCCAAGCATGACGAGGATTGGTGGAAGTGCAGACTATTCGGTCCTTTCATGGAACCGCTCAGAAGGAGGAAACCGTAGCATCTGACTGCCCAGTTTGATTACAGTCTTTCATGTACACTATACGAGGTACCTTCAATACAGTCTGATCATTTATATGACGCATAAATATAAATGCAGTGCCAGCGCATCATGAGTAGCGAAAAGAGCAAGGTAGTAACAGTGTATCTGGATCTGTAACATTAAATAAATAGTAGGGCAGTTCATCTGGAGCTAGGTGCCTTGCGGCCTTGTGCGTCGATTTATTAGGCTCAGAAAGTGCCATCGACTGCAAGCTGGCTTCATTTCACGACAGATACGACTTAGCGCAGCAACAATCATACAATGGCCTTCGCAACAAAAAAATTAGAAGGATAGAAAGGGACCAAGCTGCGTACAAAGTATATTGAGGGAGCGTACCAAGTAGGTGGTACAACGCTTGCGGGCGCAAGGGGACAGCAACAAGTCACGTGGGGAAGTTGTAGCCTTGAGGCAGCGTTTGTAGCAGGCGGGCCTGGTTGGCTGGCTGGCTGGCCTTTCTACGTTAGCAGCAAAGCAGCCTCTGGCCCATCAAGACACACAGTCTTTCCCCCATCGAGAGACGCTGCTCCTGGCAACCTGCATTTTTACCATTGCCCGTCCCAATCTCTTTGTGGAAATTGCCTCGTTTTCTGATCCCATCGAGTGCAATAGCCATTATATACTTTTTCTGGCTGCTTTGCGAATTGCATCTCGCCCGCTGACGCGCGCGCCTTTGATGAAAAAGGTTTGGCGTCGCACCCCAATCCACTTCTTCTCTACTCTCCAAAATCCACGAAACCGCGTATCGCGATCGACGCCTGCCTTTAAGAGCAGCCCCGCGGCCGCATTGCCCATCGACAGACGTGACGAATCAAGAATCATGGCGCAGCCATCGCCCCTGCAGCCCTCTGCCAACGGTGTGTCGTCGACTTCGCCCGACCCCCCGAGCGACAACTCGCACCAATCTATCCCCAGCAAGCGGAAGCGCGACGACGACGGCGACGAGGCGTCCGCCCAACATCCCGAGACGACGGCTACATTCGACGACTGGGCGGGCAAAAACTCGGAAGAGCTGCTCAAGTATTTTCACCAGGTTCTGATTAGGTACGTTGCCCATCTTCTCCTAACGCGAGGCTCTGCCTGAACAACCCTCCCCGACAGCCTCATCTCCATGTACTCTTGATTGCATCGCTGCTAATCGCTCTGCATTACAGCCTCGACAACGACAAGGCCATCCTCACGCGTGTATTGCCCGAATCCAAAATAGACCAAGAACCTCAAGTGAAACGCCAAAAATCCGCTGAATTGTCGACGCGCTCCACCATCAGCGATAAGTTTGTGGCAAAGTCGTACAAAACCATCGACGACGTCGCCGCCGATGTCGCTCTGGCTGTCGATGAGGCCCTGAAAGATGTCGACGCACAGGGGAATCCGAAGGAAGCCGTGCGTATGAGGGAATTCAAGCGCAAGGCGCTCAAGTTTGCCGCGCAGGAGAAGGCATACCCCCAGATCAAGGCAGAATCTCAGCCGGAATCGGAAAAGGCCTTCCAAGAAGGCTCATCGGTTCTGTCCATAGTTGGCTTTGCGCCGCAAGAACGAAGGCTATTCTCCAGCTTGCCCATTTCCGAGGATGTGGACTTTTCCGACGTGGCTCTGCCAGCCGGCGTATCCATCGCCACAGTTGCTAGATCAAACCAGCAGGTGGCGACGCGAACGCTTGGGGAGCTATTTGGATCGCACCGCGCCTTGCCGCCCTTGAACCCTCCCAAGCAGCCAAAAACACAAGCAAAGGGAACCACGATAGACTTTTACCACCCAGAGCCGACAAACGCGCGTACCAATTGCTACTTCAATACGAAGCTGTCCTCTGGATACTACCTCGACTACAGTAATGCCATCCCTTCGTCCCAAACGGTGCCGAAGCAGCGCGAACGCGCCGAAAGTCTGGCCGGAAAGAAGCCGTCGATGAGCGAACTAGAAACATCCGAGGTCGAGTCGTTGTTTCGTGGTGCCTTTTCTTCATTCGCGCCTTGCAAGGATGACTCGGCTGCTATTGTGCCTTCTAGCGTCGCGGGACGCATTTGGTGGCAGCGCTCGGGTCAACAGCTTTTCGAGCGTATGCTAGATATCGAGTTCTACGGAGACAAGCAAAGTAAGGAGCCAGACACCGGGTCCTCAACTGATGAGATCGATGAGGCTGCCATCCAGGATGCCATCGATCACTGGGACGAGACAGCCATTGATCCCTCATTGGACGACGTCCTGGGCACCCGAAGCAAGGCGGATAAGGACACCGATGATATCCTCACCGAAGTGTCAGACTTGATCGAGACACTGTCGTCTTACCAGCGCATTCGTAATCTTACGTTGCCCAACTCGCAAAACAGACAGTCTAGCGACCCTGTCACGGGTGACATGCTCGCCACCGCCGCCCCCGAGCCATCCGAGGAAGAGGTGGCCACATATGAAATGCTCAAATCCCAGCTGACCCTTATTATCAAGACGCTGCCTCCTTTTGCTGTTGCCAAACTGAATGGTGATCAACTGGATGATCTTCTCATCAGCACCAAAATACAAGTTCGCACAGACGACTATCAAGGAACCATGGAAGAGGACGAAGCTGGTGTACAAGCACGTCTGCGGGCTCAACAGCAACAGCAGCAGCAGCAGCATCAGCAACAACAAGTTGCTCAGGGTGCACGCCAGCCACCGCAGCCGCAACGTACTTCTAGCGCTGGAAGCCAGTTTCCTAACCAGTACTCGGCCGCTGCTCAATATGGCACACCCGGCCGCACACCACAGCCGCAGCAATATTATCGCCCAGGCTCTCAGCCTGGCTTCCAACCCCAGCGCAATGCTACACCGCAGCAGCCTCGTCCGCCCCAACCTAACCAGTACACGCGATCAAATGGATATGCTGGCAACCAGTACGCCACGCAGCTGGCTAAAGCCCAAACACCATACGGACACCAGAACATGCCCCAATACGCAAACCAGCAACGGCAACAGTTTGCTCAGGCGCCGCAGCCGCAACCCGGGACTCCCAACGCGGCGGGCTATCACCAGTACCAACCGCCACCGCAACAAGGAGTCGCACCAACGGCTAATTACCCCGGGTATACTAATGGTGCACCCCAACAACTCCCACAGGTGCAGCTGCAGAGACATATGTCGCCCCCCGATCAGCAGCAACGACAGATTTACAGCCAGTCTCCTAACATGCAGACTCAGCAGCGATATACGACCCCGACGCCTCAGCCCGGCACGCCTGCTCAAGGAGGGCGGTATGCGGCCGGCGCGAACCAGTCTGGATACAGCCAGTCGCCCGGCCTCACAGGCTACCATACGGTGATTTCAGAGGCGCAGCAGCAGCGTATCCTGGAGCAAGCCAAGGCGCGTGTCGCTGCCGGTGGCCAGCCCGGAGGGTACTCGAATGTCGCTCTGGCTGCTGCCCGCGCGTCCATTGCCAACCAGCAGAAGCCGCAGACACCGACGGGGCAGAGATCTAGCACCCCAGTGCTACCGCCGCACAGGGTGACACCTGTGCCTGTGCCTCCCATCCCCGGCACGACGTCTCAGCCGTCACCGCAGTAGTGCGTCCATGCCGAAAATTGTTCTGTCGGCTCCAGAGTGGGCTTTTTGTAACAAAAAGAATGAATAGTATTGTTTTCTTTCTTCAAGATCAGGGTCAAGGAGGTGATGTCACTTGTATGAATTCTTTTTTTTTTCTTGGCTTTTTTTTTTCTTTTTTGCCTTGCGAAGACGATGGCGTCTTGTTATTTGTTTTGCGACACCATGTTATCATGGATTGTCTACACGAAAAGAAGGATGGCTCCAGCAAGGATGGCGATTGGTGAAGAAGGGATTGAAACTTCAGGCGTATTGACAACTTTTGGCGGAGGGCAAAAAACAGAGATTCTTTGCATCTTGTTGTTTTATTCGAGGTTGATTGGAGTCGGCGTCTTCATTCATCTTGTTCTCTTTTTATTTATGCCTTTGTGATGAGCTGGCGGTGTCAAGACACAGAGAGACAGAGAGATTTCGTTAATGGAGATGGGCTTTTTTCACCAGTTCTTATTGTTCTATCATTGTGTGTATTCAGTATTAGATGGATGAGGGAGGCGTGAAGCCGCTCAGTTTAGCTCTTTCTACCGACAGCTTTAAGTCATGGTGACATGATATTTATTGGAAGGGACGCTTTCTGTATCAGGTTGTCACATGAACGGGGTATCTATCTTCTGTATTTATTCTCTATTTATTACAGTGAATGACCTGTAATTCGAATTGAGTGGGGTATCATGAATTCAAAGTCTATCAAACGCCAGATAATATGCAATCTCCTCACGCTACCGTCCCTTGCAATTGATGCGCCTCCTTTTCTTGCCACTCGAGGACGATGCGCCGCACCTCGAAAATCACTTCGACCGCAATCAGCGCGATGATGATCCACTCCAGCCTCGTGCCGTGCTGCTCGCTCGAGATTTCTCTCAGCACCGTCGCAATTTCCTGCGCGTAGTCCATCTTTTGGTTCAGCGCGCGAATGCGGACGTTGACATCGAGGGCGCGGCCGACCTGCTCGTAATAGCCCTCGAGGCCGAGCTCGGAGCGGCTGTCCCAGAAGATGTCTGGCAGCGCGTCGGTAAGCTCCGAGTAGTGGTTGAGGCGCGCGCGGAGGCTGAGGAGCTCGCCCGTCTTTTGCAGAATGAAGCGGCGGCCGAGAGGCACGCCGGCGCCGCGGGAGAGCAGCGCGGGGATGGAGCGCGTGCTCTCAAAGTACGACGTCAGCGCCGTCTCGAGCACGGCGAGCTTGGTGCTGCGGGCCAGGCCGGACGAAAAGGCAATCTGAGCGAGCGTAGTGTCGAGGCGGTCGCCGTGGCGCGACGGTGTGCCGAGGACGATGAGGTCGCCGCGTAGCGCGCTCGTATCGCGCGTGGTGTCGTAGGCGAAGTCGAGGTCCTCGGCCTCGCGCAACGACGGCGGGTGCAGGTCCTCGGCGGCGCGGAGCAGCTGGCGCGTGACGACGGAGGGAGGGATGGCCCACGTCACGAGCGTGCCCGAGGGGAAGACGAAGATGTCGCCGCCGTTGACGCCCCGCGCGTGCACGACCTCGCTGGGGTCGAAACCGGTGCCGTCGGGGTCGGTCGCGAAGCCGTGCGCGGAGAGGATGTCGACGACGGTGGGCATGTGGAAGCCCTCGGCGAGGCAGACGGCGCTCACGACGGCGGAGGGGTCGGGCGAGTCGGTGGCAGAGGCGGAAGAGGGAGCAGCGGGAGGTTGGCTAGGGGAGCTGCCGGGGCTGCGCTTGGGTTGCTGGGCGATGATGGCGACGCGGCGGAGGGAGTTTTTGGTGGTTGCGGTTCGGGCGGGCTTGCGCTTACTCGGGGAAGAGGTGTTGGCGGAGGTAGACGAGGACGGAGGAGGACACGACGGTGTCGAGGGTCTGTGCTCTTGGCCGTCTTGGGAGAGGTAGGGGTTCGAGGTGAAGAAGCTGCGCTTGCGAGGCATGTAGACGGGCGTCGTGTGGTGGAAGCTCCTGGACGGCCTACGGGACAGCGCCACGATGCTAGAGATGTGGCGTGCGGCATGATGGAGAGAGATACGCTGGGGAGAGGGTCGCATGATGACAGAGACTGGATGCCATGCGCCGGGAGGGCAATTGCGATCAATTGGTACCCAAGAGAAGCTCAATCCGTTTTGACGATTGAAGGATTGAAGTCGAGCCCCACAGCGGACTTGTGCCTGAAGATGGCATTCCTAAAAAACATGTTGGTGGATTTCCTAGCATAATCTGGTAAGGTACTAGCGCGAAGCATCTTGACCTTGTTATTAGCATATTATTTAGAGTATTAGTATAATCCTGTATTTTATTCTGATCCTTCACTGCTAAATGGATCGGGCGAGAAAAATGCATGTTTGAGAACTATCGTTTTGGGAAGCGTAGCTAGGCGTGCATCAATGATTTTCTTAGAGCTTGCTTTTGGCATGAAAGGTGACTCACCACTGTCACAAAGAACAAAGCAGATGGGCCGCAACCAAAGACATTCCTTCAGCCTACTATTCAGTCTACCTAGGGCGTGATCGGGTTATAGGTGACGGACTCAGATTGTGGTCATATGCTCGTTCTTCAAATGTTAATGGAGCCTGTCCGGGGCATTCCGAGTTACTACTAATGGCTTCCTCAGTTCATTATTAGACCGAGTGCCTTTCGAGGCTTGGATTAATTACGCTGCTACAAGTTTGAGCTTCGAACCAAGTTTCGTCAAGTAGCAGTGGCTTCTGTGCCTTTTCAATTTAGTAGACAGTGTATAAATTACTTTGCGTTGTTCACGGGATTCACGCTTGATATACATCGCTAATGATTGAGTTTAAAATCGTGACACCTCTTCTGCGATCACATAATCAATTTTTTTAAACCATCTAGGAGTGATCGCGCGGCAATGCCTCTGAGATTTGATTTCGTTAATAGAAAAGAAACATGATGAAAAAATGGCCCAGATTAAGTTACCTGGTTGGCGGCGCCCCCCCACGTGACGGCGACGACGAATGAGAAATCGAATAGCTGCACCGCAAGGCGCATATTGCACTAAACGCTAGGCTGGTCGACTCGCTCCGCCTCGATTCCCAATCTCCTTTTTTGAATCCTCAATATTTCTTGTCCTTGTTCCCAACTTTTGCCTTTTGGAACTCCTCTTGCCTTTTTTCCTCAAGCTTCCAATCATCCTCCCGACGTTTCTCCTTTTACCATCCAGTTTCCTTGTTCCTTTGCATCAATACCCTCGATCCCTTCACCTCCATCTTCTTCGCCCCCCACCATGGATATCGATCCCAAGTACGATAACTACGACTTCCCCTACGAGGCCAAGGAGGCTCAGAATGGCCACGCCGGCCATCTTAACGAGGCTCAAATCGCTCAGGTCCACCAGCTGCGCATGATGCTCGAGGCCGAGGGCTTTACGGAACGTCTCGACACGCTGACTCTGGTGTGTATGCATGTTCATGACGTATTGGCCACGTCTATTCGAAACCAGGGTCTAACAGTTTTTCCCAGCTGCGCTTCCTCCGCGCTCGCAAGTTTGACGTCTCCCTGTCGAAGCAGATGTGAGCCACCCTCCCCCCTGTTGAGCTTTTTCGTGCACCCCGGCCACTTGTTATTTACCGTGACTCTGACTGACACCCCAAATTAAGGTTTGTCGAGACGGAAAAGTGGCGGAAAGAGACGGACCTCGACAACACCATCGCTACCTGGGACTACCCCGAGAAGACCGAGATTCAAAAATACTACAGGCAGTTCTACCACAAGACCGACAAGGTATGTCTTTTGCTTGCCGTCAGCTGTCGTTAAAACAGCTGAGTGCCGAATGAAAATTAATCATTTCCCAGGATGGCCGCCCCATCTACATTGAAACGCTTGGCGGCATCGACCTGACCGCCATGTACAAGATCACCTCCGGCGAGCGCATGCTGCACAATCTGGCAGTCGAATACGAGCGGCTCGCCGACCCCCGTCTGCCCGCCTGCTCTCGCAAAGTCAACAACCTCACCGAGACCTGCTGTACTATCATGGACCTCAAGGGCGTTACCCTAACCAAGGTCCCCTCGGTCTACTCGTACGTCAAACAGGCCTCGGTCATTTCGCAAAACTACTACCCCGAGCGCCTGGGCAAGCTCTTCCTCATCAACGCGCCCTGGGGCTTCTCGACCGTCTGGAGCGTCGTTAAGGGCTGGCTGGACCCCGTCACCGTCAAGAAGATCCATATTCTCGGCGGCGGCTACAAGAGCGAGCTGCTCAAGCACCTTCCTGCCGAGTCCCTGCCCAAGGAGTTTGGTGGCATCTGCGAGTGCCCCGGTGGCTGCGAGAACAGCGACGCCGGCCCCTGGAAGGACCCCGAGTGGGCTCGCCCCGCCAAGTGGGAAAAGGCCGCCGTCACCAACGAGCCCTCATCAATCACCAAGCCCGCCGAGACCGAAAAGAATGCTGCTGCTGCTGCTGCTGCGCCCACCGAGGAGGAGAACCTTGTTCCTGCCACTGCCACTGCTTAAAAGGGCAGGGATGGCGCGCAGCATCTTGGCTTGACATGGATCAACTGGCATTAAGACGGAGTTGTGTTGTGTGTTTGTGGGCTTAGCGAGCAGTGGTGATGAAGTTGACTATCGTGGTCGAGGTGTATCTGTGTAAAGACATTTTGAGGTTGATAGACTGAGCGATCCCGGTACACCAAAAGACGAAAAATTAAGCAGACTCTTTTTCATATAAACAAAGATGCGTTAGATGGAGCCTTGGGAGGAAAAGGAAGTAAAAATATCTCAACAATCGGCCGGAGAGCATGGCGAAATGGGAGTACGGTTCTACCGTTTCGGTATCTAGGAGCTCGATTTTCGCCGAACACAAACCGGTTGGCGTCAAGTTGATGTTTATGTAGAAGAAGTGACAAAATCTATAATACACGAATATATGACGCAGAAATATCGCCCCAAAAAAAGTCCAACGCCAGACGTGGCTGTTTTTCCATGCCCGTCGTCCCAACCGATACGCCATAGCTTAATAGAGCAAGTAGAAAGAGAGTCGTCAGGATGTCGTGAACGCGCAGGCGTGGAGCGCAGTCACCGCTCGTCGCGCACATACTCACCTGCCACGCGCGCGCGCTCCATCTTGGCCACCACGCTCGGCATGTCTCTCTTGAGCCTGCCCAGTGCGTCGACAGCACCGCGGAACCGCTCCTCGACGCCCTCTTGCCTCTCCAGCGGCGGCAGAAGCAGCAGCAGCGCATCACCACCGTCCAGGGCGCGCCCCGTCGCGGCGGCATCCAGCGCGCCCTGCAGCTGCGCGTCGTCTCGCGTGGCCGCGTCGTCGAGCTGCGCGGCGACCTTGGCAGCCACGCCGGCCGGCACGGCGCGCTTCATGGCGGCGACTTGTTCGAGCAGCGCCTCCTCTTGCGAAACGAGCGCGGCGACGCGCGCGCGCTTCTCCGCGTCAAACGGCTCGTACGAGATGCTGGCCTCTTCCGAGGGCATGGGCGGAATAGAGGACTTGCGGCTGCCGGAGCGGGAGGGCTTGAAAAAATCGGCCGCGTTGGCGGGGAGGCCATTGATGGAGAGGTTGGGCACGGCGAGGGTAAATGTGCGGTCAATGTACTGGTGGGCGAGTTTTGTTAGTGTAGGAAGAGCCGGGGCGAAGGGAAGGGACAGGGAAGGAAGGGGAAATGTACAGAATCGACAATGGCTTCAATTTCGTTGCGCAGTTCGTCCTCGCCGCCGTTGCTCTGCGGGGGAAATGCGGCGTGCAGGTGCTCGGCGGCCGCGGCGCGCACGTTGGCAATGAGAAAGGCAAAGTCTTTGTGCGAGGCGAGCTCGATGCGGCGTGGGCCGCCGTCCTCGCCGTCGTCCATGAGCGGGGGAGAGGAGAGGCTATGGGGGAGTTGTGAGGATTCATGTAGTCATGTCGCAAATTGAGAGCTGGTTTCGTAAAGGGTTGGGGGAGCTAGGGTGGAGAGCAACTTTGTTTACTCTGCCAGCTCGGTCACTGGGTGAGACGCGATGGCGGGGCAGCCCTCGTAGTGGCGGCGCCGATCGCGAAAACGTGGAGGGGGAGATGGGACGAAGAAACGCAGTGAAACAAAAAGGGAAAAAAAGAAAAGGTTGTCAAGTCGCGTTGCAAAACATATAATCACACATGATTTCGAGGCAAAATGCCGAGTTCAAAACAAAGGGCCTGCATGATTATCTATGGAGAACAGGTACAGGTCTTTCATTGCCTTGACCAGCCGGATTCCGGGACCATCACGACCAGCTGGCCAGCCTGCTTCTCCCAGCCATAATGAGTAGACGGCAGCGATGGAGTGGTGGCTTTCCATTCCAACTATGAGATATGACTTCTGCGGATACACGCGCATGAGCTCCTTCGAAGAGCGGTGCTCTACCAGCCGTCGGTCTTGGATAATAAAATCCTAGCTAAGCTTTCTCACTGCTAACAAGCGTGTCAGTATCGGAGATTATGTCCTTGCATGCCGTTATGGCCGAAACAACATCTTTTGACTTCCGCGAGACGCTCCTGGCTCAAGCTGGCTAGGACTATCAGCGGCCGCCCAACGAGATACAGAAGAGACAACACTACCCGCTTGTAGGCTCATCGAGTACCATAAGAAGGATGTAGTGGAGTAGCAAGAGGATAGCGAGCTAGATGGTGGCGTATGTAGAGCCAATGGAAAAGTGAACCTAAACTGGGATCCCATGGCTCAGGCGTGTCACACAATCACTATTCTAAAGTCTACTGGCTATAATTCATAGTAGTATCACGGATACCCATTCTGCCAGGAAAGACCCACGCTAGGAGAAGATTGTAGGCGGGCGAGGAGGCGTGACTTTGTCTTTCAGAAAAGCTGTTCTGACGATGAGACATTACATCCCTGGGACCGCTTCTCCGCGATGCGTCTGGGCTTCGCCAGAGGAACATGACTTGGTCCTTGACCGATGCAAGATATTGGCTCCTTGCATTTGCAAGCTTCGGCTGTCTATCCCGGACTCAGGCAGGTCAAGAAACACAAGAGGCGTGATCGTCGCAGATATTGCGTCTGCGATCAGAATGGCTGAGTTCCTCGCTTCGAGGGTCAGATTGGAAAGACGTCTCTGCCATGACTCAATCAGCAACCGTTGATTGGACTTGCCGACTGGACGAGGGTTCTTCTGGTTGGTCTACCTTGAATCTTCCTTCTTGTATTGAGAACATGTTACATTGGCCACGCCTCCACGCCTTGTACGATGGCGGCAAAGTTACAGGTTTCTCATGATATTTTGCCATAAATAGCAGCTGTCTCGCATAGAAGAAGGATTCTGAATTCGTACAGTGCTCAGCAAGGCCATACAATCGATATTAGTCTAATTGCTCGGGAATTCAGATGAAGCTACACCAACACGAGAGATCGTCGGGGACTACCGCATTCTGTGTCACGGACGGTCATTGCATTGCAGATGTCGGTCACCTTGAAACAAACAAACAACTTCTTGACAGCTTTGCTAAATGGAAGCAGCAGCGACACCCTTGTTTCCACCATGGTCAGTCAATTCATGTGAAATCATGGATGGTCTAGTAGCTCAGCGGCTGAAGGTCGCTTCTCTGGCTCGTACACAATATATCTGCGATAATCGATCAAGAAGCGAGTCTGCCTCGTGCTTTGGGCAGCGCTTCCAAAGATCTCATACCACTCGTCGTTGTGTAGCACATCAAATGCACCGGCGCGGCGCGGATGAAGCGGACGCTTCTTGTCCTCGCGATATCTGCTGGCTTTACTCACAAGTCGTTCCGATACTTGTAGAACGCCTCCCGGTCTCGTCCCACGTCTCGTAGGGAAGGGTGCGCATCTGAGTGTCCGCGGTACTTGCACAGCTCATGCCCCTTGCTGCCATCCTCGATTTGGGCATGTGTGAACCGGCTCTCATGATGACGGGACAGTTCTGATTACGACAGCCCTAGAAAGCGCAGGAACAAGCGCCAAATGCTGACCTTTGGTCCCTTGCAAGGTGAGATTATGGAGAGGCAGGGCTGTTCTTGCTGCTGCTTCGCTGCCCTGCATGTAAATGCTATTCAATTTGTACCGATAAGATGGAGCAAGGTCCCCAGAATCTGAATGACTGTGATGCAGCTCTACGAGTAGCACCAGTGTACTTTGTTTGGGTAGGTGCACGTTCTTCATTCAAGGTATAAAGCGACAGGCAACACATGTTGCGCAATTCTTCATGAATGCATCAATTATAGACTGCTTTTGCATGACGCATGACGCATATTTGCGTCCTGTTGATCATCATGAAAGAGTCAAGCAAATTCAAGGGCCACTTCTAGGAGCTCTGGCTAAGACAGCTGCTAGGCGTGCAATGTTTGCGGACGCGAAAAGAGGCAGAGCCATTGTTGGGTGGAGGCTGTCCTTTGCTGGGAGTTGTGCATTAAATTTGGTGCTTGCTCATTGTTGTTTGGAGAGCGACAAGCGGATCCAGTCGCCCGCCTCAAGGCACGCTTTTGCTGCATCACAATGTGAAAGCCAGATGTTGCAATGCCACGCTTTCTCGAGACAAAGACGCGCTTCCTACAGTGTCGTTACAAGTCGTATCACCAGCATAGACGCTACATGCCATGGGCTGTTGCACCGGTTTTAAAGAAAGAAAAAAGTTCAATATGCTCCTGTCAATATCCTACACTCTTCAAACCTTTGAATGACTTCATAAATCTGCTCCATCACTCTGATATCACCACTTGGTAAAATGGGCTGCAGTTTACTCCATGGCGACCCCTCTCTTTGTACATGTCTCAGAATCGCGATACTATCCAAGACATGCTCGTGCCGCAAACAAAGCCGAGGCGCACGATGTGGAGGATCTGCAATATGTAATTGACGCGGACGCCGAGTTGCATGCAGCTGACGCCACATGTTGAAACCGGTTGGCTTTGGATGACCGCGGCGCGCGAAGCATCAATTCAGTATTTACGGGGGCGCACGGGTAAAAACCAAAGCAATCACGCTTGTTGGCTTTTGAACAACGAGTCCGACCAAGACTTGAAAATTTGTGCATAGATGGCGCCGCGGCGGGCGCAGAGCACAAATCGGCGAGTCATCAGACCCATGCTTCGAGACAAACTAGCCAAAAATCAGGGCGGCTAGAGGTTTTTGTCTAGATCCAAAAGGCGCGACCAGACAACGCCAGTTGTAGTATTAGTGGACCAAAATGTAATCCAACATTGTCACGTTTACCCGCGCGGGATATTCTCTTCTTGAACCTAGAACAAGTCCGAAGTGAGCAATGCCGTGCGACATGCTGGTCTTGGCGTGATGCTCCCGTCTAAAGTGCCATCTCATGGTCAATGTAGACGCTTGGTGCCACTTGTGGCATGGTGATTCTATTGACATCACAGATTTGTAGATCTGTCGCAGCCGAGGTAGCACACGACCGTGACAGCACCTGCTAGTATTATGAACCTTTTTGCTATTGTCACTTGTTTTCGACTTGCCTCTATCACTTCTTAGCCCCTCCTCTGTCATCATTTTAATTTGACTGAATAGAGAGAATGGCTCATGCTCCGATGGCCTAATAAACTCTATTTATGCCAAGTGCCGCCAGCAGCCGGCTGTCGGGGAAGACCCCTTCTGTCTGGTTTCCTCATGCGATCAACCCGAATCTTGAATCCAATTTCGGGCGATGATTGTTATGATTCTACACCACCACCGTCTTTAGCCTGTTTTCCTTTCTGTCTATTTTCTTTCTTATTTGATCAAAAAAAAAAAAGTTGAAGTTTCGCTGCAATTACACGTGGCCAGTCAGGATAATCCACTGTGGAGAGCGCCGACAAGCGCCATCGGAAGCCGAGATTTGATGGGGACGATGCATACATACGCGGTGCCGGACGATGGACGTAAATTGACAGGACTGGTCCGAGGGATAATCAGCGACTTATGTTTCAAGCCTAACAATGATGGTTAGGTTGAAACATGCGCTGACTTCCTTGTTTGCCTGTTAGAAGAGGGTGTACTGTGGGCTGTTCATGTGCCAGGTTGGCAGCATGCATCCGTGCCCAAACGTGTCGTGGGCCAGACGTCTCAGATTAACGCTGCCAGACTGCATCAGCATCCCTAATTTGCACGTCGCAGTTAAAAAGTATGTCACCGTAAGAAAATCTACGTCACATGATATGGGCAATGAAGTTATAAACAACATGAGTACCATTGGATATATTATAGTTGTTGCCCAACGGAAACACAACGCCGGACGCTCCCTCACCATGAGCGGTGATTATTCCAGGCCAGTAGGGCCAGTTCTGTAGTGTACGAAAGGGGAAGAAACAAAGGTAACAAACAAATTCCATCAACTCCCGGGTAATAAGGTCTAGGATACTGCGAGGGCGCGCGACATACGACAGCAGCCCTTGGAGCACCTTTCAAAGCAGCAGTGAGTGTAGTATCATGTCATCGAGGTCATGTCGTAAAAGCTCCCGTCCGACAGGTCACACTAAAAAAAACAAAAAAACAGGCCTCCGTGACGCCAGTAACCAGGCCGAATAAAAAAAAAAAGAAGTAAAAGCTTCATCAGAATAGAACAGCACACGCGAGCTGCGACATGCGTAAACAAATTACCCGTCGGGCAACAAGGCCGGCAGCATTCACAGTCGGGTATTTATTGGGGTAGCATATTACGCAGCTCTTCGTCGCTAAGGCGGATCTCATGGACCGGCTCTCGTCGATTCTCGAGGGGAACGTAGTCGCAGTCGAGGTACGAGGGGAGGAAGATTTCTATACACGGTCATCTATTAGCGGTGTGCGGAAGAAGCCGGGAGGCCAGGCGAATCCTACCGGGATTCCAGTCGAAACCCTGACTAGAGGAGAGGTAGGTAATCTGAAAGTTGTCAGCAAGGAAGTTCTGAGATGACAGTGGAAAGACGTACAAGACGGGGAGGACCATCAGGGTCACCGATGTTGATGACGGTCGTCTTCTCCATGGAGAGGGCGGAGCCTGCGGGTGTTAGCATACGACGCTATTGCGGGAGGTGTTTTCTAAAAGGAGGACAAAAAAAAAAAAAAAAAAAGAACGATGTAGGCAACAGCTGAGAACAGGCCGTAAGTAGTGAACAGATGGATATCAAAGACATACTCAGCAGGCTTGGTCGACGGCTGTGAAGGGCCTTGGTAGCCGATGACGGAGTGGATGTAGCGGATGACGGGGAGTCTGAGTAAGAGCTGTCTGAGGAGCTGGACAAGGCCTTGGGGTCACAGAGGCCATCGTTGCTGCGGCGTGTGGGAATGGTGATGGAGGACGACATTGTGGAAAGTTTGACGAGGGAAAAAGGTCAAGACAAGAAAAGAGTGTTTGCTCAAGAGTTGTTGAAGGTTGGGAGATGCTAGCACAAGAAACGGTGGTGTTGAGAGAGACAGGCAGAGAGACGAAGGCCCCGCAGTGACTGGTGTGACCAGGATCCCCTGTACAGTAGCTGTACGGCCCAAGACACGGACTGGGCCCAGGTGACGGCGGACGGGGGTAAAAGTGTACAAGTCGGTGCACGGTGGACGTGGAGATTGGAGCGTCGAGAATTAACTAACGAGGGGAACAGGAGAAGGTAAAGAGGCGGGTTTTCTGCCGGTGGACAGCAGGCAGAATGGAAATTTTGGAGTTGAAGGAGCAAGAGGAAGAGGACAGGATTCGAGGTGGGAGGGGATCTGAAGCTGCAAGTACCTTGCTTGGCCTGTTATGGAAAAACTCTTGGCCGCTTTTTGGTGGCTTGGTAGTTGGATTAAAAGCGGCGATGAGTTCTTTTCATTGAATAATATTTAAATAATGACTTGGAAATATTCACTGCCTAAATACTCACCTCGTAGAATAATAATACTGAAGGTGGCTTTCGGGTGACTTTCGTGGCCACAGGTCAAACGCGTCTGTGGCTGGTTGGCTTCAGCCATGCATGCAGTCTGAGGGCCAAGGGTGCTATAGAAGCGCTGAAATGCCTGCATGTATCCATCACGACCCGTCACTAACCAGGTTGTTTACCAGTCCCATCTACAACAGAGTATGGAGGTACCTCTCTGCCTCTGTGCGCCGTAATACTAGATTCCTAGCAAGTATCCGTAAATAGGTACTGATAGAAGCGTCACAAGGAGGAGCCGTTGAGGCCACTTCTGTTTTGACCCCACTGCTCATCAAGCCTCCGCGATTGAAAACAAAGTACCGAATCCGATGCTATTTATGGGAACTCGCAGCAAAGGGTACCTGCTCACTACCTAGGTACCTAATAGGTAGATACGACACATCCAACCCACTTGTCAACTACACTGATCGTGCGTGTAACCTTGATAGCGCTGCGCCCGCTGGCTGCCTGTTTGCATCCAATGTGGAGGCTTACCTACACGTAGATAAAGATCGACAGCATATTACATGGCGCATCGCCAGCTAGCGTCCGGCAAACACAGGCATCAATGCATCGCTTAGCTCGTACATCGTCTTGGGCATCGAAGTTCCAGCATCAAACTCACTTCTTCTGCGTATTCCCTCTTGGATGCAGATACATTGATACAGACCCCCAACCCCGCTTTCATCTAATATCTAATCTCCTTACTGCTCCACCTCTTACTAGCAATACTCAAAAAGTCAAATCACGTCACACGTCACTCCGATTACTCGATAAACGATCGCAACACCATGCGCTTTATACAGCAACCGCAATATTTTATCCTAAACTCGTCGGCTTCTCAATTCAATTGTTAACTTACCGCTCTAGTGTGCGCGATCTCACGCCGCAATATTCGTCTCTCACTTAACCGCCTCCAGCACCCCCCGCGCATTCAGCTGCTCGCCTTCCCCGGACCTCAGCTGTGCCGTCCTGTTGGCCATGCTCACGCTCAGCACCCCGATCCCCTGCCCGGCCAGCTCCGTGCTGTAGCGATTGCCGCCAGCCGGTACCTTTGCGAGGCCCAGCACCCTGCCGCTTTTTCCGCCGCCCCCGCCGCACCGTACAGGTCGACGTCGTCGCTTATGTGGCTCGTTGTCGACCAGTGGATGCCCGCCTTGGCCGCCAGCGCCTGACCCATGGTCACGACACGCGGGGTGCTACCGCTCCGCTTGTACGTGTCCAGCAAGTCGTCGGTCGCGTTGAATAGCCCGTAATGGCGGAGCAGCTCCGTCGCTAAATAGCCTTTGTGGCCATCGCCCTTGCACTGGCCCAGCAGGCTGACGAGGTGCTCGCTCGTGCAACTGGCGGCGGCGATGGGACGCTGATTCCACTTGCTGGAAAGCGTCAGGCCGCCAAAATCGTGATCCACGGCCAAGAGCAGCTGCGTGTCGGCACCGGTAACGACATGATCCTTGATATGTGCTATGACTTGGTCATACATGAGGATATTACCAACCTTGCCGCGACGTCATCAGAGTGTGCGGCGTGGCTGATGCGGGACGCCTCAATTACATGGAAATAGTCCTGCTGCGAGCCCGCGGACGGAGCCTCCAGCTAGGCCAGCGCGGCTCTGGTCATGTCCAGCGATGGCTCCTTGTTCTCGTCGCGGTCCAGCTTGTACGCCATCTGGCTGCCCCCGACAGATCCAGAGAAGTCAACGGAATACAATCCTACACAGCAGCTCCGCCCAAGATTACGCGGTCCGCCACGTACGTGCAGCCCTTGTCCTTTCTCCACGCCGCCACTGTACGTGGTCCGTGGGCTTCCCGCCGTCCTTAGGGATATTGCCAGCGTTCGCCGCCGAGAATCGAATTAGGGTATGCGACAAAAGAGTGCGTGCAGCCAATATGTTGCGCGGCAAACTTGATTTCCGGGTTGCAATTCAGCACCTGCGCGCAGTACTACGCTGGCGTGGCGTGCGTGATGTGTGACGTCGCAATTTGGCACGTCTCGAAGCCACCGTAGTGGGCGGACTCCGGCACAGAAGCAACAGGCTGATCAGCTTCATTGACGGCAATGACAACAGGCTGTCAGCTTTGGCGCTCGGGCAGCTCTAGTGTGCAGGTTGCATGCCTCCGTTGTAAAACTTAACACCGCATACCAAAGCCGTAGTGGATGCGTCAGAGTCGGTACCGATGTTGTCATTGGCCTGTGTGCAAACCATACCGATAACCAGTCTATTTTCAGTGTCGCGTGATTGTCATGCATGCCTTCTCAAACGCAACATCTCGTCGGCGCTGAACTGTGCCGAATTGGGCTTGCCCGCGTCCTTTTGCGACACCGATTCGTAGCCGTTCAGCAAGACGTAGATAGAGCTCCCTGCCCGTGGCACTTACGTGGCGTCGCCGAAAGAGCCGAGTATCATCAGCGCTCTCGCCACAACGACGGGAGAGAGACTGTGCATCATGTTGGGCGTAGAATTTGCAAGCGTCATGTATTACTATGTGTCCAATGAATTGCAGACATCTGGCGGAGGCGGAGAGGGGGAGTAGACAACAGCTTTGTAGCCCTCATGTATTTCTCCCCAGATCGTCATTGAGGGTCTTCTCGTTTCAGCAAGCTCTAGCGAGCCAAGACGCTCTACAAGCCGCGTCAAATGGAGTAAGTTGCTCCAGGTCGTGCATTGGAGACAAACGGCAGTTCCACCTCGTTAGCGAAACAGGCACAATGCGGATATCACGGGGTGATGAGCGAGCCTTTTTCGCCTTTTCCATGCAGGTCGACAACTTGACGGTGATAAGGGAGAAAAGGCTTTTGAGCGGGCCAGAGTGAAGATGAAACCCGCGAGGACGAGAGGTACATGGGCTATGATATGGATGGATAGAAGGTTCATATTGAGGGCATGGCACGGTATCTTGAATACGTGTCGTCTTGGTCGTGGTGAGCTGTAGAGACAGGATCGCCAGCCGTTGGTAGCTTGGCTCGTGAAGTGATGGAAAATGGCCACGAGTTGGCACGTTCTAGCTCTGCAAGAATCATTATAATCCCTGGATCACTCAACGAACCGAATTCCAGACTGGGCTTCTTCGAAAAAACAGACCCGCGAAAGATACACCTTACATAAAAAGGGCTGTCAAATACGTCTAAACTTGCAGATACTTTAATGACTCTTAATGACTTATGCGAAGCCGCGCAACAAATTGTAGTTGGGCAGCTCGGAAATGCGTTGAGACAATCGAATTGTTCCAACTTCAACCAATAATTCGTTTCCGAATCCACGAATTGCCGGCCTCGGATGACCTAGCTGCGGATTAATCGAGATTAAAACTATAAAATACAGAATGCAAAAAGAAGCCGCCCTGAAGTGTCGCTCAATAAAGCACATCACAGGAAAGAAGGGGTTGATGCAATACGAAGTTGCGAGTACAGGAGGGTGCGATGCCGCCTTCAGGATGCTGATTTACAAAAGTCCCAGATCGAAACTGCGGTGATGAAAACGTGGATATAGCAGAGGATGGATAAAAGGAAGAGAAAAGTGATGAGCAAGACAGTGAGAACCCAGTTTCTCGCTGGCCAGCGACATTTGATAATTCGGGGCGGTTCTTTTTCAGTTCAAAGATTACTCTGCCTCGTTGCAACAAGCCTGAGAAGCCAATGAAGGCAGGAGCCAATCTTGATGCAATTGCCGGAGACCTAGCGGCGGTAGTACAAAGTATGAGTGTGTGGTGGGATCCGGGATGAGGTTGACAATGCGTCAAGGCGGATGCCTGAGCGTCCAGCGCGTCCTTATAGTGGTCGGCTGGCCTGATGCTGCTTTTCAGATGCCTCCTCATCAGCAGAAACAAGGCGCAGTCGTCAAAGCAGACCACTACGGCTGCGACCGACTTTGGGCATCTAGAGATTGTATTTGTATCTCGCCTTAGCCTCCTCCGCCGCGTTTCTGAAAGTAGCCAAAAAGCAAGAGTAGTTCCTATCTTTTAACCCCTTATTGAATATCTCAGACACCTCAAAGTGTTCTAATCTCCTGTGGGTCCGACTATCAATTTCATTTGTCCAATATAGAATGCGTACTTTAAAGCGTTATGCTATCCAAACGCGCTGCTGGAGAAATAGTCCATGCCATATCATTGCCTCCTTGGATAAGGTCTCACTGTTGCATTGCAATCGATTTTACTCCTTAACCCTAGACGCCGCCTTCACGCGTCTTCCTTCTGTGCCTGCCACCACCTACTTGCAATAGAATGGTGGGGATGACGCTCACGCCCATGAGCAGGGCAACGGCCACGCCTGCGCTTCTTCCGCCCAGCGCCGTGAACATTTGCGGGAACCTATACTTCAACGTGAATACGCGAGGATGAGATGCGATTTAAAAAATGGGGCACATACCAGAACGGACCAAGAAATCCCCAGATTTGCCGCATAAACGTGATGAAGACACCCACGCTTGCCGCATCTTCGGGGTAGCAGTCGACGGCGTAATTCACCAGCACCGTCGTCACGACCTGGTTTCCCGCAGCAGCGATGCCCGCGCCTATGACGGGGCTCACATTGTACACGCGCAGCTGCGCGCTCATGACGAGAAATACGACGATGCCGCATATGGACCACGTGTACCCCACGTGGCTCAGCCACAGCCGGCGCTCCGGTGGCGGTGGCCCAGCGGCAGACCCTCGCGCCATCCACCACGGCGTTACAACAGTGGCGAGACCTTCGCCGACGAGACTGCCGGTAATGAGCGCAAGGAACTGAAGCCCAAGCGTCTGTGCACCAAAGGAAAATTTTTCGGCAAAGAGCTGCGGGATCTCGACCGTCGTGACGACATTGCAGAAGAGAAAGGTCATGGCGTAGGAAGCGGCGGGGACGGCGACATGCCAGCGCACGGCGTAGACGAACGGATGAACAATCTCGAGCGCAGAGAACGGCGTCGGGTCGATGCGGCGAATAGCCAAACGACTCGGAACAGGCGTAAATTCGTCGCCGCGACCGCGAATATATCTAGTTTCGGATCCAAAAGCCAGGTACAACACGAATTGGACAAGATTAGTCTGTACGAATTAGCACGTCTACCACTTGACCCTCTTGATGACAGACTAACAATGGCAAGCGACCAGAATATCCAATCGTATGCTACTCTCTCGACCGCGAAACCAAAGAGAAAAGGCGCGAGCGGCACACCGATGGTGAACGTGAGTGTCCAAACGCCCATGTAGCGCGCGCGCTCCCTGGCAAAGAACATTTCCTGGACTGTGCCGCTGCCGAGCGCCGCGGCGGGCGAGATGAAGAAGGCACCGAGGGCGCGGCATGCGGCCAGCTGGCTGTAGGTGGCGCTGCGGGCACTGCCGACATTGCTGGCGACGCTGCCGAGCAGGCAGAGAATGAAGATAGGTAGGCGGCCATAGCGTCGGGCGAACGGATTCCAGACGAACGGCGCAACGCCGAGGATGGCAATCTGCAGCGACGTCATGTACGAGGCCGCCTGGATTGTCACGCCCAGGCGGTCGGCAATGTCCTTGAAGGCGGGTATGACAGAGGACGCGGTGAAGGAACAGATGCCCGAGTTAAGGGCCACAAGGGCGAGATTGATGATTTTCTGGGCGGATGTGTGTCAGCTTATGAACATGGTTCAGGCAGTGAGGTAGGTAGCCTCATTCATACCTTGCCCAGAGGCCAGTTGAGAGGGTCTGCTGGCGTGGGATCGGGCAACGGCTCAAGATTGACGGTGCCATACCGATCGAGGAGAAACTTGGCGTGCGCGGCGGAGAGATTCCCGTTATCCCCCCCAAACTCCCTTATATGCGTTTCTGTGTGCTGAGTTTCTTCCGATTTAGTGACATTTTGCAATGCAAGGTCCGTCATTCTTGTCAAGATGAATAAATCAAGATAGCCAAGCAGGATTGCGGACAAACTCTTGTGAAGGAAAAGGGCATCACGAAAGATACCGCGCCTCAAAGCGACAATGCGGTCTGAAGGCTTATTTATGATGTCGCTTGCCGCCCCTCCCCCCCCCCCCTCCGCCCCCGGGAGATCCCAGGTTTCCCCACGGAACGATTGTGTGGTAACATCGGGGGCGGGTCGATTCAACGATTTACCAGCACATGAGTAAGATGGCATCTGCAATTGGCTTTTCGCACCCGGGCATCCCACGGCTTCCAAGCGGGCGCTGGACGACTCAACTGTCTACGGCGTAGCCCCCGGCTAGGGGGTTAACGTCATTGTTCGGCATCTAAAACGGTACTTGTCGAGTGTCATGAATTTGTCTTGTGCTGGCAAATAAAGACAAGTCGCAAAGTCGCAAACGGGCAGTACGCGTCATTACTAAGCTGGACGCGTAGCTCTGTAACCTGTGTGGAAGGGTTCAAGTTGATAACCGTTTCAGAGTCCCGTCACAGTTGCGAGGTCTGAGTGGATAAGCGTGCAGGCAAGAACTACGCTTGTGCAGCGACCACCAATCAAATAAGCGAAGTCTGTGGCAAGTGAAGGCCTACTTTTACTGTTATTACAGAACCAGCAATATCAGATGTCAAAGAATATGAATGATTGCCGTGAAAAGCCGTTGCCTCTACCTGCGGCCAGGTACTGCTATCCACGCCGTTGCACGTGACCTTCTTAGTCATCCCAGGTTGCCGCGACGCTGCGTAGCTCTTGAATGGCCTAGCCAGAGAGCTAACTCTAGGAGAAGCAATCGCTCGTCTCGCCATCACCAATCATTTACAATCGACGAAGTGTTGCACCAGCGCCGTGCTGCAAGCTGAACGAAAATTTCAATCAATCATCTTCGACGAGAAAACCTAGTCGAAAAACCTGCAAGCCGCCGCGAGCCACTTGTCATGATGGGCGACGTCGCAGTCGAGAGCCCTGCCACTCACGCGCCAGCTCATAAAAAGGCAGCGCCGTCGATAATCCCGACCATAGACCATTTCGAGGGTCTGTCGGCAGAGGGAGGAGACGATTACGCCACATTGAAGAAGCTTCAGCGACAATTAGAGTACGTCGCCTGCTTGTCGCCGTCGAGGCGGTTCGAGGTGGCAACACGCTGACATGGCGCAGATACATTCAACTACAGGAAGAGTATATCAAGGATGAGCAAAGGTTTGTTCCGCTGCGCCATTGTGCGATATACACATCTGATCACCGTGCAGGAGCCTAAAGCGCGAGCTTGTCCGCGCCCAGGAGGAGATTAAGAGGATCCAGAGCGTGCCGCTGGTTATCGGCCAGTTCATGGAGGCCATCGACCAAAAGTAAGCTTGCGGCGTCAGTATTCCCGAAAAGAATCTGCTAACAAACCAGTACCGGTATCGTGCAGTCTAGCACCGGCAACAACTATGTCGTTCGCATCCTCTCAACCCTCGACCGCGAACAGCTCAAGCCCTCATCGTCGGTCGCTCTTCACAGACACTCTAACGCGCTTGTCGACATCCTCCCGCCCGAGGCCGACTCGTCGATTGCTATGCTGGGTGCCGACGAGAAGCCCGATGTGACGTATGCCGACGTGGGCGGTCTCGACATGCAAAAGCAGGAGATTCGCGAGGCTGTCGAGCTGCCCCTGACGCACTTTGATCTGTACAAACAAATCGGCATCGACCCACCGCGCGGCGTGCTGCTATACGGCCCGCCTGGCACTGGCAAGACCATGCTGGTTAAGGCCGTTGCTAACTCGACGACGGCGAGCTTCATCCGCGTTGTCGGTTCTGAGTTTGTGCAGAAATACCTTGGCGAGGGCCCGCGCATGGTCCGCGACGTGTTTCGCATGGCCCGTGAGAACTCGCCCTCCATCATCTTCATTGATGAAATTGACGCCATCGCCACGAAGCGCTTCGACGCCCAGACAGGCGCTGACCGCGAGGTGCAGCGCATTCTGCTCGAGCTGCTCAACCAGATGGACGGCTTCGACCAGACGTCCAACGTCAAGGTCATCATGGCCACAAACCGCGCCGACACGCTCGACCCAGCCTTGCTACGCCCCGGCCGTCTCGACCGCAAGATTGAGTTTCCTTCGCTGCGTGACCGCCGCGAGCGCCGCCTCATTTTCTCCACGATTGCCGGCAAGATGAGCCTCGCGCCCGAGGTCGATCTCGACAGCCTCATTGTGCGCAACGACCCACTGTCGGGCGCCATTATCGCGGCCATTATGCAGGAGGCGGGGCTGCGCGCCGTCCGCAAAAACCGCTACAACATTATCCAGAGCGATCTCGAGGACGCGTACTCGAGTCAGGTCAAGGGCACGAGCGAGGACAACAAGTTTGACTTTTACAAATAAGCGTGTACGATTGGGGGTTTGGAGGTGGATGGTCATGGGGTTTGTATTCATATGGGGCTAGTATCGAATCAACATCTAAAAGATTTCATGGCAGACGTCATCTCGTGAATGGTATCTCTAGTGGCCCACGTACATGTCCATTCGAAAATCTGTGACCGGGTGCGCAGAGACAGCCGCGGCCATGTTGCCTCGAAATACCGTCGTCGACGGCAACCTCGTGCCGAGCAATGATGAAAGCCTGGAAAAATCGTTCAGGCCCGAACAAGAGACGAGCTGCCACACACAAGATGGCAAACGAATGCTGCTTGCCCATCACAACGTGCACCTCGCGGTCTCCGCGCGCCCCCCACCCCTTCTGTTCAGGCTTGCCTTTCGGGAAAGTTGCAATGGGGGGGAACGAAACATTTTACTGGAAAACTTTTTTTTTGGGGGGGGGGGGTCTACTATCGCCCCTTGCTTTGCGTTCAAGGAGGAGAGGAGATGGAAGAAGAAGAAGAAGAAAAAACTTGAAAAGTCTAGAATCTAATTGGGGGATCAAAGCTTTTCCCTTGTTTTCTCTGAATGAGCCCACAAGGCTGGAACTCTGTACCAGAGATTGAGTAACCTGTCAGATTCCCAGCAGCCATAAAGAGAGAGAGAGAGAGAGAGAGAGAGAGAGAGAGAGTAGATGTGTGTGTGTACGAA